ATCAATAAACCAAAATCCATTCCAAGTATTCATTTCTACATCATATTCCCCTTTTTTCCTTTAAAAAGAGGTTGGCTGTGATCATTAACCATTTATAACCAACCCCACTTAAATGAAAACAATCATTTATAAACAATATTTGGGAATTTGGGTGTTGTTCTCTCCAAACTGGTTCCTGCTGTTTGGGGTACTGTCAACACCATGGGGATCCTGAGAAAATACAGAAACCTGTCCAAATCCTGGCTGTAGTAGTCTGCAAGGCTGTGTTGTCTCAGCTGCTTTGGATGTTGGATCATCTGGGCCACTACTTCAGGGGGTCTTGCTTGATCAAACAATATTAGTTTAGAAGGAATCCGCAGCTTGTCATATTCTGTGGGAAAAAAAAGTAGAACTTCTTTTCCAAAGTAACCTGTCCTTAGATTTAAATTTTGAAGTTAAAATATTTTTTAAATGTGTAAATTGGATTAATCCAGCAGCATTTATAATCAAGTGTCTGTTAGTGTTGCTCCTTCTTCAGCAATTAAACCATTCAAAGGCACCACAATAACATGCAGTATCTGTACTTCCTATCTGTATGTGGCTTTTTTTTACTCTATTTCTTTTACTTTTATTTTTTGTTTTTTTGGTTTTTGTTTTTTGGGTTTTTTTTGAGACAGGGTTTGTCTATGTGCCTTTTGCCTGTCCTGTAATTCACTCTGAACACCAGGCTGGCCTTGAAATCACAGAGATTTGCTTGCCTCTGCTGGGATGAAAGGCATATGCCACCATACCCAGCTAGCTACTCTATTTCTTTTCTAAACACTTTATCCTTTTTTTCTCTCCCAGCCTACGTATATTTTTAAACACACTCTAAACCCTTTAAAGGTTTTCCCTTTGAATCTGTTTTTACTTTATACCTCTATCTTTTTTTGGCCACAAGTCTTTTATCTGCTAAATAGCATTGCTACAATTAAAGTGGTTTCCAACATGACAGGGGTATATTTACCACCAGCACTGGGAGCAGTACTTGTAGCGGTCCATATAGATTGACTCCACTCAATTTTGACTAACAGTTAGAGAATTCAAAACTGTTCTTATGCCTTTAAGTCTATATCTTGATGGCTGCAGGATGTTTTGGCCTTGGTAATGGATGTCTCTACCTAAATAACAACAGACCAGGGCTCAGGCTCTCAACCCTGAAGGGTGGATGACAGGTATGGCTACCAAACACCTGGAAGATTAAGGGAATTAAGTCTGTTTACCCTTGATACATGATAGTGGAATTCTTTTACCATTGTCCCCACTTCAGTTTCTTAAGATTGTTAAAGAATAAACTAAGGGCATATATTCAGTATGGATGAATGGCCCTCCTGACTCCTATCCTAGTCTGTCTCTTAACTCTTTTAGCTAACCCTTCTTTATCCACACTCCCTCTCTCAAGTACAAACCGTGCACTAGTCAACTGGCTCTGTCTGCAGCCCAGAAAAGACAGCTTCCCAAAAGTGCTTACTGCCTGGACTCTTGTCAATGCCACCATCAAGCAGCTTGTAGCACACTGCCCATAAATCTTTTTCTGTATGAGTAAAAGCTAAATCTACCATGCAGCATGCTCTGTGGCTTGGAGATGCAGCAGCCTCTGTGTACCATGGCGGAAATCCACCATGCTGTATGCAAACCTGAAGAGAAGCTTTTTCCTTGAGAGAAGCCTTCCCGCCAGCCTGGTTCTAGAGCCGCATCAGTCCCAAATAAACACACAGGAGGCTATATTAATTATGAAGCTGTTGGCCTTGCTTGTTTCTTACTGGCTAGCTCTGACTTAAGTAATTACCCCATAATTGTTAATCTAAGTATGTTTCTTACTGGAGAATAGTTCCGGGCTTCCTACCCCATGGCAGTTACATCTTGCCCTCTTGTGTTTCTCCTACCCAGAGTCCTTCTAGACTCCTAGTCCCTCCTATCTAGATTCCCTATTGGCCAGACAGTGCTTTATTGACAAATGCACAGGACTTCCCCAACATCTCTTCTTTTCTGTTTAAACAAAAAGAAAGGTCTTAACTTTAGCATAGTCAAATTATATATAACAGAACAGTTATCAAGTAAGAACACAGTTACAACATTTTTTCTATCAACATTTAGTAAGATTTAAAGAAAATATCATCTCTCATTTCTGTGAGTCCAAATTCCTATATGTAGCTTATCTTTTATCATAACTAAGGAAAACTATAATTATAACTATCTGCCTTCAACTCCATCAAAGACCACAGAAGGATAATATATAAACACTAGGATTGACAGAGATATCTTACTGCCTGGACAGTCACCCAAAGTTCCTCTGTAACGTTGGGGCATCCATCTTCAGCCCATAGGCCACAATGTGTCTGGAACACTTCTCAGCAAAGCAGGAAATTTCAAACTGTCCATCTGTGTTGGCAGTCTGTCAGTCATTTTTCTGTGTCCTGCAGAAAGTTTGGTAGACTCTTCCATGAAGCAGGAACCCTGTAAGACTGAGTTCAACAGCCACGTTTCTGTGGGTCCTGCATGTTCAGTTTATACAGCAACAGTAAAACAGTCTAGGCAAGAGCAGTTTCTTGCCCAAATGGCTAATCTTGCCATGTTGAAAGCAAACTCCATAACAAGTTTCTTCGATGCCCATCTTCCTCTCAGACATAATTGGTGCTGCCAGGAGCAGACATTTCTCATTGTCAAGAAAAACCCTAAACCATTTTAAATGCCATTTTCTGAAGGTCTTTGAGAGGTTTGAAGACTGTCTATCTATCTCAAATATATTTCTGTATATCTAGAAACCCTAACTTACCTAACTATAAATTCTATTATAAGTAACTATCTATAGTCTGTATTCAATTATGCATTACGTTTTAAAAGATCAGTATAAGCACAATACTTAATCAAGAGGAGAAATATACACATTACAAAATTGACCTTGAATTTGTATCAATAAATGAAAAACAATACCCATACCATAATTCCCCTTTTTACCATTAAAAAGAGATTGGTTGTGATCATTAACCAATTATAAACAATCCCATTTAAATGAAAACAAAGATTTATAAACAAGATGGGAATTAGGACATCGCTCATTCCAAACTGCTTCGTGCTGGAAGGGGGGCGCTGTTCATACCATGGGGATCATGACAAAACGCAGAAACCTGTATAAGTCCTTATTTTTAAAGTCTGTAAAGCTGCGTTATCTTAGCTGTTTCAATTGTTGGAACAACTGGTCCACCTCAGCTTTTCATTTTCTGTAGAAACATAAGCAAAATCTCCTTTTCCAAGTAACACATCCTTATACTTAAATTTTGAAGTCAAGGGATTTTTAAAAGATATAAGTTGAATTAATTCAGCAGCATTTATAATCAAGTGTACGTTAGTAGTTGTTCCTTCCTTAGCAATGAAAAAACTGAAAAACACAATAGCATACAGTATCCAGACTCTCTGTGTATTTTCCATCTTTATGTGGCTTATTTATTTATCTATTATTACTTTATTTATTTTACTTTTATTTATTTTTCTTTGAGACAGGGTTTCTCTTTGGAAATCCGCCTGCCTCTGCCTCTGCCTCTGGAGTAAATCCTACCGGCGTGCGCCACCACAACGCCGGCTTTTGTATTTATATACCACTTTGTCGTTTCATTTTCTCTCTCAATCTCACGTATATTTTTTAAACACACTGTAAACCTTTAGAGGTTTTGTTCATCAAAGTCTGACTTTACTGTAAATCTTTATGGTTTTCTGGCCACGTGTCTTATCTGTTAAAACCGCGGCAGTTTAAACTGCAGTTTTTTTTTTTCAAAATGGCGGGCATAAGAGTGACTCCAGCTGCCGGCTTAGAAATGTGGTCACTGCCACTTCCAGCTGTACGTACACACCTTTAAATTGTTAGCAAAGCCTCTTAAAAGAACCTTGTTGCCTTTTTTTTAAATGCCGAGTCAGGAAGACTAACTTAAGCCAACCGCGAGTCTCTGCTTGCTGCTAACAAAACAGAGCCTGCCTGACCAAAAATCTGTGCTTCTCTCCGTTCTTCTGTTTCTAAAATTCCTTTAAAGCGTTTGTCATTCTACGTGGAAATTCAATCCCACTTCTGACACCATTCTGTAAAGAGAAGCTTTTTCCTTCAGAGAAGCCTTCCCGCCAGTCTGGTTCTAGAGCCGCATCAGTCCCAAATAAACACACAGGAGGCTATATTAATTATGAAGCTGTTGGCCTTGCTTGTTTCTTATTGGCTAGCTCTGACATAAGTAATTACCCCATAATTGTTAATCTAAGTATGTTTCTTACCGGAGAATAGTTCTGGGCTTCCTACCCCACGGCAGTTACATCTTGCCCTCTTGTGTTTCTTCTACCCAGAGTCCTTCTGGACTCCTAGTCCCTCCTATCTAGATTCCCTATTGGCCAGACAGTGCTTTATTGACAAATGCACAGGACTTCCCCAACACAAACCCAATTGCAGTAGTGTCTCATGGCCTGCATAAGAATGTGAGACTAAGAAGCCCATTGCAACTCCATTTCATGTGGGAACTCGTGCCCTACGGTGATGGCACAGTTTTGAAGATGGAGGTTTCTGTCCCACCATGTCCCATGGCCACTTCAGCCCCAAATAAGCACACAAAGATTTATATTATTAAACTGTTGGCCAATAGCTAGAACTTCTTATTAGCTAGCTCTGTCATAATTATTAACCCATCTCTATAAATCTATGTATTTCCACATGGGCTTAGGTTACTGGAGAATGCCCGGGCCTGTTACTTCTTTGGCAACCAAATGGTATATCCTCACAGTGCCTCTCCTCCTACCTTTCCCAGAATTCTCCTCTTCCCCTACTCCCGCCTATCTTCCTGCCTCTATTGGCTATTGGCCAAACAGTGTTTTATTCATCAACCAATAAGAGAAACATATATACAGAAGGGCATTCCCCCATCAGTTAGGGGTTAGGGCTAGGGTTAGGATAGAGTTTGGGTTAGGGTTAGGGTTAGAGTTAGGGATAGGGTTAGGATAAAGTTTGGGTTAGGGTTAGGGTTAGGGTTAAGTTTAGGTTTAGGGATAGTTTAGGGTTAGTCTTAGGGTTAGACTTGGGTTAAGGTTTGATTTAGGAATAGGTTATGGTTAGGATTAGGGTTAGTGCTAGGGTTAGGTTTAGATTAGGATTAGGGCTATGGTTAGGATTATGGTTTGGGTTAGGTTAGGGTTCATGTTAGGGTTAGTTTTACTTTAGGTTACGGTTAGGGTTCTGGTTCCAGTAATGGTTAGTGTTAGGGGTAGGGTTAGGTTTAGGGTTATAGTTTGGGTTAGCGTTAAGGTTAAGTTTAGATGTAGGAATAGGTTAGGGGTATGGTTAGAGTTAGAGTCACAATTAGGATTAGGTTAGGGTTAGCCTTAGGGCTAGGTTTAGGGATACACTAGAGTTAGGGTTAAGGTTAATGTTAAGTTTAGGGTCAGTTTTAGGTTAGGAAAAATGCCCAAGTTAGGGTTATGGGTAGGGTTAGGATTAGGGTTAGGGCTAGGATCAGGGTTAGGGTTAAATTTAGGGTTAGGGTTTGGGTTATGCTGTGGTTAGGGTTAAATTTAGGGTTAGGATTAGCATTAAAGCAAGGCTTAGATGGCAGGCCAGTGGTGCAATGGATAAAATTAAGTTTAGTTTAAGGGTTAGGGTTAAATTTAGGGGTGGTGTCAAGTTAGGGGTAGGGTTAGAGTGTAGAGTTAGGGTTAGAGTTAGAATTAAATTTAGGGATATTGGCCGAGTTAGGGTTATGGATAGTGTTGAGTTTATGGTTAGAGTTATGGTTATGGTTAGGGTTAGGGTTTAGGGTTAGGGTAGGGTTTAGGGTTAGGAATAGTTTTTAGGGTTAGGATTAAGGTTAGGGTTAGTGTTGGGGTTAAGTTTAAAGCTAGTGTCCAAGTTAGGGTTATGGATAGTGTTATGGTTATGCTTAGGGTTATGACTAGGGTTAAGGTTTGTTTCATTGTTTAGGATTACAGATATTATTATGTGAAAGGTAGGGTTTAGGGTTACAGTTAGGGTTAGGGTTGGGGTTGGGTTAGGGTTAGGGTTAGGATTTGGGTTAGGGTTAGGATTAGGGTTAGGGTTAGGTTATGGTAAGGCTAGGATTTGGGCTACATATATTCAAAAATATCTACATATTAAGCAAGTGCACTGAGATCAGGTCCCCTAAATGTTAGGGAGGTGATCGAATTTTAACTGGAGGACTTGTTTTCTTCCGTCAGGTGTGGGGGAGATGCAGCTTCCAGGAATAAGAGGCAACAGTTGATTCTAATAGCAGAACAAGACAAAAGTGAGAAAGTAAATTGAAAATCATCCCTACAGGTACCATTTTGGTTAAAAATGTTAAAATAACCAGAACAATGGCAAAAAGACACACACAGTGCAAAGATGGGAAAACTTACCAATTTAAAAATTATGCTTACTCCCTTTTCCGAAAACTGTGGTCCTCTGATACTTAAATGGAAAATTTGGTTCTGTGAGCTATCTCAGGGTTCTCATGGCCATACTATTGTTACTTCAATGTGGTACTTTGAGTGTGCAGTCATTATTTAAAAGACTTTCACCCGATATCCCACAAGAATTCCTGGAGACACCATCCTGCCTACCTCATGTTTTAAAAAATGAGGCTTTTTCCTCTATCTGCTGACAGTGGGTCTTTTTGTTTGTTTTGTGTTTTCTTTTTGTTTTTTGAGACAGGGTATCTCTGTATAGCTTTGGAGCCTATCCTGGCACTCACTCTATAGACCAGGTTGGCCTTGAACTCACAGATTTCCGCCTGCCACTGCCTCCCAAGTGCTGGGATTAAAGGCATGTGCCACCAACGCCTGGTGACACTGGGTCTTAAGAAAGTTGTTGCTTATCATGCAGAGACCCATTGTCTTGTCTAGGCACACATTTTAGTACCTTAAGCCAACCCACAGGAGTGAAAAGACCCTTGTGTAACCTATCCCCCTTCTTCTTTCCTTCCCCTTTCTTTTAAATATAATAGCAGAATGGCAACAATCCATTAGGGAAAGGAAGGCAATGTATAATTACCCTTTAGGAGTGATGTTTATTAGGAGAAAAGGCCCTGGGACCTTAAGGTGGTGGAGGGAGACATTAGACAGTGTTGGTACAATATGTGTGAGGCGAGTATGGTGGACCTTCCAGGAAAGAAAGGCTTCTGTACAAAAACCTGTAAAGGACTTCATTAAGAAAAGAGTGGTTCCAGGATGGTCAAGTGGTCTAAGGTTCCAAACTTAAGAGTGAGGATATGAGAGACATCGAGGAAAGGAGATGGCTCCCAAGAAAGGGCGTGCAGACCTACCTTCAGACGAAATCCCCAGGGCAATCACTAGAACAAAGGGGTATCTGGGTTTTGGGTGCTTTTAGGGGGCAATGGGATGCTGTAGAATATTAGTTTAAGATGTGTTACGTTCGCTTATGCTGTGGAATATTCGTTTAATGATGCAAAGATGTGATGCATTCTTTTATGTTGCATTTGTTTAACTCTATAAAGCTGTGTTAACTTTGCCTGTCTTAAACACCTGATTGGTCTAATAAAGAGCTGAGTGGCCAATAGTTAGGTAGGAGAGAAATAGGCAGGGCTGGTGGACAGAAAGAATAAATAGGAGAAGAGGAGGGTTGGGAGAGGACGACTCCAGGTGGCAGCCACAGAGTAAGGAAGAAGGAAAGGTATGTAAAATAGAGAAAGGTAAAAGCTTAGAGGCAAAAGAAAATTTAAGAAAATATAGTTAGAACAAAGCCTGGCTAAGCCTGGGCATAAGTCCCCATGTAATTATGTGATTATTTGGGAGCTAGGTAGTGAACCCCTAAAGAGTTAAAAAAAAAAAACCCTACACTGGGAAGTTTTACTCCACATGATTCAGTTCAACATAGCATACATGATAGAGTATGGGTGAGCCAGGTACAGGTTAGAACCATAAATTACAGGCTATAAAAATATAATATGAAACAGCTTCTTAACTCTCTGTCCCAGGGAGAGCTGCAGGGGAGATATGGCCAGATGTTTTCAGGGGATCTGAACTCATGTAAGAGTGACCACTGTCTTAAAGGGTAGGCCTGTGTTCCAGCACTTGTCTTTTTAAAGTTCTCTTAGGTGGGGGCTTGGTCTTTTATGGGGATCCTCTCCACCACTAGGATCATAAAGAATGTCTAATAAAACCCAAAGCTCTCCGAACTCCTTTTTTTTTTTTTTTTTTTTTTTTTTGAGATAGGGAAACAGGATCTCAATATGCAGGCCAAGCTAGCTTTAAACTTTCATCTGTCGTCCTGCCCCTGCCTACAGAATGCTGGATGCTGGCATTACAGATGTGCATGACCATGTCCATCCAGTCCAATCTATCTGTCCTCTGTCCACCCTTCCATTCTCTATCCCTCTCTCCTTCACCTCTTCCCTGTCTTTCTCTTGGCTGGGTCTTAGTAGCTTGAACTTCCTATGTAGCCAAGATGAAGAGCATGGACCTTGAATTTTGGCCCTCTTGTCTCTGTCTCCCAAGTTCTGGATTTACAAGTACCGAGGCTCCATTTATGCAGTGGTGGGGATTCGATCCAGGGCTTCTTACACATTGGGCAAGTCTTCTGTCGATGTAGCTGTATGCTCAGCTCAAATTCCTTGAGCTCAGGCCCTGGTCTTCCCCTCCTTTCCACTTTGCTCTCTTGGGATCTGCTTGGACTAGGCAAGGTCTCACAGTGGGTACAATATGCAGCCTACCATGTATGGACAGAGAATCCAGTTTATCAAGGAAGCCCACCAACACCAAACATGATGTTGGTAAATGAGATCACCTAACACCTGTTGCATTTTGGCTTCTTAATCTCTGGTTGAGAGTGGGCCTTTGGAAATTCTATGTAACAGTGGTCTTCAACCTGTGTGTTGCTACCACCTTGGGGTTGAATGACCCTTTCACAGGGGTTGCCTAAGACCATCAAAACACACAGATATTTTCATTATGATTCATAACAGTAGCAAAACTGAAGTTGTGAAGTACCAATGAAAATAATCTTATGGTTGGGAGGTCACCATAACATGAGGAACTGTATTAAAGGGTTGAAACATTAGGAAGGTTGAGAACCGCTGTAGTCTATAAAATTCCTGGTTAGTACTGGTGGGACACACTTGAAGGCAAGATGGGTACTTCGGGTACTTCTAAGAGCTTAAAGAGTGAGCTGCCCTCCAGTCCTTTGAAGGCCAGCATAAGGGTACTGAAAAACTCAACTGGGGCACCTAGACATGGGGTGAGGGAGTAATAATGCAGCTTTTCCCACAACAGTGGGGGTGGATGGGTGAGTGAGGGGTTCTCAAGGCAGCAAGGCATTTCCTATACATTCATATTGTATTTTACATGATTGTCTCAGACTTATAAACAAGCCCTAATCTTTATTAAAATTCTAATGACTTATTTTATTTTAATGTATATGAGTATTTTGCATGTATGTATGCTTGTATGTTTGTTTGTATGTATATATGTGTGCCACATGTTTACCTTGTATATGTGAAGGTCAGAGGAGGGCATTAGAGCCCCTGGAAATAGAGTTACAGAAGGTTGTGAACCATCATGTGGGTGCCGGGAACTGAACTAGTGTCCTCTGTAAGAGCAGCAAGTGTTCTTTTTCGAGACAGGGTTTCTCTGCAATTTTGGAGGCTGTCAAAGGCATGTGCCACCACCACCCGATGAAGCAAGAGTTCTTAACCACTAAGCGATATCTTCAGGCCCAAGTCCTAATCTATTTGTTGTAAGGGCTGGGCTTGACTTGCAAGCAATTAGCAGTGAAAAGTAAAATGATCTGTGCCATAAAAATTTGTATACATGGAATTGAACAGATAAATGACTAAAAATTAGATCAATGATGGGAGATTAATAAAAGACAAAATGTATAATCAGCCACTGAGAAATTAAAAATTATCTTGTGGGTTTATTAATAGATAACATTCATCTATTTAGTTTATTTCAATGATATGGAATAAGAACCCGTTATGTTACATATTATTTATTTTTGGTGCTGATGAGGAGAAAGAAATTCAAGACAAACCTACTATGATGAAGTTTGTTTTAACTTTGAAGATTTCTGCAGTCAATGTTTCTCATGAGACTCTGCCATATTGCTGCATCATACTAACCCCTTTTGCGATATGTCTTGGTTGCTAGGCAAATGTTCCATCACTGGCAAGTGCTCCATCACTGAGCTATGCCCCAGATTCTTTTGATCTGGCAAAATTTGTCCTTGGTTTCTAGGAAAAGCCTAGAAAAAGCAATCTGGGCTGCCCACGTGGGCAAAAGATGATCCTCTAGAGCAACTTTCTCAATGTTGTGACCCTTTAATACAGTCCCTCATGTTGTGGTGACCTCTACCCATAAATTTATTTTCATCCCTATTTCAGAACTGTAATTTTACTACTGTTGTGAATTGTAATGTAAAAACTATTTTCTAGTGGTCTTAGGTGACCCCTGTGAAAAGGTTGGTCAATCTCTGAAGGGGTGGCAACCCACAGGTTGAGAAACATTGATCTATAGGCTACTGAAAGGGGCGGGATTCCATCTCAGTGATGGCAAAATTCGATCCAGTTGCAATCAGGATGCCCTTGTTAGGTTTTAAGTACACCACCATCTGGCAGGTTGTATAGCCAGTCAATATAACAGAAAGGGTGCAATACTGGATTCAAGTGCAGGCTGGACACAATACTGTTCACCTCCAATCCCAGCTACTCAGGAGGCTGAGGCACGAGGGCCATGTGACCACAAACTGGAGTCTAAACTGGGAAATATAATAACAGCCCCATCTGTAGAAATGTATAGTTAGAATAAGATTTTTCAGCAAGCTGGGTATTTTACAGTCGTATGTTTTATTACAGCAATCGTCATTATTTCCTGAGGTAAATACAACTAAATCAGAGCATCAGCAACAAGTGTCGGTGTTCCTCTTGCCTCACTTTGAAAAGCAGAAAAAGAGGGGGGAAAGCATTTCTAGATCACTTCAAGTTGTGAACTGGGGTACCTGCTGACGCCTTCTGCTTCTTCCCTCACTGCGGGCTTTTCTTTTCATGTGATCCTCTTGAAAAGAATCAAAGTAGGCACTGTCCAGCAGTTGGGCACAGGTCAGTCTGTCATCTGGGTTCATCTTCAGACACCCCTTTGGAGGGGGAGAAAAGGAAAAACAGATGTAAGAGATGGGCTTAATTCGCTCCGGATTATCCGAAATTCTAATGAACAAGTGGGCAAAAACGGTTTAAGAAGGCAAGCGTCAGGCTGAATGTGGGTGGTGGGCGCTCGCTGCAAGCACATGCAGTTCTGGGTTTCAGCTCCAGAACAACACACACTGGGTACCTGTAATCTTAGCACTCAGGAGGCAAGAGGATCAGGAGTTCAAGATCATCCTTGGCTACGTGAGATCAAGGCTAGCCTGTGTCTGTGCAACATAAACATCTGTCTCAAAGAAAAAAAAAGGATGAAAAAACCTCCAAGAAATTAAATATATAAATAATCAAATTATTCAGTCCTTGTGTTTTGGCTTTTTTTTTGAGAGAGAGAGTACCATGTAGCTCAAATTGTCCTTGAACTTGCAATAAAACCAAAGACAACCTTAAATCCCTGATCATCCTGTCTCCATTCTCCAAGTACTGGGATTACAGGCATGTGCCACCATACTTGACTAAGTCCTTGGAATTCCTTCATAGCTAGACATGCTCTTGGTACTCAGACTTTCCTATGTGAGTGCAAGCATGAGTGTCTATGTGTTCAGGCATGGTTCTGCATGTGTACATGTGTGGGTGCCTGTGTGTATGTATATGTACATGTGTATGTGTGTGTGTGCATGTATGTGTATTGTGCATGTGTGTATGTGTGCTCATAATGTGTGGAGGCGCGAGCGCGTGCATGCGTGCGTGCGTGTGTGTGTGTGTGTGTGTGTGTGTGTGTGTGTGTGTGTGTGTGTGTGTAGATAAACCTGCTCACGTGTGTCTGTGGAGGCCTGAGGTTGATGGCGAAAGTTGTCACCTTAATTCATTAGCTGGTCAGTACAGCTATTCTAGCTAACTGGATTGCTCTACTTTTGGGAGCGGCAATTACAGGTGGGCCACCATGCCCCTGGCATTCATGTTCGGGGATCCAAACTCAAGTCCTCACATTGGCTCAGCAAATGTTTCATTCACAGAGACATCTTCCTATCCTACCACTCAGACGTCTAAGAGAAGACAGGGAGAGCCACACATGGATCAGGGGTTGTCTCTGATCAGTGACATCTTTTTCACCACGAATGGAAACAGCTTTTCCAGCCTTGGAGCATCAGTGTCACAGAAACCCCTTAGAGACTCAAGTTCCAGGCCCTACCCTCACCTGCTAAAGGGGAAGTGGGTAGTTCGAGGTCAGACTGGGCTACATGATACTTTAGTTTGTCTTACGTTGTGTGTTTGTGTGTGGGGGGTGTCTAAGTGGAGGCTGCCATCCTGAGATGCTCTGGAACTTCAAATTGAGAGCCACATCTTGCTTGATTAATTTTTTTTTCCAAGACAGGGTTTCTCTGTGTAGCCCTGGATGTCCTGGGACTTGCTCTGTAGACCACACTGGCCTCAAACTTAGAGATAAGCCTGCCTCTGCCTCCCAAGTGCTGGGATTAAAGGCATGAGCTACCACCCCTGGGCACTTGGTTAATCTTTTGAGCACTGATATTGATATGGCGGGGACAAGTCTTCTGAGTCCTCATCTTCCCAAGTAACAGTCTCTGTACAACTGTATGAGTCCTTAGAAGTCCTCTCAGCCAGCTCCAAACCTGGCAAAATGTCTGAAGTCTGGATTCGAGAAACAAACTGCAAAGTCCAATGTGGGGGTTCCTTTCATTCTAAAAAATAATTAAAAAGTTGCTTGTGTGTGAGAGGAATATGTGTATGTATATATGGGCACGCATGTCATGGAACATGTCGGGGTGGGGGTTAGTGCTCTCCATCTTTAAATTACTATTCCCTACTTTGGCACTATGTTCCAAATAGCCTCCCCCACCTCTGTGCTGAACGACCAGGTTCAATAATTACAGTTAATTCCCAATTACCTTCATGAAACTTAAAGCCACAGGCTGAATATTTGAGAAATTTTCTTCAAGAGTCTCCTAGAAAACAGAATTTCAGTGTCACATAACAACAAAGTAATGAATAAGTACGTATATGTGAATGTATGTATGTATTTCATAGTCTTTGGGAACTAGGTTTATAGCCTTGTGAATGCTAGGCAAACGTTCTACTGCTGAGTCATGTCCCCTGCCCACAGTGTGTATTTGACAAAACACTTGGGAGAAACACCCTTAATATGTTTGATGACCCTTCTTACGTTTTTTAAACATGTTTTTACATACTTTGGTAGTATAGTATAAAGGTTCAAGAGATATAAAACGAGAGCTGCTGTCTTGCTGTCTTAATCTGGCAATGACTTACTCTTGGTGCTAGTAATCCTGGGAGGGAAGAGAACAGGGACGATTCAAATGTGAAACATACCCACCCGAGATCCTGCCATAGTACTCCGCTGTTAGAGCCTGATACATTAATGACGGTGTTTGAAACATACTGCTTCATATACTGAAAAAACTACAGCAATCAATAGAAGGTGAAACATCCCAGAATAGCAGGGAGGGAAGGAGATGGAGAAATTGCAAAGTTAACAGTAACATTCTACTTATCAAACTGGACAGCAGACATTTGTCATATCTTATTCTTTACATTAGACAGGTTACAGAATTAATTCTTGTGTAACTTTTTTCTTTTTCAATATTTCTTGTGTGTGTATGTATGTGTGGGGTGAATGTGCATTATGTGTGTGTGCCTACACAGAGGAAAACCATACAAGTGCGTGAAGAGGCCAGAGGTCTACATGGGTATCCTTCTCCATCATACTCCTTACTTCCTTGAGTGAGGGCCTTTCACTAAAGCTGGAGCTGTTTTTAAGCTGGGCTGGCAGTTAGCAAGCCCCAGTGTCCGGTGTTCCCACTGCTGAGGCTATGGATATGCACAGCCACACTCATCTGTTTGCATGGGTTCCTAGTCCTCATGTTTGTATATCAAGCGCTTAGTCTCCGAGCATCTCTCTCTCCCTGGTGTGTGTGTGTGTGTGTGTGTGTGTGTGTGTGAGAGAGAGAGAGAGAGAGAGAGAGAGAGAGAGAGAGAGAGAGAGAGAGAGAGAGAGAGAGAGAGAGAGAGAGAGAGAGTTTCACTATATAGCTCTGGCTGCCTTGTTCCAGAATCTGCTGTATAGCTCAGGCTGGTATCACAATTGTGTTAACAGACCTGAGTATTGGGATTATAGCCATGCTACCATGCCTGGATTTTTATAAATAGTTTTGGAATAAAGGCCTCAAAACAGCCCAGGCTCCCAAGTGACCCAGCATCTTGAGTAGTGGGGAATTCTGCTGTGCCCCACTGTGTGTGGCTCACATATTTTAAAGGGACTAACTTCAGTTTGGCATCAGTGTTCCATACAGAAGACAGCAGCCAAAAGCACACATGTGAAACACCCATCTCTTTACAGACACAGCACGAACAAGTCATCCAGCACAGAGCCATTTACCATGTCTTCTGGTTCAGGTATGCTGATGCCACGGAAAAACTGGTTACTCTTAAAGATAGACTGATGTCTTGGGATGAGTTTCCCTGTAAAACACAAACCACGAAGCTCCTGATACTCGGGTTAGAAAATCATAAAGTATATTATAAAAGTCTCCTAAGATGACGGTATTAAGGGGACACTGTGCCTGAGTGTTTCCTCTAGACATAGGCAGTTGAGCCTGTGCAGAGGCAAGGACCACCCTCCACATATCCTCTTTGCCAAACAGCCTTCCTGTAAGTGAGAAGGTGCTGCTGGGTTCTTCATGCTCATTGTCTCTCAACAGAATTCATAGCTTCCCTCCCACCCTCCCTCCCTTTCTCCCTTTCTTTCTTCCCTCCATCCGCCTCCGACTCCCTTCCTCTCCCTGATGGGGGAAGTCCTTCTATGTATATGTAAATAAAGTACTGTTGGCCAATAGGGAAGCAAGATAGAAGGGACTAGGAGTTGAAGAGGATTCTGGGAAATGAGGTCAAGGGAGCGTCGTTGCCATGACATCCCTGGAGGAAAGAACACAAGTCTGGCATTCTAGGAAAGATAAGTCCTTATTTAAAAAAAATAAGTAAATAAATAAAACATATATATATATAAAAGTAATTATGGGTTAATATTTAAGTCAGAGCTAGCCAATAAGAAATCAAGCAAATGGCCAACAGCTTCATAATTTAATATAGTGTCCTGTGTGTTATTTGGGGCTAAAGTGCCAACAGTACCTAGGCAGGAACCCTGCAACATCCCTCCTTTCTTTTTTTTCTTCCTTTAATACAGGAGCTTGTCTATTCCAGGCTGGCCTCAAACTATGTAACCAAGCATGATCTAGAACTCTTGGTATTCCTGCCTCTGCGCCTCAGATCCTGGGATCACAAGTGTGGGCTACCATGCCTGATCCTGATCCATGCAGCGCTGGAGTTCAAACCTAGGAATGTATGCATGCTTGAAAAGCACTCTACCGTTGAGTGTATGCCCAGCCTGAGAACTGCCTGTTCTAATTTCAGAGAGGAAAGTGAGGCTGAGAGAGGGTTCATCAGTTGGTCATACAAACAGGAGTCAATACAGATCTGTCTGGAGAGTCAGAGAACTAAGCAAACAGACACATCCATAGAAGGTCTGACCCACAGTGATTCTCTGCCCCACACCTTTGTGCTCCCTGAGAGAATGAGCTAGAGAGAAACAGAGAACTGCCCAGCAGGTAGAAAGCTAGAGCAGGTCTGGGAAAGAATCAGCGTGTTCATCCTGAGGAGAGAGCAGTTAATGGCTTTGCATTCAGCTCCTGGAGTGGATCTGTAGTCTACACTGGGTTAGATCCCCTTCCAATCATGGGAGGAAGACTACAATTTCTGACTGTCAAGAATGACACAGAATCCAAAGCTCGAGAGACAGGCTCCCAAGTGGGCTGGTGGAGAGTTCAGTGGCAGAAGGCCTCCTTAGCACACATGAGAGGCAATGGGTTCTATCTCCAGCATCTCTCTCTCTCTCTCTCTCTCTCTCTCTCTCTCTCTCTCTCTCTCTCTCTCTCTCTCTCTCTCTCTCTCTCTCTCTCTCTCCCTTCCTCCCTCCCTCTCTCTCTCTCTCTCTCTCTCTCTCTCAGACACACACAAATAAATAAATAAATAAATAACAACTCTTGTTGTTGATTTTTGTTTTTTGACATAGGGTGCCCTGTGTGTCCTGGAACTCACAGAGACGAGGCCTCTAACTCACAGAAATTCTCCTGCCTCTGCCTCCTGAGTTCTGGGATTAAAGGCATAAGCTACCACTCCTGGAAAAAATTTTAAATAAGTCTTTAAATGAAAACATAAATTCCTGCTGGGAAGTGGTAACTTGTGCCTTTAATTTCTGTATTGGGGAGGCAGAGGCAAGTAGATCTCTGTGAGGTCAAGGCCAGGCTGGTCTACAGAGTGAGTTCTAAGGCAGCCAGGACTATATACTGAGACCCTGTCTTGAAAACAAAGTAAAACAACAAAAACAACAGAACAAAAAAATTCAAACCTCCCCTCAAAGATATGAATTCCTTAACATGTTCTCTAGTTATTTTGTTATTTATATTTTACTTATATAGAATACTACACAAGCAGTCAAGGAAGAGAAGAAACTAAGTACTCCTGACCAGCTGTAGCACTTATAACCAGGGCAATGAGCAGCATAGCAGGAGATGCACAAAGGTGAAATAGTGGTATCTTCATGTTGGTGGCAACCAACAACTGTCTGATTGGACTTGATGTCTTGTCTGGTACTGGAAACCTAACCAGCTTCCCTAGCCTAGTGCGGTCATAGGCCTTAGAAAAGAATGTATTACAGCTGCTTTTCTAGACAAGCAATTCCTTACTACATTCCAAATCTTATACTTATACCCACAGGTAACTGCTACAACCCCTCACCCAAAAAGCCTCTCTTTCCTGCAAATATAGACCATCAGAGAAAACCGCAATTAGACACCATGCAGAGATCCACAGGCCATGAGGAGCCTACCACAATGAAAACATCTACAGCACAGCTCCTACATCTATGGTTCAGGAAACATCAAGGAGAGAGGTGGAAAAATTGTAAGAGCCAGAACACCAGGAAGTCTGCAGAGAAACAGTCTCTCCTAGAAACGACTGCATAACCAGGACTGGTAAAAACAACAGCAATATCAGCAGATATACTAATGTGGAAGGGGGAGTTTTCAAGGGGTCCCACTCCCAATGAAGAACTACAGGCAACTGAGAGAAGGAGAATTAGCCTCTTCAGGGATGATCCCCTTATTGGTGGCAGACTAGCTAGCCACAAAAATCATATACACACGAATAATAAAAATGGACTCAGTAAGCTTTATATATATATGTATACATATATAAATACATATATATGTAACAATAATAAAGAAAATGAGGTCATGAACTTGAGAGTGGGAAAGCATCAGAAGGATTGGAGGGAAAATGGGAGAGGCTGGAGGGAAAAAAGAGAAGGGGAAATGTAATTCTATTTCAATTAAAAACATATTAAGAAAATAAAAGATTAATTTGGAAAAAAAGAGTTACTTTATTTTACTTATGTATATGTCTGGGGGTAGGGATTATTCATATGAGTGCAGGGCCAGAGGTGTTCAGATCACAAGTTTTTTTTCTTAAAACTAAGAATTTATAACTTTTAATGTATTATACAGATGGATATCACCTTAAATGTTGACTACTGCTTAGATCAGGCAATAATATCAGCCTTATTGGATTTTCTTGGCAGGGCCTCTGTAGACTCATTGCTGGCACTGTGTGTTCAGACAGGATTGGGCTTTGACTACAACCAAGACACCAGAGATCTTCCCCCCAGAGCCTTAGAGAAGCAATGGACTTCTTGCTTTCATTATATTATCTATCATATGGGTGCTATAACATGTGGACCACAAAATGCAATTCATACCCAGAGTCCTGATGATCAAGTAAAGTTGGTCCACATCTGATTTTCCTGGCCAGAGTGGCTGACCTGTCAGGAGCTCTGCAAAGACACAGCCGACAGCCCACACGTCCACAGAGGAACCATACTTTGTGTCTCCCACGAGAAGTTCAGGGGCTCGGTACCACCTGGTGGCAACGTAGTCTGTGTAGGCATCTCCTGGAACTGAGAGGGAGAACATCAGGCAGGTAAGATGACATCATCATCCTCTGACCTAGCGTCTCTGACCCATACTCCCCCAGCAGCTGGGACAGAAGTTCAGTCAAATGGCTTCTGTGGCTCTCAGCGAGGACACTGAGTAGTAAGATGCTCACTGAGCCAGGGCCCCAGTGAATACTGAGTGTACCCTAGCAGGAAAACATGAGGAATCATCCCAGACTGGTGTGAGAATTCCTGTCCTGTCACCCAAGTCTAAGCCAGATCTCACTTGTTTCCATTTCTTATCAGCACAGTGCTTGTTGTTAACTAAACTGTATCCTCCAAACTCCAAACAAAACAAAATACAAAAAAAAAAACCAAAATGACAACAAAACCCCCCAAAACATAGATTTGAAGTCCCAGTTTAAATAGGGGCATTTCAGATGTTGTTGAATTACAGTGAGACAGGCCCTGAATTCAGGGACTGCTGCTGCTGCTGCTGCTGCTGCGTGTGTGTGTGTGTGTGTGTGTGCGTGTGTGTGTGTGTGTGTGTGTGTGTGTGTGTGTGTGTGTGAGAGAGAGAGAGAGAGAGAGACAGAGACAGAGACAGAGACAGAGAGAGACAGAGAGACAAAGACAGAGAGAGAGACAGAGAGATAAATAGAGAGAGATACAGAGACCGACACAGAGACAGACAGACACAGGGAGACAGACAGAGAGACAGTGAGAGAGCGCGCCACGGATCTGCCTTAGTTGTCATTCCTCAGACCACTGTTCCCCTCCACCACCACCCTTTTTAACACAGCGTCTGTTTCCTGTGTTGTCCTTGGACCCCTAATGCCCCTGCCTCTACCTTCTAAGTATAGAGGTGAGTGGTGAACAACATCCACGGTTTGTGTAGCATTTCATGCAGGTGCTTTAGCATCCAAGCCACATGCCTAACTCTTACCTTGGTTTGAGACAGATTCTCACTTTTACCTGGAATTTCCCAACCTGTGTGTAGGCTGGCTGGCCTGCAGAGCCTCAGGGATCTGCCTGTCTCTGCCTCCCCAGCACACAGATCACAAACAAGCACAACATAATACCTAGAATTTTTTAAATGTGGATTCTGGGGATTGAACTCAGGTCCCCATGGTTGTACAGTAACCACCTAGCTATTTGAGCAATAACCCCAGTCCAAGGACTGGCTTTATTACAAGGTGACCCTGCAGGGACACAGTGAGGCAGGTATGTGAGTTAGAGTTGATGCCCAAGGAAATGGCTGCCAGGTGACAAACAGTACATCCTGGGATGCGGGAAGCCTCCCCTGACGCCTCCAGGAGCAGGAGAGATCACCTTCTAAGGCCTTAAGCCTCATGGGTTATGGCTGTTCACTCTGGCAGCCCTAGAGATCACTTCAGTCCTGGATGGTTGCCCACACTGCCTTTTCCTATCCTTGTTCCTTTCTCAGTACTATTCAGACAACTTGGTTTGACTCCTTGTGCCGTGAGTCATGCCTGTATGACAGGCAGATGATGGAGATCTAGTTGAAACCTTTCCCGTCGGACATGTCCTTCTGCCTGAGAGTTGCACTGCCTATGGTCACGTGGGTGGAATCCAATCCCATGATGCTATGTGAGCCAGAAGGTTATGAGAGTCTCAGTTCTTCTCCCTCAGAGACTGGAGGGAAGTCAATGAAACAATTCTAATGGGCCTTTAGGGACAAGAGTCATGTGAGTTCTTGGATCAAGTCCACAAATGTACCACGGACAAAGAAAAACTGGTAAAATAGTGGCTTGCAGAGGCTTCATTCTCTTTAAAAAGAGGTCTGGGGCCAGTGAGATGGCTCACTAGGTAAAGGTGTTTGCCACCAACCTTAACCATCTGCATTTCATCCTTGGTAACTACTTGGTGGTAGGAGAGAACCCACTCTGGCAAGTCATTCTCTAACCTACACAAGGGCTCTGTGGGGTGCACACACACTAAATAAATGCCTTTGTTGTTTTACTTTTATTTCGAGACAGGGTGCCTTCTTGTAGCCCTGTCTGTCCTAGAACTCTCTAAGTAGACCAGGGTGGTCTCTAACTGTCTCTGTCTCCAAGTGATGGGGTTAATGGTGTATGCCACCAAGTCAAGCATTTGTGTGTTTTGTTTGTTTGAGACAGGGACTCCCTATGGAGCCCTAGCTGGTCTCAAACTCATATAGAGTTTTCTGCTTCAGCCCCTTAAACTCAGGATTAAAAGTGTGTGCCAGTTCTCAGCTTGAGACAAGGCTTAATTGACTTTAAGGCTGCCCTTAAAGTCCGGTTCATCCTGCTTTATCTGCCAAGTATTGGACATATAGGTGCATTATTAAACTGGGATGGCAATTTTCCTGAGTAAGCAACACACAAACTGCAGCTTGATCACCACAAAAGAATCCAGGGGTTGCAGCTCATCAATCAACAGCTAGAACAGAAAACAACTTTGACTATCCATGACTCTTTCATAAAAATATATAATTTTTTTTGAGACAAGGTCTTGCGTAGCCTGGACTGGCTCAAACTCCTTATGTAGTCACGATGACCTTGAACTTCTGATGATCCCATCTCTACCTCCTAAAGTGCTGTGTCTACAACTGTGTTCCTTTGAGCCCGGTGTATACAGGGCTTCCTGTGTGCTAAACAAGCACTCTACTATTTGAGCCCAGGGCCCCAGCCCCTTTTCCTTTGCATTTCCTGTGTAATTGTACTCACATTGCCTGTATAAGTTTAGCTTGCTTTCTTGCTTACAGTGTCCTGAATGTTTTCTTTTTATATTTAGAATGTGTGTATGAGCATTTGAAGGCTGTGTATGTGCACTCGTGTGTCCGTGTGCTCATACGTGTGCAGGTCAAAGGGACGACTTCAGGTATTGGTCCTTACCTTCCTGGCTTGAGGCAGTCTCTGGTTTTCTGCAGCATCCTCAAGGCTATGTGACTGTGAGTTTCTGGGGCTTTTCCCATCTTAGTCTCTCATCTCATCCTAGGGACACTAGGATTACAAATGTGTGCTGTGTGTCCAACTTTTATGTGGCTTCTGGAAATTCAAATTCTAGTTCTCAGATTTGCAGGGCGAGTGCTTTACACTGAGCCATCTCTCCAGTCTTACAACATTTCCTAGTGTCACTGACAATTCTGTGATCGTCACTTCTAACTGGAATCTTCTATCCCACAAGATGAACTCTTATTACAGAGTCTATGGCTTAGGAGCATCTTGGTTTGTCAGTATCTCTTTTCAGCCACTACAGGGATCAGTTATCATCCATGTCCTATTGTTTTGCACCACCAAGGACAGTAGCCTCATGGGCACTAGGCCAGTTTTCTTTCAAACCTTCAACATTTTCAGTCACTTCTGGGTACCACTGGGATGCAGAGGATGCTCATACCCCCATCCCCGCAGTAAGGTGCATGTTGCTAACACAGGATCCTGTTGCTCTCACACTCTATACTTGGAGAGAAATAGTTATCTATCCCTCAACCCTTTGGCCCCTGGATGCCTGGGGACACTATCCTTTTTCTTAGCACTGTCTCTAAATCATGGTGGCTCTTTAATTTCCAGCTGACTCTTACAGTCTTACCAGCTCCATGGAGCTTTTCCAATCACTCAAGCCCACATTGCTATCTCTCCCTGGGGAACCCTCCTCTCCTTCCCTTTAGTACTTTCTGCCCAGCAATCTTGTCTTATTCTTTCATCTCATTTACTGTGGGTTATAAGTGCCTGCAGAGCAGAAATGCATCTTATGATTCGTTTCCACTCCTTTGGGGCCAAGTGCACAAAGATGCCATCCAATAAATTCAAGCTGAACGGAGAAAAGCTGAATTATCCATTGACTGAGAGGCTAACATGAGACTTTTTTTCCTCTTTGAATAGCAAGACATTTAGCATCTATCCATTATCATAGGTAAGAACACAAATGACATCAATTTCTTGTCATCTGAGTTAGATGAAGCAGGAAAAAGAAATGTGCTTACTCAGAATCCGTGCGAATCCAAAGTCACAAATCTTAATCATTCCTTGCTTGGTTATTAGGATGTTTTCAGGTTTCACATCCCGATGAATACACTGTAAGATAATATTTGCTTAATTAACTGAGCCACCATAATGACAAAGAATCAACAATACTTATTAGTTTAAATGATGGATAGTTTACAGTTGTACAAAAGCTTCATAGCTCACAACTGAAAAACGAAAGATCTTCATTTTCCTAGAAAAATTTAAATTGTCCATTTTCATGTATGAATCTCACCAAATAAAAGACAAAATTTTACCTAAATGTCAGGATACCATCAAAGATATTAAAACTGCAATTGTTACACATGGAAACTGTGTCTGCCTGGATCTTTTGAAGAAAGAAACACACACAATCCGGTGAGTTTGTTCACTTTCTACTGTTCCTATTTGAACTGTAATAGAAGATGGACATATGTAAACAATAAGACACTCCAAGTGCCTTTACCAAGAATCGTTGCTATTGATGGCCCACAATTCAGGTTGGATAATGCAGATTTGAGAGGTTGGAAAAAAAACAACAACAACTCAACAACATTAAGATGCTAACAGAGGAGCATGAGAAAATTAGCATATTTGAAAGAGATTTTCATCTTGGGGGAGTTAAATTTGTCTAGAAATTACCCCCCTCCTGCCACTGAGAATGTGCAGCAGGTAAAGGAACTTACTTGGCAAGCCTGGCAACCTAGGTTCAATCCTGGGAACCCATGTGAAGGTAGAGGGGGAGAATCAGCCTCACAGAACCGTTCTCTGGCCGCCCCATATGCACTCATCACTGTGAACAGTGCCACATGAAGGAAGGCATTATGTATTTGCCTTATTTTCATTTGCTTAGTTTTTGCAGTTCAGGGAATTGAAACTAGGGGGTGCTTTGGCATATTAATCAAGCATTCTACCAGTGCGCTATCTCCCCAGTCTTAAATGACTATTTATTTGCAGCATTGGTGATTGAATCCTGAGCCTTGGGCATGCTAGGCAAGTGTTCTACCAATAAGCTGTAACCCCCAGCCCATACTTGTCTTCCTATATTTTACAGTAGTCAGAGTCCACAAGGGTAATCTACTCTATCTATGCAATTCCAGTGTTATTATTGATAGGCTATTTCTGAGACAGGATCTCATGATATAACCAAGGCTGTCCTCTTCCAACTCATTATCCTCCTGCCTTGGCATTCTGAGAACTGCAATTACAGGTGTATACCACCACTATATTGGGCTGCAATCCCAATGAAAATGCAGAAGCAATGATGCCTTTCGAAAATGATCATTTCATAATCTTAATGAATTCTGGATTCAAGCAAGAATGTGGAAACCATCAGGTATAAAGATGAAACAAGGAAACTGAAATTGGGGGCAGTGGGGGAGGGGTGGCTATCAAACTAGTAACCCCTGAGCCTACCAATCAGGATCACCATCACTAAGGTCAGGATTACCCGACATTATACATCTCATGATGTTGATAAAATAAGAAGCATGTGAGTCTACACATCAACACTGTTATCTAAAAACAGCAATAAAAACAAGAAACTAACCCTGGAACTGGTACAATAGCTCAGTGGGTTAGAGTGCTTGCCCTGCAAACATTGAGACCCACCTGGGTTGGGATTACCAGAACCTACATAAAAAGCAAGGTACAGCTGTCTACACCTATAATACCAGTACTGGGGTGAAGATAGGAAGAACCCAAGAGATTGCTGATGGGCTAGTCTAATGAAAACTGCAGCCTTCTGATCTCAAGGAAATAAGGCAAAACACAACAGGGAAAGACAATGTCTTGCTGTGGCTTGAACTTTTGTACATGAACACACACACCCTCTCCCAAAACCAACCCCTAAATCCTACAGTGTAGTTGGTTTTATTTTACTCTTTGGATGCCCGGCCACCTAGCTCCCAAATAAATATATGGAGACTTACTCCTACTTATGAATGCCTGGCCTGTTGTGACCAAGTTGCAAAGTTCCCAGAGACCACCAGGAAGACAGACTCACTAAAACCGTAAAAGCAAGGTTTTAATTGTTCATCCACCCATGACAGATACCCCGTCTGGCTAGCTGTCCCAGAGGGAGTGAATTACATCTGTAGGTATGGGTTGGTTTCTGATTGGTTGACATTTGGGAACAATTAGGAGAATTTCTCAAAGTCATATTTTGGTATGAAATACCTGTGTACCAATAATTTTTATTTGTCAGTGCTAAAAGGGAACATTCTGTGGTTTCTATGGAATAGTTTTGTTACTTGCAAGTGGCCTGTTGTTCATAGATATCAATAGTTTTCAGAACTATATTCTTGAGACTATAGGCGAGGTTTTGGTTTCCCCTGGAGTTTCTTTTGCGACCAAACAGTTCCCAGAAACCAAGTATCTAGGAGGCTGGAGGGGTGACATTCTGCAGTTTCTTTGTGTTCAATTTTGGCCCTAGGCTCTGGGAGGCCAGAGGATCTGGAGTTTCCTTGTGTCAGAGGCCTACCTGTCTTTTCTGTAGCCTGTCATAGCTACTAAAGCAGGGGGCTGAATCAGGGTCTGGTCCCTTTATTTCTAAATTATTAGAAGTAAAGCCTTTGAGTTTAGTTTACCCCTTTCATGCCCTTAGCTTGACTTGTTTCTAGCCAGCTTTTCTAACTTCTATTAGCCCAATTCTCTTCTACTTTTTGCCTTTGGGCTTTTTTGCCTTTCTTTCTTTCTATATGTCTTTCTTCCCTTCTTACTCCATGGTTGGTTGTATGGTTGGGTAGCTGGCCCCTGGTGTCCTCCTTTCCTCTTTTTCTCACTCCTCCTCTTCTCCTGAGCCCGATGTCTCCTATTTCTCTCTCCTGCTAGCTATAGGCTGCCCAGTTCTTTACTAGACCAATCAGGTGTTTTAGACGGGCAAAGGAACACAGCTTTACAGAGTTAAACAAATGCAACATAAAAGAATGCATCAAATCTTTTCATCATTAAACAAATATTCCACATCATAAGTGAATGTAATACATCTTAAGAACTTAAGTAAGAACACTACAGTAACTACAAAACCCAATCGAATGTCATGATGGTCAGGCTATAGAGAGAAGATGGACAATTATTTTAGCCCAATTTAAACAATCTTGTAATCATTAATTCTGTAATGGAAGGAAACACTAAGCCCACACAAACTTTGAATTCACAAGCTATCAGTAGCTTAATTGTCATGGAAACAGGAGAAGGACTGCAAGTGATAATCTGCCTTTCCTCACATAGGACTTGCTTTGATCTTAGTTGCCTGGCTCTTTCTTTCTGTCAGAAGAGTTATTATGGAGAACTTCCTAGCATTAGAAGGTGCTACTTACATTATGTTTGTGGCAGAAGTTAAGGGCTTGAAGGGTTTGCCACAGCACGCTTTTGATGACTCCATCAGGAACACTGGAGGAAAAGAACAAGTGTAGAAATGAAAACTCCTGGGATGGGGTCCCAGAGGCAAGGGCTGGGAACAAGTGGGCAGATGGGTTCAAAGCAGTCAAAGAGCACAGCGCACTGGGGGGAGCAGGTGGAATTGCTTTAAAAATGATCTACATGGTCTGCCTGCTTGTATGTTTATGCACCACATGCATGCCTGGTACCCTTGGAGGCCAGAAGAGGGTTTGAGGTTCCCTGGGATTGATATTACAGTTGGTTATGTGCAGCCATGTGGATTCTGGGAATCAAGCCCAGGTCCTCTGGAAGAGCAGCCTGTGCTCGTAACCACTGAGCCATCTCTCCACCTGTGCTTCTTATAAAGTCTTTGTGTATACATAAAAATTATGTGTTTGTCTATGTTCATGTATGTGAGTGGACACATGTACACATGTGGAGGTCAAAGTGGTGGCCGTCACCTTCTACTTTGAGGCAGGGTCTGTTCTTTTTGTCACTGCATGTGCTAGGCTAGCTGGCCCCCGGAGCTTCCACAGTCTCTTGTCTCTGCCTCTTGTTTTGCCTTGTGAGTGCTGGGTTTATGGGTACACATTACTGGGTCTTGTTTTATGTGGATTCTGAGAACTCAAGTCCTCACATTTGTGGAGCAAGTGTTTTATCCATAGAGCCATTTCCCCAGCCTGCTGCCCTGTTAAAACCAAACAAATAAACATATTTGAAGCCTGTTCTCATGGCACAACCCTTTAACCCCAGCACTCAAGAGGCTTAGGCAGGAGAAGCACTAGTTTGAAGCCAGTTTGGGCTACATAAGAAAACAAACAGCTAGGTATGGCAGCCCGCAGTGGTAATCCCAACACTCAGCAAGCTGAGGCTGGAGGATCACCAACAACTTCAAGGCCAACTTGGACTTCAGAATGAGACTCTGAGAAAAATGAAACCACTAGCAAAAGCAAATATTTCTTTCTAACATACACCCCTCCTACTTTGTCTTTTTCTGTTTGTGGCCGCTGTATGTAATCAGGTTGCTAGAACTGGTCTCTACGTTCTTAGCATTTGCTTGCTCAGTTTACACTGCTCTGTTACAGAACTTTATCTTGGTGCGTCGCTCATCTTTCCAACTCTGCTATTTTTAAAACCAGAGACACAAAAGTGTAACTTTATATGTAAGACTTTAAATTATATTTTAAGCTACTTAGAAGTGCATGTGTGTACATATTTAAGTAGGCATGGAGACAACTTGGAGGAGAGAGCTCTCTCCTTCCACTATGTGGATCCCGGGGCTTGAACTCTGGTCACCAGTTATGGCTGGTCCTAATGACAAGGTACTGCCATGTAAGGCTGGTCTATCCAGAAAAATGAACATAGGGATTGATTTTTCCTAGAGCAGTTCCTTATCTTAGGTCATGATTATAGTAATATGCCCTTGACAGTCAGGTATCTGGTGGCAACCTTTGACTCCAGTTATAATTATTAAAATTATGAGAGACCTTATTTTAATATAAATCCTTCTTCATATAAAGTATCTATTTCTGCTTCCTGCACTGAGTTTTATTATAATTTTACCCTTGTCCACCTTTCCCTAGCCAAAGCTGAGATAACAGCATTTCTTTTTTATGAAGTACAAAGGCAACCATAGCCTACTTCCTACTTTTATAAAAGTTTATAACCTTAGAGAGTTCTGGAAGCTTCCTTTCTGCCTGTATGAAAATAGAGTAACACCCTTAAATTCATGAGAAAGCTATGACCAAAGCGCCTGGGCTTAACATCCACTTGTGATCAGGAGATAAAGGTCTGAGGCCAAACGAAGCCAGTAGACATGACTACAACCCCGGCGTGGTGATCAGAGGTCCCAAAAGTAGATGTTCCTGGGAGAGAAAGAACTAGAAGTGTGGAGGAATATAAGGTTGAAGCAAGAAGCCATAGAGTCCACAAAACCTTCTGGAACAAGGACCTTGCTCCAAATCCAAAGCCATCAAAAGGAATCGAGCAAGATGTGACACAGTGCAGACAGCGGCTTTCTAAGGAGTGAAGTGAGTATAGGGAAATGAATTAGAAAGCAGCCCAGGAAAGGGTGAATGTGGTGGAGGGGAGGGAGGGCTCCAGCCCTCGGGAAGAGATGGCCACAGGTACTAGGTGGCTGTACCAACAGACACAGGACACTGGGGAGGCACCCAAAGACTCCAGGAGAAGGAAACTGGGAAGCAAGCCAGGTGTAAGGGTTCAGAAATGGTCAGAAACCTGACTGCTGACCTTGCTAACAACAACAACAACAAAACCTAGCAGAGCTAATTCCATGGGGGCATCACTTGTCAAAGAGGATATACAAAGACTTCTTACTGGAGTGTCACGCCTCTGTCCAGTTAGCTCAGATTCTAAGGAGGTAGAGTCCACTGCTGGCAGAGTCAGCATCCACTAGGGATGAATGGCATTGACCTCAGAGAGGAGATGGATCTGCAGATGGACAGTTGGACGGTGCTTGGGAGAGCACACCAAAGCCTTTCTGCCATAGGCGGCAGTTTCCAAAGCACTGCAGAGTGAAAGAAAACCCTCAGCAGAAATCAGTCAATACGTGGTGTTTGATATTATACGGAGGTCTAGTGTAAACACAAATACCAAACGAAATGTTGAAAAGCTTAAAGCAGTTGGCTCAATTCAAGGCTAAATGGGCATCATGTCCAAACGACTTGAGCTACCCAGCTCAGAAACTGCAGCCTTGGTCACCTGAAGATGATGCTGACCTCATAATTCACTTGTGCAAGAGTGTGTGATATATGTGTCTGTGCATTTGCATACATATGTGTACATGATGCGCACCTGTTGGAGGCCAGAGGTTGCTTTCCTAGGATCTTCTTCTGTCCACCTAATTCTTTTTTTTTTTTTTTAAAGATTGAGCTGGGCAGTGGTGCCTTTAATCCCAGCACTCAGGAAGCAGACACAGGCAGATCTCTGTGAGTTCAAGGCCCACCTGGTCTACATAGTGAGTTCTAGGACAAGCTACAGAGAAACCCTGTCTCAAAAGACCAAAAACAAATTTATTTTATTTTCAATCTTTTTTTGTTTTTTGAGACAGGGTTTCTCTGTATTGTTTTGGAGGCTGTCCTAGAACTCGCTCTGTAGACCAGGCTGGCCTCGAACTCACAGAGATTCACCTGCCTCTGCCTCCCGAGTGCTGGGATTAAAGGCATGTGCCACCAATGCCTGGCTTTTTATTTTCAATCTTTTATACTTAAACTTTATACTTAAATTTTAATAAAATATCTGTTGTTGGAGTTTTACTTGTCCCACCAGGTCCTGCTGCCCTTCTCAGCTTCAAATAAGCACACGGAGATTTATATTAATTATATAACTATTGGCTAGCTCTGTCTTAATTATTAACCAATTTCTATAAATCTATGTATATTTACATGGTCTTGGCTTACCAAAGAATGTCTGGAACTGTTTCTCCTTTGGCAGCCACATGGCATCTCTTTTTGGTGCCTCTCTGCCTAATTTTCCCAGAATTTTCCTCATCTCTTAGTCCTGCCTATCTTCCTACCTCCATTGGTCAAACAGTATTTTATTCATCAACCAATGACAGAAACATATACACAGAAGGACATTCCCATCAAATATCCTTTTTTCTCAAGACAGGATTTCTCTGTGTAACAGTCCTAGCTATCCTGTAGCCCAGGCTGGCCTCGAACTCAGAGATCTGTGTGCCTATACCTCCCTAGGACTGGGATTAAAGGCATGTGCCACCACCGTTCAGTTTTTTATTCAATTTTTATGTGTACATGTCTGTACTGATTGGTTTTATGTCAACTTGACACAAGAAGGAGCTTCAGTTGAGGAAATGCCTCCATAGGATCCAGCTATGAGGCATTTGCTTAAATAGTGAGCACTAAGAGAGGGCCTATCCCATTGTGGGTGGTGCCACCCCTGGGCTGCTGGTCCTGGGTTCTATAAGAAAGCAGCTTGAGCTTGCATGAGGAGCAAGTCAGTAAGCAGTTCCCCTCCATGGCCTCTGCACCAGCCCCTGCTTCCAGGTTCCTGGCCTGTTTGAGTTCTTGTCTTGACTTCCTTTGGTGATAAACAGTGATGTGGAAATATAAGCTGAATACACCCTTTCCTCCCCAAGTTGCTTTTCACAGCAATGGAAGCCTAACTAAGATGGTATCTGTATGCATGTGCACTGGTGGATGCCCATAGAGACTAGAGTTGTCAGAGCCCCTGGAACTGGAGTTACAGGCTGTTATGAGCCACCTGACATGTCTGCTGGAAGAGCCATACACGTTCTTAATGGCTGAGCCATCTTTCAGCCTACTACCTCTCCAGTCCTATATAATTTCTGAGACTGGGTACCTCACAGAACCTGGAACTCACTGATTTGGCTACAGTCGCCGGCCAGTTCCAGGGATCTCCGTGTCTCAAGTTTCCCAGCACCAAGATGACAGGCATGCACGTCTACTCCTAACCTTCTACATGGGGTTACGGGAAAGAGAAGGAAGACATATCCAAGCACACATATGGACTTCCCAGGGGATACTCATGTCTTGACTCGCCAATTCTTTACTGTTGGAAAACTAGGTCAGCCCCCGTTCTGCGTAATGACGTTTAAATATTTGTATGTGTATCTTTACACTGAATAATCCCATGATATATATTTCTCTAAGTGGAATTCTGTGACCGAAGTATGAAAACAACTTTAAAAATATTCATACATACTGGCAAGTGATCCACACAGTCGCATTCTCTCCAGATGGAGGAGGTCTGCACACCTGTTTTGCTTGGGGGTGGGCTTCTAATTGAGCCCCCGTGCCTTGCACATGAGGGACAAGCTCTGTCTCACTGAGCTATATCCCCAACCTGTCTTCAGACATTTGAGGCAGGGGCCTGACTGAGTTGCTCAGGTTCCCCTTGAACTTGTAATCCTCCTGCCTCAGCCTCTCTAGCATACCACAGCACCCAACTTAGTCAGATTGAAAATTATGGAATTTTTTTTTGCTTTACTTGTGGAATTTTTTAAAAATTGTTTACCAGGTTCCCTTTTTCCTTCTTTAAAAAAAGTCTTGATTTGTTCTAACTTTCTGAGTTTACAAAATATCGTATGGGGGACATGGGAGAATAGGAGGAAGAGGGAACTGGAATTGGTATATAAAATAAGATTGTTTCTAATTTAAATAAAAAGGAAAAAAGTATCCTATTAGCACATTCTGATTAGAATTTTGTGCTATGGAAAAAAATTGATGAGGTGCTGGGCACACCTTTAATCCCAACATTCGAGAGGCAGAGGCAGGTGGATCTCTGTGAATTCAAAGCCACCTGGTCTACAGAGTAAGTTTCAGAACAGCCAGAGCTATAGAGTTACACAGTGAAACCTTGCCCCCACCCCAAAAAATGAAGCAATATGTCTATACATTTGTAGTATTTCCACCTAAAAACACATGTTCATATCAATAAAACCTTTTAACCATCTTAGTCAGATTTATAGCTGCCTTTTTTCCTTTTTTAAAAATTTCCCTTTTTAAATTTTGTTTTATGTGTGTGTTTACATGTATGCCTGTGCAACATGTACAGGGAGGAAAAAAAAAAAGAGGGCATCTGGTCCCCGGGAACGAGAGTTCCAATGTTTGTGAGCCACTGTGTGGGTGCTGGGAGCCATACCTGGGTCCTCTGCCAGTACAGCCAGTGCTCTGAACTGCTGAGCCATCTGTCCAGCCCCAATAGGTGCCTTTATACTTTAACTTACAGGTGAGTTATAGGACTAGATTTCCACATGCTAAATTGTGGTGCCTCCTTTCTGAGGCCAGGTGATCTGGAGGATGATTTCCTCTGAAGCGACACTGGGATTTAGCCTCTTTTGTTCTCTTGGTTATACTTTATCTCAGTTAGCAGCCATTGCCCTTTGAGGACATTTACCTGAAGTTGGAGGGTGGTAGCCAGGTGCATCAGGCTAGACGGGGAGGAGGGTGGGGGGTGTGATGGGGGGGTGAGGACAGGATGGGGCCAGGTGGGAAGGGAAGGGAAACTGGGGCTGGGATTTGAAATTTGCCATAGTCGACTGCACATAGGGCAGAAGGCAGCTTCTCCATCACTTACCCGTTCGGGTTTCTCTCCAGCTCATTTAACAGCGTGTGGTCACAGTACTCAAAAACTAAATGCATCTTCCTCTTTCTTCTGAACACCTCGATGAGGTTCACAAGGTTTGGGTGTTTCAACTGCTGCAAAAGATTGGAAGCGCCCAGTTGAGTGGGTGTGTTTCCCCTTTCATCATTCTGTCTCTGGGCAGAAGTTTCTTATAGGGGGCGCAATGTGGAAGCTAGAGGTTGACATCAGATGTCCTCTTTAATTTTCACCCCCCTTTAACTTTTTTTAATACTAATAATTAACTGATTGTGTCTGAGTGCGTGGGCATGCACACACTCGTGAATGTGCAATGTCACATGTGTGGAGATCAGATGACAGCATGTGGGAATTGAGTCTCTCTCCTTACCAGTAAGTCCTAGGGATTGAACTCAGGTTGTCAAGCTTGGCAGCAAGCATCTTTACCTGCTGAGCCATCTTGTCTCACCTCTCCCTTTAATTTTTGATACAGGGTCTCTCACTGACATGTGTCACTTACCCTGACTCAGCTGACTGGCTGGCCAGAAAGCCCTAGGTGTCCTCCTGTCTCTACCTTCCCAGAACTGGGGTTATAGACACATGCCACTGAGCACAATATTTTACATGGGAGCTGGGGATTTGAACTGGAGTCCTTTTGCTTGCACAAGAGGCACTTTATTGGCTAATTAATTTCTTCAGCCCCTTGTACAGAATTTTGTTACAGTGCTTCATAAGATAAATGGCTCTTAGAGCCACAGAAACTTCAAGGTGGGATAAACTTAAGATTTTGTAACAAATCACTAACAATGGTAACTAAACTGTTTAAAACCCTCCGGTGATAGCAAAGTGCAAACAATGCACTACTATCAAACCACTGCGCAGCATATGAAAACTAGGAACACACAGGTCATAACATAAATGAAGAATTGAAGAAAAAGAATAATTAAGCAAAAGACTATAAAATCATCAGTGACTACATACCTTACACATTATCATGGACTAAAAAAAGTTTTATTTTCTTTTTAATTGTGTGTGTGCACACATGTGCATGCACACGCCCAGGCACACATGCACACGCGTGCCTGTGCATGTGCATGCACATGAGCGCAGGTACCTGAAGAGTCCAAAGAGGGCACCAAATCCCCTGGAGCTGGAATTACAGGCAGTTATGAGCCACTTGATGTGGGTGCTGGGAATCAAACTTGGGTTGTCTGCAAGAGCAGTGTGTATTCTTAATCTGGGCCCATCTCTCCAGTCCCCCTTTACTATGGACTTAACACAAATGTTGGCTGGATTTAAATGCAGTCTGGTTTCCAGTGTTGGCTCTCTGCAATACTGGATCCTTATTCTTTCATTTTTGTTACCCTTCGTATCACAGGCATCCCTCCAAGTTGATGTGTTTAGGTATTCTTTCCATCGCGTTCTTCTCTGCTGTTTGATTCGGCTGGTTGCTCTGATGTACAAATGCTGTCCATGTTGAATTCTATTGTCACATGGAAATAGTTCAGAAAGTAGTCTTTGATATTTTATTTCTTGTTTGTTTTTCTGTGCAATATAACATTACATACACGTAATTTTAAAAGTGTTTTCTGTGTGTGAGTGTTTTGCCTGTATGTGCCAATGTGCACTACTTGTATGCCTGGTACTTAAAGAGGCCAGTGTTTTGAATATTACAGCTGTTTAATTTTGCAGGCTCAGTGCCCAGTACAAAATTTTGGGCACATTCAGAACTTGGCATTGCACATCTGTAGATGACTATCTGCAAGTGTGGCTCCATTTACAAAAAAAAAAAAATCTGGGCTGGAAAGGTGGCTCAGAGGTTAAGAGTGCTTCCTGCTCACACAGACAACTTGAGCTCAGTTTCCGGCGCCCATGTTAGACAGCTCACTGCTTGTAACTCCAGCTTCAGGGGATTCCATACCCTCTTGTGGCCTCACTAGGCACCTGAACACACACACACACACACACACACACACACACACACACACACACACACACACACACGGCAAAACAACAACAAAATCACCCAACAATAGATAGGGAAACGAGACACATGAGAAATGTGTCCGGAACCCCAAATCAATTTGAATTCTGTCTACTCCCCTGGTGGAAAGAGCCGAAGGTCAAAGGGTGTCAGGGATCGTTTCACAACAGACAGGCTGCTTTGTGTTGTAGCAAAACCACAGTTTGGAAACGGGAGAGTTTTCCTGCCAGGAGGACCAGGGATTCACAGACCTGCAGCTCCACGCCCCCGCTGTGCCCAAGTTTAACCAGGACAAACTGTCCGTGGGCAGGCCTGCGGTCCGCTGCTACTGGACTAGTGAAGTTGCCTTAGCCCGCTCTGTGATGGCCCAAAGTGAAACAGGAAGTGTGAGGAGAGTGAGGGAAGTTAAAAAGGGATGCATTCAAGGCTAGCAATGGAGCAACCGCAAAAGGCAGGAAAGCAGCTCTGAGCCACCGTCAGACGCAAAAGGCAGGAAGGCAGCTCTGAGCCACCGTCAGACGCAAAAGGCAGGAAAGCAGCTCTGAGCCACCGTCAGACGCCTCACAGAGGGAAGGACGTTTGGCTATTTGCACCTTTGAGGGCATCCTCAGATCAGGGCAGTTTTAACTCAAATGTTTTAGACGTGGATCAGGGGAGCCTACAATCCCACTGCCAGAGAGTCTGGGAAACAGGAAGGAACCTAGGAGAGGTATGCATGGTACCGCCAGAGAAGGGGAATGAGGCAAGCTCTCCTGAGCTGATTGGGAGCAGGGGGGGGGGTCATGGAGGAGCAGCGGGGGAAGGTTAAGTCGGGGTAAGAATAGAGAAGAACAGGATAAGAAATACCATAATAGAGGGAGTCATTCTAGGTTTGAGGGGAGATCTGGCACTAGTGAAATTTCCAGAGATCTACAAGGATGACACCAACTGGCAAATTAAGGAATAGGGGAGAGGCTACCTTAAATGCCCATCACTGATAATGAGTTTGACGACTACCTTATATGGAATCCTAGAACCTTCATTCAGTGGCAGACACCCAAGTTAAACATTGAACTGAACCCCTGGAACCCAGTGACAGAGAGGGAGGAGTGATAAGCAAAGGGGTCAAGACTTGGCTGGTGAAACCCACAGAAACAGCTGACCTAAACAAGGGGGAGCTCTTGGACCCCAGACTGATGGTTGAGAGACCAGCATGGGATTTATCCAGACCCCCTGAGTGTGAGAGTCAGGGAGGAGGCCTGGACAATCTATGGGGTCCTGGGCAGTAGATCAGTATTTATCCCTGGCATACAAATGGACTTTGGGTGTCCGCACCACAATGAGGGATGCTCTCTCAGCCTGGACTCTTGGGGGAGGGCCTAGGCCCTGCCCTGAACGAAATGACAGACTCTGGATATCCCTTATGAGGAAGGGAATGGAGATAAGGTGGGGGGCTGGCATCTGGTAGGGGGGTGCAAGAGGGGAGAGGGAGAGGAAGCTTGGAGTGACATGTGAAGCAAGCTTGCTTCCAATTTAAAAATGTAATAAAAAAGTAAAATTAAAAAAAAGCAAAAACCAATTATAACCAGAGTCTCCTGGTTCACTGGTGCCCTCTGCTGGCCAATTGTGAGAGGGAATAATTTTAAATTCTTTGAGTAAAACAGTGCAATACAGGGAAAACTGCACGTGATATTTGAAAAGAAGAAATAATATCATTATTCTTCACTTTTACAAGTTTAAATTTCAGTTAAAATAACAGGGGATACTTAGAAAATGAAGGCTGGCTGTGTGCTTTTCAAATGTGTGTTCCGGTATTAGTGGCTTTTCCACCTCTGGAAGCCTGTTAGAAATGAGGGACTTCAAGAGTCATTCCAAATCCCCCACCTCCAGACTCTGCATTTCAATGAGACCCCCCCAGGGGTTCCCACAGGTGTTCATGTTGGAGAAGCTCACCCTAGGTCTTATAGCTCTAAGAACGGTTAGAATTTTAAGCTAGGAAAACATTTCCATTGAGAACATATGGAACTTCTACATTGAATTTTGTCAGAGTAAAAGCAATGGCAACAAAAGAAAAAAATGTTAGAAACCGTGTACATGACTGGGTGATAGCTCAGGCAGATCTGTGTTGACATCTACAGGGATACTGGGGGGCCATTTATGCTGGGATGTGCTCATGTAGCTTTGCTGGTTGGTTGGGAAACTGTGTGTGGGTAATATCCAAAAGATGGTCAAGTGGAGGGTGGTTGGTAAATAGCAGGGTCAGGACACTTAGGTCAGAGCGGATGTTTCCCAATCAGGGTGCAGTGTATGGAATACGGAGTACTCCCATGTTTTAACCACCGACTGCTATGCTCACACACATCAGATAAAATCAAAGAGGCCAGAGCTCAACCCTATTTCCCAAAGTTGCTGATCCCTGGTAATTTAAGTCCAGTGGAAAAGAAATTTGACTTTAAAATTCTTGGTCTTAGCTGGGCAGTGGTGGTGCCTGCCTTTGATCCCAGTACTCGGGGGGGGCAGAGGCAGGCAGATCTCTGTGAGTTCAAGGCCAGCCTCGTCTACGGAGCAGGCGTTAAATCTACAGAGAAACCCTGTCTTGAAAAACAAATTCTCGGTTGCCTTATGTACTCAGTTCAACCAATGCCTTGCGGGGGCGGAGCACGTGACCTACCTTCAGCATACGTATTTCTCTCAACGCTATTTTCTTAACAACAGGATCATCTTCGGATTCTACAAATTTTTTTATTGCTACCACTTGTCCAGATGACTTGTTTCTGCACTTGAATACAACCCCATAAGACCCTTCTCCGATCTTAGCCAGTTTCTCATACTTTTCCATTTGAGTTAAAGCGACTTAAGTTGGAGTAGTGATTGACTTGAAGTACAGCGATGCACCTAGAAAATAAGAACGACTCTTATCAATCAAACTACACCACTGTTCTCATAGTTTGTACATGGACAGTTTGCACGTGTTGCCAAACGGTTTATGTTCACTCTCAAATTTGCTATGTGTAGCAGAAATGAGAACTGTAGTGGTACTTGTTAGCACAGATCTCTATTCTCCCAACTATTGCACCGCCTGTAGAGTCATTTCTGATAAGGGCTCTTTGCTGACCATAGTTCAATGAAAAAAAAAAAATCGGGGAAGAACCTTTACCCAATCTATTGTTTGTATTATCCTGGAGGAAATGATTAAAATACAAGACTTTAAAGTGCAGTTCAAGGGGATGGACTTTTATACTCTTGAATATGGTGTTTGCCTTCCTAACTAACTCACCAGAACCCCACAGCGAAGGGGAAGAATTTTGCAACAAGACAGCGTACGAAACTCTATGCCTCCACCTGGTGGACAGAAGAAAGACAACCGTGGCTGCTGAACAATGCAGCTTTTCCTAATTAGGACCCCATGTTTGGGTTATGATATGAATGAAATGTGTATGTGTGTGTAGGAAGTGGTGTATGAGCTATGCATGTGAGGTGTGTGTGTGTGTGTGTGTGTGTGTGTGTGTGTGTGTGTGTGTGTGTGTGTGTGTGTGTGTGTGTGTGTGTGGTCAGAGGACAACTCATGGGAGCCAATCTGCTCTTACCAGTCCTGAGGTTGTAACCCAGGCTGCAAAACTTGCCTGACAAATGCCCTTTAAACTTGATCCACCTGTTCTTAGCTTTTATTTGTACTGCCGTGAGCGACCAGTTTTTGTCCAATTCTTTCACAATACTTCCATATCCACAGTGACTTCTAGGAAAATTGTGTAAGGACTCAGGCCCTGCCCCTGTCACCTGGCAGAATGCACTCAGGCAGTGCCCTGGTCAGCCCTGGGTTCCATGAGTACGTAGTCTGCACGCACATGCAAAGGACCCTTTAAAAGAAAGACCTCTACCCACTTATGTTCTCTTTCTGCTTTCTTCTCTAAAGGGCGCAGAATAAATTTCAAACTTTGGCATGATTTCTCACAATCCTTTCTACGCCGCCCTGATTTACCTTTCCTATTCTTTATGGTCTCTCGGGTTCTTCTCAAACTCCTGCAGCCTGCCTCCTCTGCTTATTTCTCAGTATGGAATGTCTGATCCTTCAGGATCCTCTTTCAATCCTCTTCATTTTTCCCAGTTCAACTCAAATGTCCCAGTCCCCAAAGGCAGGCTCTTTTGTGAACACACACGAAGCTTCCAATGCACACCCCAGTCTTTGCCCTGGACGTCCACCCATACCCCATTCTCTGGCATGCGGTAGGCTTTTAAGTCTTAGTATAGTTTCATTTTCTAATCTTCTTTTTCTCTTTTTGAAAGCAAAAGCCACAGAGCATGTTGATTATTAGTAGTACACTATTTGGGGCAAGATTAAATGGATATAGTTATTGGTTGAAAATGTTTTCCGTAGTTATTGGTCACCTTCAGCTTGAAATGGTATACCTTCCATGCCAACTTCAGAATTTATAAAGTAACTCTTGAGTTAATGGAGTTCTGTCTACAAAGACAGGAACAGGCTAGGGACCACCAGCGATTGCAAAAGGACACGCCTGGACAGACAGGCAGAAGGCTGATGACTGAATTTTTAAACCTTAGAGCGTTTCTATGGAATTTTCTTACTGTAAGGATTTACAGAATAATGTAGGAGAAAAGAACACTTGGAAGTTCGTTTCCACGACTGTTTCACAGACTAAGTCCCAGGCCCCAAGTGGTCTTCCCTAGCCTTGAAACTGTTCTTTCCCTTCAATATTCATAAAGCCAGGCATTAGTTGGTTGATTGGTTTGTTTTTAACGCTTTCCTGTTACATTTTAGATGAGGAGAGTCATCTTTCCACCCTGTTTTCCCTCCTCACCTGACTCGAGGTCCGTAGATGCACAGGTGCTTCCGTGTACCTGGCCATCCCCACCGCCTACCAGTGGCTGGCTCTCCCTGGGGTGCGCCCTGTCTGAGCCTCCGGAGCCCCACAGACCTTTCTCTCAGTCATCCCCGGACTAGGAACCCACACTTACGGCAAAGACTCGGGCGAGGGTGACGAGGGTGAGGCAGTCTACAGCCACCGGGGCCCTTAGCCCCGCAGTCTGCTGCAGAACTCCCGAGAGACCCAGCCACAGCAGCGTTGCCGGGACAACCGGGACGCGCAGGTCGTGCAGCTTCTGGACAAAGGTTTCCATCCAGAACTCTCTCGGCTCGGTTCGTTCCCTGCCAGGGCAGCCTTCAGTTAGTCATCCATCACTCTTAGCTCTTTTTACCTTGTGCTGTTTGGAGTCAGGTTCTGAGGCTGTGGCTCATCAACACCATTGTTGCAACTTAGCAACGATGCTCCAGAGTCCAGGGAGGATTCAGAGCAGGGGATAAGGCTGGTCACCCCAAAGGAGAAGAAAGCGAAGCAAACATCATTGAATGCGACATGGAGACAAACGTGTTACACCTCAGGAAAGAGAATTTGAGTCGTTACCCACAGAATAAACCGAACATCAAGACACACACACAAAACACCTACCATAAGCTTCAATTCTCTATCATTCGTATACACACACACACACACACACACACACACTGTCTCCTCCTCACCTCCCATTTCCTCATGAATATGCTCAAATATCACAATTTAAATGAAATTAAACCAGCGATCACCTGCATCTTGCTCCTCTTTCAAGACCAGACACACAATTCCACTAAATTCATCTAAACTGACACCTAGACACTTTTGTATGGTTTCTGCCCTTAGGCTAGAAAATATTTCTCATCAGGGTACCAAGTCACTTTATGTACAAGTCTGTGGGTCCATTTCCATTTTTACTAGACTCCTGAGATGGGGGGAGGAAGGGAGGGAGTTAGGGAGTGAGGGAAGGAGGGAGGAAGGGGGGAGCGAGAGGGGGGAGTACATGCACCATGACCTTGGGTGTCTTCCTTGCTTTTCACCTTGAGGCAGGGTCTTTGTTTGTTTTTGTGTGTGACAAAGTGGCTGGCCCATGAATTTAGGGAGATTGTCCTGTCTCTTCAATATTGCCGCAAGAGCATTAGGATTACAAATGGCTGCTCCTGAGCCCAGCTTTACATGAGTTCTAGGGATTCAAATTCAGCTCTTCACATTTGCATGGAAAACACTCTATCCACTGAGCCATATCTCCAGCCACAGGGCCTCTCTATTCAGTCCTGGTTATCCTCAAGCTTGCAATGTACAAAAGGCTGGCCTCAAACTGGGGAATCTGCCTGTGTTTGCCACTATGACTGGACTCCTCTCCTTTTTTTTTTTTTTTTTTTTTTAAAGGGATCTCATGTTTCTCAAGCTGCCGGCTTGGAACTTGATACATAGCTAAAGAAGACACTGACATCCTAAGTACTGGGCTGACATGTACACACTCCTGGTTTCTCCAAGCTACTTACCTATAGAGACTTCACGGGCCCACCTTTGTTCCCCTGCAGTGTGTCTGGTCCTTTGTCCATATGCTTTAGGCTCCACTGCACTCAGTGTCACTGTCCCTTGAACGTGCAGTACTTTTGCATGTCTAAACGATAGCATCTCCCCTACCAATCCACCCTGCATACTGAAACTTTCTTTTCCTCTGCCAAGGCTGTCTACAGCTGTCTATATATGTTTCTCTTCCCTAAAACACAATCAAGTTATCTTTTGTTAATGTTTATATTATATGTAAATTGTGTTATGTGTGTGTGTGTGTGTGTGTGTACACATGTATGGAGGAAGAGCATGAGAGACAACACATGAGAGCACCTTTTCTACACAGCCTGGCCCTGAACTTGTGACCTCCCTCTCCAGCTGGGATTACAGGCATGCTTGACCAAACTCTTATGCTTTTTACCTCCATTTTACCCAAGCACACTGTCCTTCCTTCCAAGCTGGAAAAGCAGCTAAACAGGAAATACCCAACAGATGTCAGGCATCTTTTCAGTGTTTCCAAGCTACACCCCCCACGGGTACTTTTCCTTCAATGATGGAAATGACTAAAACCTTTATTTTTGTGGTCTCTACTAAAACATGACTCAGACACACCCCCAACCAACCACAAACAACTGCCTTTTTTCAAAACCAGTAAGGACACAGTTAACAAGAAAGGCACCCTGAATGTTAGTGAAGACAACACTTTTTCCAGCATTCATGTGAATGATCTCTTCGGCTGGGCCTAGGAATTCACACTTGCAATTGCATTCTTGGGCCACATTCAGAAATGTTGACTTAAATGTAATCTGTGCCAGTGGTTCTTAATTCATGGGGCATATCAGAATAATTTATACCTCATTAAAACCAAGGTTATTGGGCCTTACTCCTAAAGAGTTTGATTCCAAGAATATTTTGTGAAAGCTTATGGTTAATGCATTTTTAGGCAGGGGCAGTATTTCTAAGTACTTGGTGGTTTAATATGGTGATGTTTCTGAGATGCAACCTACATCAGCTGAGGTTTAAAAGCATCATCTGCACTGGAACCAACACTAAGAGCAGAATTTGGTTTCTTAAAAACTTGACCACAAGACTGTTTTTCGGCTAGTGATATTACTCTCATAAAAATGGATTAAAGAATTAATGTTGATTATTCATAATGTATTAGGGAAAATAAATTATTGCTCTGATTCTAGACATAGAAATGGCTCTGAAATAAATGATCCAAGGTCGCTGTAACAGGTTGTAATCAATAGAAACAGCATCTCTTGGTCACCCCAAATTCATCCCACTTCATGTTTCAATCCCTAACCTTCAGGAATTCCCCAACACTACTTTGCTGTCCTATCTCAGGCTATGACAAACTATGTTCTGTAAAAGGCCTCACAGTAGACACTTGAGCTTTACAGACCAGACTGCTCCTCCCGAACAACTCAAATCTGACAGTGAAAAATGAACACAGTGTTAAAAAACAGGTCAAAACATAGGTGGTGCGTGTTCTCATAAAACTTTATTGATCAGAACAGGGGGGTGGGCTAGATATGATTAAGATAGTAATGTCAACTCTTGCTCTAACCAAAATACTATGAGTGTTGGATTTTCCTGACAGAATCCAAGATTCTACAAAAGATGCCTTTTTCTCAAATGTGGGAATATTATATTAAAAATATAAATCAAATAATGACGACTCTTTAGGGGGCACTTGGATATTTAAGACTTAAGTGCAAAACAAAGCATTTCTCCTTAACACTGTTAAGCCAGATGAGAAACAACTACTCAACAGCATGTTAAAAAACATGTTTATTTTACAGTATATACAATCAGGAACATATTTAAAACCATTATCAATTAAAATAAATGAAAAGCATAAATCACAATTTAGTTTGTTCTTAGTGTATACATACTCACATCAAAATATAAAGAACATATACCAAAAAGAGCCATAAGTGTGCATTTTGCTACAACTTGATATCTATCTTATTGATAAGATAGATACATTCCATTGGAAAAAACCAATCAAAGATGATTTTAACCAAACTAAGCTCCTGTGATGTGTAGTAACCACTGTAATGTTTATATGAGGTAGAAACTAAATTATTTTGGCCAGTATTAATATTCTAAATCAAAAGAAATATGAAAGTGATGATAAAATAAGGCCAACAAAAGTAAAAGTTCCATGAGAAATGTGATCACTTCACTCTGGAATGTGACATTGTTTCAGTGTGATGATGTGAAATGTCTAGTGTGAACTCTTTAACAGTGCTAGTGTAGTCTTGGTGCACACTGTACCCAGACGACAACGGCAGTGTTCTATCACGGTACCGCCACTCGGTGATTGAAGCTTTTTTCAAAGGTGTATCCTAAGCACAGACAAGCAATCTTACACGATTCTGCTTAAATACAAAAAGGATCAGTTACTACAACAGGTGGTTAATTGGCTTGTTTCACATAGAAAATGATCCAAACACATGTAAAAAAAGTTGTTGTGGAGCCAAATGCATATTCACGGCGTCACAGCTTTCCCCGTGACTCAGTACATCACAGATCAATACTCTGTGCAAGGAGAAATACCAGTGCACTTGCATTAAAATTAAAAACAAGATTACAAAATGATTACAGCTTGTTACCATTTTAAAAGTTACAAGATTTATATCCATATTACTAAATTACATATAATAAAAATACAATAGTGTTAATGTCGTTTCATTGCCAGCATCCCATTTTGTGATATAACCACACCCAAGGATATACTAAAGAATTCTTAAAATATTAACCCCAGTTGCAATTTAATCAACATTTACATCTGTACAGATAAGACACTTTTACATCTCATAAAAGTACATTATCTACATCAATTCTTAGTGTATGTCTTCAGCAAATAAAGTTTCACAGAAAAATACTGCTTATATGTACAAAGATTACATAACAATGAATTAAGCACTTGTGTGGTTCAATATGCTAAATATATCATACCACTTAAACAAAAACTTCTCCCATCTGTCTCATGCCACAATAAATTAGAAGGAACTGAAGCCAGGTGCCTGCAACTTCTGCATAGCTCCACGCATCCACGAGTGCTGCAGTGGCCAGGTCACTGTCTCTACACATCACTGTCAAGAACACCATGTCTTCAGTAGCTGTTTTCATGACCCGCCAAGATGTATAAATTGCTATTTGCTGTTGGGTTATCAGTTGGCCTACTTTCCAAAACCACAACTCTAAAAGTAAGAAGAAACACACAACAAAACAAAGTCATTTATTTATGAAAACTAACATCAGCTGGAAAAAAAAAATGCTCACGGCATCTCTGTTATAAAGCCCTCTGAAGGCTGCCCATTTGACTTTGGGCACAATAATTAAAGGGCCAGTTCCAGCTCTGGGAGGAGGTTCCTACTGCCTGCCTACTTCCAGACAAGTTCTTCAAGGACTTGGGGGTGAAGGGTGAAGGGCAAGGGATGAGGAGAAACCAATAACATGGGAATAACTGGTGGGTGGAGGCGTGGCTCTTCCTATTGATCATAAAACAATCTGTAGTTTAGCATCTGATGGTACTTCAGAAAAAAAGTCCAGAATCTTATCTGACATGAAAACTAATCGGTTCTGTTTGTTAATATACACTGTGACTGAGGTAAAACAGTCCTGTCAGGCCCATGAGTTCCTGCTATTTGGAAGATTTGCCTCTCAATAGTTTAAAAAAAATGAACAAACAGTGTTGAATATGCAGAAATTTCAATTCTCCTGAAAGAATAGCCAGCTTAACACTGGATCTGGAAAACATACTTAGCACTGGACGCTTCATAAAACCCATTTTCGTACCTGTCAGATCCAAGGAGTCTGAAAATTCTTGTGTTATCTGAAATTTCTTGTGTTACCTGTTTAGTTAAAAAATAATTTTAAAAAATTCCTCAAATTAAAGATATAAAATCTCTTAAAAATTCTTCCCTTTTTTGAATCAGTCTTGCTATGTAGCCCAGGACCACACACGCACTCCTGATCCTCCTGCCTCTGTCTCTTGAGTACTACATACATACATATATACATACATACATATATACATACATACATACATACATACATGCATGCATACATACAGCATTTCACCATAGTTCACAGGCAACATTATAGCAAAAACAAAAACAACACCCCACAAACTCCCACAGTTTGTAGGATGGGAAAAGGTCTCTGCTTCATTATGTGTTATAATCTTGTACTCCCATCAATTTTTTAGTTAAGGAAAACCTTAATTGTGGCAAATTTGTAATAAATCCTAAAATGCTGGTGAAAGAAAATTACTTGCTAGATCATAGACTTGCAGAGAAATTTTTAATGAAAAGCATGAAGTTCATTTTATTCACCTAAAGTGTCCTGTCATTTCTGTTAACGTGAATGGCAGAGCCTCAGGCATCATCCTGCCAGCCAAATCTGGTTTTTGCACGTTGAGTGGTTGCTATGTAATATGACAGTAAACATTTAAAAGCCAGCGCAGAGTTTGACTCTTTTAGCTGGGATTTCAGGTGAGATGTGCAGTCGGGTGGGAACACTTCTGGTTCCTGTAGATAGGACAGGAATGGTCCCTCCCAGCATCCCTCTAAGCAGATGCAAGTCTATCGTGCGGGACTGCTCAAGAGTAACAAGCCCGTTCCCACTTCTTCTCTGTTCTTTCTGGTGGACGTATCCTCAGTGTGAGCAGCTAACTGCTGACCGCTCAAGGAATAAAGACTGAGCCTATGAAAAAGAAGAGTGTGGCTTAAAGAACACAAACTAGTCCAAACTGCCTCTAGCAACAAACCCTTCACAGTGTTGGAGGCTGAAACCTAAACATTCAATTTGATATTGAAATGAAACTTATTCTGCCCAAACCCTACAAAATGACGTTCTAGAGACACCAGTGTCTCTTCACCTCTGGTGTGACACACTCTGGTGAAGGAGAGTCCTTCACTTCAGCAATGGTAGCTCAGTCCTGTGACTGCTAGGGAAGCAGAGCTTTGCCAATTAGAAGATGGGACATTCTTGGAAGTGTATTGAGAATCTCACTGTGTAGTTTAAAAAAGGCCTCCATGTAACTTGTTGGACAAACTTTCTTTCCTCCTTCTTCCTGTTCCCAAACCTCTTTTTCTATTTCAACCTGCTCAAATGATGTCGCTGAGACTGCTTGTGGATCCCAGGGAAGTTTTTGACTGTTTTATCCGCCTATAATATTTTAGGGGCAACCATTCTTCTTGCTCACACTAACCAGCACTGCCAGCAGAAAGGCTAAGCTGCATCAAGTATGTCACGTGTCTTAAGCGTTATTTCTTACAGCAGGAAGCGCTCACACAAAGGGGACAACAATCATGCCACATGAATTAAGGCAGCTAGGGTGGGAGGCAACATACAGCTCCTCAGTGCTTGAAGGAGGGACTGAAGCTGTTTGGCTAATGGCGTGGACAGAAGGTTCTGGAGTCTTAGAGTAGGTGCTGCTGATCTCACCACTGGACTGAACACCAAGCATAAATAGAGCTATTGCTGGGATCACTTAAGAGCATTATAGTGTTGAAAGAATTGCTTCAAACAGATTTTGTATCATCTACTTCATTTTTTTTTAAAGGACTCACAGTCAGACATTATGTGGTGAGAGTCCAAATTGGAGGTCTCCATCGGGTCCCTCCCCTCAGAGATTGGGGAGCCTCTTGTAAGAGAGGGAAGAAAGACTGTAGGAGTCAAGAAGGGATGGAGGACACCTGAACATCAACCACAGAATCAACTAAGTAGGATTCACATGGCTCACAAAGACTGAAGGGCAAGCACAGGGCCTGCAAGGGTCGGCAGCAGGTCCTCTGTATGTGTTCAGGCTGTTAGTTGGCGTTTCTGTGGGCCTCCTAACAGTAGAAGTGGCTATACCTCTGACCCTTTTCCTCCAGTGGGTTGCTGTGTCCAGCCTCGATATGAAGGTAAGTGCCTAGTCTTAATTGTATCTTGTTTTGTCCTGTTCGGCTGTCAACTTTTGGATGCTTTTCTGAAAAGGAAATGGAGGGGGAGTAGATCTGGGAAAGAGGGGAGGCAGGGAGAGCTAGGAGGAGTGGAGAGAGGGGAAACTCCAGTTGGGATGTTCTGTATGAGAGAAGAATCTAATTTCAACTTTAAAAAAAAAAAGGAGACAGGTCTCACTATGTTGCCTAGGCTGGAATTGAACTCTTAGCTAAAATGATTCTTCAGCCTGAGCTCCCTAACACTAAGATGACACTATGCCTGGTTCCTTATAATTACTTAACAAACACACTTCAAAAAAGATGGCTTACCTCATTAGATCTAAAGCTTCTACCTTGCATACCATGTTTCCAGAAAGCAAGCACACTGTCTTGTAGACAAACTAAAAGGCAAGAACAACTCAGTTACTGGTTAGAGCTCAAAAGTTCAGTGACAAGCATCCCTTCATTCTGCCTATCCTGCACAGCAACGGTAATCTCAGTACCACACAAATCTGTCATCTTTACCTCTGGGATTCAAAACATTTAACAAATATGGTGCATTCACCTTTATGGTATGAAAAAACTTAGGCATTTGTTTTGGTAAAGTAACTAAAAAGTAAAACGTAAGAACACACAGAAATGTACAGTCAACAGTAGAGAAGTCATATGCCTTTCTCCCAATTATCAAATCTACATGTTCTACCATGTTTGCCTTTGCTTCAAACAAAGACAAACACACCTAGATCCCCTCAACCCAACCCACATCCCATTTGGCTCGTCCTCCTCTCTTGGACAGCACTGCAATCAACTTTATATTAATCATCCTCAGACATGTTTACATTAACTAGTTCCACATGGTCATGGTAACTGTCATCCATTTATGATGAGCAATTATTTCTACTTTTCCTTATTATAAACGATGGCACAACAGCCATCCTTGTACATGTTTCTGAAAACCTGCACAGTATTTTCTGAGGCACAGCATTAGACACAGAAATAGTGGGACACAGGGCACAGACAAAAATAAGGCAAATTTCAGTTTTACATGTTTACATCTTTCACTTCCATATTTACATCTTTGGAATAGTGTAACTGTGAGGAAGAAATCTGATTTGTTTCCTGCAGCAAACTAACGATGCTGGCATCGTTTTCCCACTGACACACAACAAAGTTTCCATTTACATGTGGTCCTTGTATTTACTCATTCTGCTTTCTGTTTATACCTGTGTTGACAGACAAACTTTTTGCTCTTGGCCTTACCCTCTGCCAATGTATGTATATGGAAAAAAAACTTATTTTATTGGGAAAATATGCAAAAAAAAAATGCCCCAAAGCTCAAACCCCAAACCTCTGTACGTTAAATACTAATTATTCTTTTCTTCAACACCACACTTCATAATCATTTTTCTTTTACTTTAAAATACTGGTACTGCCAGAAATCCCTTCCAGAAAATATAACAAATCATGAGAAAATGGCAAGAATTAAATTTCTGTTTTTTTTTTGTTTTTTTTTTTTTTTTTGAGACAGGGTCTTGCTAGGTTTCTGAGGCTAGACTGGAGCTTGTTACACAGTCCAGGCGGACCATGACCTCTGAATCTTCCTATTTCAGCCTCTAGGGTTCTGGGAATGCAAGGATGCATCACTACTCTCAGCTGAAGGAACTCTTATATACCGACAACTCTGTGCAGCAGGCAATGATGGTAAAAGCACAGCAGGATGTACCGGGTGCCAAGTTTTTAAGCACTTAGTAGGGAATCGATAGGATTCTGGAGGATGTGAACTCATACACATGTTTAAAGAAATACCATTTAAGTTTCTTTTGTGAATGCCACATCTGTGAGGAAGGGAACATTTACAGTGTATGTGATCACTATACAGACTTAGAGAAGGGAGAAAAAGGGAGCCTGATAGTGACCTCATACTATTAAATTCAAAAGAAAAGGGCCCTAACAATATATATTTGCAAAGTCAGTAGCTATTAGACAGATCATTTAAAAAAGTTCACAAAGAAATACAAAGTAACAAGTCACCTATGGATTCTATCTGGAAATCGAAGGTGAGTTCTGACGATAATTTCCTGCTGGATTTCAATCTTCCTTGGAGATTCACTATCTTTATACAACCTAGAGAAAAACAGAAGTCACTCAATAGTATGAGCAGAGGAATGTGACCCGAGAAGATAAAAATGGAAACTTACAATCCAAGCACACAAGAATGGTGTCTCTCTCCAGCTGGGTTACATGGGTGACGTTTGTCTGTGGTGTATCTACAACACAAACACAGTTGGATAAAGTTATAGAAAAATACAAAATTTATCATGTTTTTCTTAAACAAAATAAGAGTTGCATTTTAAATGGATGGACATCTCTTGCAGGTCATGCACAATGGCTGCACTGGGCCACTTGTGTTCTGATAGTGATGGAGACAGTGGGCACAGCAGAGCTGGCTCCTGTCAGTTTTACTGATAATGAGGGTGCCATTTATATTTACATTTAAACAAAGAGTCTCCTCTTGTAAATTATGGTTCTGGCCAATTTCTGATTTTAAACTCAGAAGATCTGTGCTGCGCTTTGAACATCACCAGATTGCAATTGCCTAGCTCATGTGACCAGTGTGTAGTAAATGAAAGAATTGAAGAGTTAGACAAACTACTTTTTAAGTATAAATAAGCTAAAATACTGATGCTTTTGTCAGGAGCTCTGAATGTGTCTTTGGGGTGTGTAGAGAGTTGTGTGTGTTGTGCTTGCCTGTGCTATGTGAGTAGGCTAGAGGTCAACATGGGTGTCTTCTATAATTCTATTCTTTTGAGACAGGGCCTCTCACTGAACCTGGAGCTTGCTGTTTCAGCTAAGCTGATGGCCAACAAGCCCCTGGGGTCCTCCTGACTCTGTGCCCTAGCACTAGGTTACAGATACACAACACATGGTGCCAGGGATCCAAACTCAGTTCCTCTTGCTTGCACGGAAGCACTGTATCCACCACGCCATCTCCTAGGCCCCAGATTATCTTTAGGAAATACTGATGTCCTAACAATACTCTCAAGATTTCCCGAGAAACTAGAGTGGAAGAGACAGGCAATAGAAGTTAAAAACATAAGTCATTCCCTTTATCTTTACCTCATAAACTCTGAGAGATAATTCTCTGCATTTATGGAAATCCTTCAGATAACACCATGTTAAGTTTCTTGGAAGGGAGCTATTTTAAAGTCTTTCATCAGGAAATGAGGTCTTTATGAAACAATTAGAGTATATTTAAAATTAAAACACTTCAAAGAACTAAGACATTATTGAAACTAACTGGCAGCAAAATATTTCTCATCCAGCAAATCTTTTCCTGTTAAATAACGACGAAATTAGAAAGCAGGTGTGTCCCAGATGTCTCACAGCAGAGACAGTGGCTAATGGAGCATGTAACAGACTTTGGGAGAACTTAAAGAGAAACCTTATAAACAGTGCTGTTTAACACCTTGGGCTTCATGTGTTGTGAATGCATTTGATACCTTTTATCCCCAACCTCAGTATAAAAGTTCCTCTGTGTGTGTGTGTGTGTGTGTGTGTGTGTGTGTGTGTGTGTGTGTGTGTGTGTGTGTGTGTGTGTGTTTGCCCGCCCGCCCGCCCGCCCGCCTGCCCGCCTGTCTGTGTTTTTTGTCCCCTCTCCCTTCTTCTTCTCAGCCCCCATCCCAATCCAATTTTCTGACAGGCTGTTACTCTTAGCCAGACTGGCTTGGAATCTGTGTAGCTTGGACTGGCCTTAAACTCCAACAATCTTCCTGCGTCACCCTCCTGAGTGCTGAGAATACAGGTGTGAGCCACTAGGCCTCTGCTTCCTCTTCTTTTTTATTAACAGTCTTCCAGACTTCTAACGAACTCCTGCCTAACAATATCTTACTAGAAAACTGCATCTTTCACATTTCCCCTTTGAGGTGTCTATTCTTTATTGCAAAGCATTCCATGACGGTGTGTGTGTGGTGTGGTGCTGTTGTTTTGGGGACAGGGTCTTATGTAGTAGAGGCTGGCCTTGAACTCACTATGTAGCTGAGATTGGTCTCGAACTCCTGATCTTCCTGCCTCCACCTCCGAAGTGCTGGGATTACAGGTGTGTACCACCACACTTGACTCTACAGTATTTTTAAAGAGAAAAAAGTAAAAGGGGCTTTCACCATCAATAGATTGTTTGAAAATTAAAGATAAGACATTTAAAGGTTATGTTTTTTAAGTGTGAGAGTTCAATCTGGTATATTTACCCCAAAACTTATGTTGCATGTCTTTTATTTGGCTATAGTACAACATGAATTTCAAACTATAATCAAATTTCTATAAAAGGACTGCTCAGACCTAATATTTGCTAAGGTAATTAGGGTAAATTACCATAAAGGAAGTGCCAGTTCAGCAACTTGGCAATATAAATTTAATATTTGAAAAAATAAATTACATAGGAATTATTTTCAAATATCCTCATACAAAACTTCAGAAATATTAACATATGCAGCTGAACTTTAAATCACTTAATGTTTCAATAAAGATACTGAGTACGAGAACACCAATTATAGGAGACATCTGTACTCCAGGTAATGGTGCTTCCCTTGCTAGGCATTGAGATTTGAGTACACATGGATTTAAAGAAAATTACTGTATTATTTATATGTTATGGGTGTTTTGCCTGCATGTCTCTCTGTGTACCACTTCCCTGCCTGGTCCTGAGGAGGTCAGAGGAACCCCTGCACAGATATGCCATGTGGGTGTTTGCTGGGAATAGAACCCTGATCCTCTGGAAGAGCAGCCAGTGCTCTTAACCACTGAGCCATCTCTCCAGCCCCACACTATGCTCTTAAAGCATGGTGGTCTCCTTTAACATTACCAGCACTGACTGTGACTCTCCAAAGGAAGCACTCTGGAGTGGGGACCGAGGAGTACTGACAAAGCTCACATTTGGGAAGCACGAGCCTTCAGTAACTACCCAGTGATCACGTTTACTGACACCTTTACTAAAGTGATACAGTGTGACTAACAAGGTAAAAATTATATTTAAATACTTGAAAATATAAATGCTATCTACATTTTTAAAAATATTTGTTTTTGAGACAAAGTCCTTGTTATGTAGCTCAGGCTAGCCATCTCTCTGATTCAACATCCTAAGTGCTGGAACTCTCAGTACATACTTCCGCGCCTGGCCTCTGGCAGCATTAAATGGTTCCTTTAATAATATGCTGAAAGACTCAATCTTTATGTGAGTAAGTAGCACCAAAGAACTGAATTCTGTAAAACTCTAAAAATTAGTGTGGAAAGAGATGGAATGCACTATCAAATATTAAGAATACTTGCTCATATAGAAACTGTTACTTGGTTTTTGAGAAACATGATTTAGTTGGAAATATTACTACAACCTTTTCGAAGTAAAATCATTCGAAAAGGTTGTGATTTCTATATTTTGAGGGGGAGAGAGAATGTTTGGGATTAGACGCCAAGCTTTGTATATGCGCTTTTTAAGACTTTAGTTTTAATTATGCATATGTAGGGATTTGTACACATGAATGCAGGTCCCTTGGAGCTCAGAAGATCCCTGAGAGCTGGAGTTGCACGTAGTTGTGAGCTGTCTGGCATGGGTGCTAGGAAACAAACTTGGGTACTCTGCAAGAGCAGTGTGTGCCCTTCACTTCTGTGCCTCCTCGGCTGCCCTCCAAACACCAGGCTTTGTGTACCGTGCACTCAATGTGCACTCTGCCATGCTGCCACACCCACCAGCAGCCTACAGAAGTGACCAGAACGTATTTGTGGCCTTCACAGCTGTCCGAAGTGCATGACTTTAAGCAATATGTTCCTCAAAATTCTGACGACCACCCTGGTATCTACCTCACTTTAAGACATAGGTGTTGGTATGAAAAACATTTATCAAATATATACAGTTATGGTTTTGATCTGAAATGTCTTCAATAGGCTCATGTCTTGAACCTTTCATTTTATATTTTTAAAATGTATTTACTTGTGTGTGTGCATGTGAGTTAGTTACAGTATGGTGTGGAGGCCAGAGAACAACTTGCAGGAGTCAATGCTCTGCCATGTGGGTCCCGGAGACAGAACTCTAATCATCATGTTTGACCGCAAGCACCTTTACCCACTGAGCCTTCTTGCTGACCCCTCATCTTTTATATTTGCTCTTGATGGGTTGGTGGTGCTATTCTGAGGAGCTGTGGGATCCTTAGTAAGGAGGGTTCTTACTGGTAGAAGTTCACCAACAGGGACAGGGCTTTCAAGGTAATAGCTTGTCTCCTACTTCGTGTCTTCTTCTCTGTTTTCTGGTTGGGCATGATCTAAATGGAATCATCACGTGCTCCCATTGCCATGAACTGCTCTGCTCCACTAGGCTTCCCTGGCAAAGTGGCTGAAGCACTGTGAATCCATGAGCCCAAATCGATCTTTCTGAAGTTGTGCATTGTACGCATTTTGGCCACAATGATGTACAAAATAATCAAGACACATAACAGATTCACACACCAAATTCATTTCCACAATTACTGTATGAACATTCTATAATGTTTTTCAGTCAAATTGTTTAATATGTTGAACACACTAACTATACTGTAGAACATGTTATCTCTTCTCCCAGTTTACTAATAGAGAACACTCATTGCCTTTAAAACAACCACATGCAGTGGCTTTATTACGTAGTGACCACAAACCTGATTCTGTAAACCATGACGAGGTAGAGTTTGGATTGACGGTCTCAAATTGAACCACTTGGTTGAAGTCTCGCCCTCTGCTGACCCCAACACAAACCAGAGGATACTCCTGCTCAGGGACCACCAACATCTCAAACATCCGGAGTGGACATGGCATCGGAAAGTCTATGTGCTGGAGAGAGACACAAACACACTGAGCAGAGGGACCGAGGCCACATCATCCAGGAGCAGCAGTGAAAGGCCTGAGTCTCCCCAGATGCAGACTCCCCCCCCTTTCTGCCCTCAAGACTGTTTCTTGCTCCAGCGACCCAGAGTGTGAAGATTAACTCTGAAGTATGGACTGTATCAACATTACAATGAAATCACACACTTGGATATGAGTGTGGGAATCTCTCTAGCATAAAGAGAAGTTCAGGGAACTGAGTAGTTAGTCCTGAGTCACCAGATAAGTTCTTCAGTTGTACTCGTCCACTTGTCTTACCAGACGAGCAAACAAGGAGGGAAGGCAAGAAACACCACCCACACATGAACAAAAGAGAAACCTAGCCTCGCAGCTCAATTGATTCCAACAATGTATTAACTCTGATACAATGCACTCTTTAACTTTATGTAACATTAAAATTATTTTTATGTTGCTATAAAGAAAACAAATACATTCCCAGTTTGGAGATCTGAAATTAAAAAACACTAACTTCATTCATAATCAGGAACAAAACAACAAAACATGCCCATACCCACCAGAATGGCTGTGAGAGCCAAGTAAAGGGTGCTGGCGACAGACACTGGGACAGCCACACTGATAAAATACACTATCTACCAATGTTGAACACTTGCATTTATCACTCAACAATACTCGAGGGCATCAACAGAACAAGACCAAGCATTCACAGGAGACTATGCAAAGTGTTCATGGCAGACTGTTTAGAAGAGCTAGGAAGCATCCAACTGGCCATCCGCAACAGCAGGGATACAACACTGAGGCCAGGAGCGGGTGTCAATCTAAAACTGGAGTTACAGATGGTTGTGAACCATATGCTGATGTTGGGAACTGAAACTGTGTCCTCCGGAAGAATAACCATGGATTCATCTCTCCAAACCTAAATCTGTCTCATTTTTAAAGTAACAAATTTAATGATGTGTATGTATGTGTCTGCAGATCCTGAGGAGGCAGAGGTGTTGAATCCCACGGAGCTGGAGTTACAGGAGGTGGCAGCCACCTGATGTAGGTTCTGGGAAATTAACTCATGTCTTCTCTAAGAGCAGAATGTGCTCCTACTGGCTTTCTTCAGCCCCACCTTCCATGTTTATCACTGGGTGATTTAAGGAACTTTCAGCTGTGGTTAAGACTACTAAAGCAGGAAGTAAACACTATTTCTGGATCTTTTCTCTTTCTGAGCATGTAAGAAGCTAAGAGGTTTTGACTCCCTGTAAAAATCAGGCTGAGTACATATGTTACTAACAGTATGGATTCCTGACTTAGACCCAGGTGCTCTTGGTGAGTGAGGGCAGCCCTCACATCTGACTTACTCTAGCAAACAGCATTGAGTCTTTAGAGTGAGAACAGTGCTATTGGAAAGATGTCTAATTTAACCTTATTTATGATAAAAACAAAGAACAGCCTAACGATACAAACACTGCCACAAATGCCACCAAGAGGAAGAATACAGAAAGCAACTCTCTGAATGCATCCAATAAACAGAAACAGTTTAGAAGCACTGAGAAAAATAAATATCAAATTCACAAACAAAATGTATGGTGTATAGAAGTCACAAAGCAGACATAAAACACATCGGGAAAGGGGTGAGGCAGTCTTGCAGGAGAGGTCGGTGTACACAGACCCCATCCTGGAAAGCTGGCCACAGGTCTCACCAGACAGTCAGGGCAAGGTCTCCAGTGCCATTCACTTAGAAAAGAGAAGCCACAGAGGGGCAACCTGTGACTTGTTGCATCTTAGACAATGTGTTCCCCCTGCATGCTTTGTATGTTCTATGTATGTGTCATGTGTGGAGGCCAGGAGGGGGATGTCAGGTGTCTTCTCCACCATCTGTTTCCTTATTCCTTTGAGACAGGGTCTCTCGATGACCCCAGAGTTTGCTGTTTCTCTGACAGGCAGGTTGGCCAGCAGCCCCCGATATCCCTCTCCCTAGCCTCCAAGCCTTGGAGACGCAGGTGCCCATGACTACACCCCCCTTTTTACCATGGGATCCACACTGAGGGCCTCCTTCATGTGCAGCAAGCACTCTTACCCCCGAACCACGTCCCCAAACCCTCCTGCGTGTTCTTGATCTTTCTAGCTCCTGTAATGGGGAAATGGTCTAACATAGCAGAAAGCGACCCACGGCCGTCCTTGGTGCTGAAGCTTAATTGTCCTCTCTGTGTGTGGGTAAGATACAGTGGAGATGCTTTCACTTATAGAGGTAAAGAACGGGAGAGGCAGGAAGGATGCAGCTGAATAGAACAAAGAAGAAGACATGGAAAGCAGGGGGAGACTGGAAAAACCAAGCTGTACAGACATTCCCGTTCCACTTAGGGAAATACTTTATTGAACTAGGAAAAATAAAAGAGAGGCTAAAAAAAAAGCAAAAACAAAAAACAAAAACAAAACCAACAACAATTTTGCCTCAAATAGGCTGCATGCTATAGGAAACAAATAAAGCTACTTTCCTTTAAAAGCTTTGATTTAAAGAATTTCTGTTGCAGTGAAATTAGTTTTGGAACTACTCAAAAGGTTTTCAAATTTTCTTTAGTATCGAGGAATCCAAAGAGTAATGTTAACATGAGAACTAAAGTTGGCTGTTTTGTTGTCTGTAGACTTCAGGGGACATCCTGTTCTGTACCATAGTTCTGAAGGTACCTATGCCAGCTCTCTGACCCTGATTACTCTACAGGGACCAAATACTCATGAAATACAACAACACAAGAGTAAAAAAAGGAAAAAAAAAAAAAACCAAAAACCAAAAACTAGGTAGGAAAACTTCACTTGATGTCTACTTGGCGTAACTGCTGTTCTTTATACCTAAAAAAAAGATTTTCCTTCATTTTCTTTGTTAGTTTTTGGTTTTTTGAGACAGGGTCTCATTACCCTCGATTGGCCTTGAACTCCTGACCCTCTTGCCTCCATCTTCCAAGTGCTAGGATTATAGGCATCACCATCATATCTAGATCCTCCTTGAAAATATATCAAGATGAATTATAATGGAAGACCCTCAGAAATGTTCTCCTGAGATCATGCTATACCCTAACCCATCTTTCTGGTTTCTTGCAGTATTTTCACAATGTAGCTTTTACAATCTTCCACATAAACCAAAAATCATCAGAATTGAGAATTAGCTGAAAAAAGTTTTCTCTTAAAGAACAGAAAAGCTAACAAAGGGCTTATACTAAGGATGCCAGGAATGCTTACCTTAATTAACATAAATTTCTGCATTGGTTCAACCCATTCTAATAGAACAATGCTAGTCTGAAGTGCTCCACACAGGTATTTATGGCCCGTGTAAGGATTTCTTACTGAAAAGGCAAAAAATTAACATCAGTTTTCTGAGTATGTAAATTCCTTATATTATACTTACATGCCCCCTCCCTCATAAAAAAGATTAACAAAAGCTCCAAAGCAGGCTGCTTGTTTGTTTTTCATTACATACAAGGGGAAATGGAACAAGAAGTACTGTTTCAGGAGATGGCGGGGGAGGGGACTGCTGACTGTGATCAGGTGTCATGTGAACAGTGACAGTGTAGTCACCTGAGGCTGCACCATACTGAAGAAAGGGCCAACGTGAATTTGGGGAGAAGTTGTCACATGATAAAATATTCAAATTCAGGTGGTTCCCCAGGTGCTTTTGACAATAAGGTATAAAGGCTAAAATGCTTGGCTTCTAAAAAATGAATTATTTATTTATCTCCTTTTTTATCATGCCCCTCTATGGACACTTGAAATCATTTTGCAGGCACTAATCACATTTTATAATACAATCTTACAAATAATAAAACAGAATTGCCTTGGGTTTTTTTTTAGCTTTTCTTATTTAAGATACAGTTAAATACATGGAAATAAGGGGTTTAATGAAAACTGTATGAAGGACAAAATCCATTAACTTCACATAGGTTTGAAACAGTCAAAAGGCAGAGGCACTGAGGGGCACTACTACCCAGCTAAAGCCAACAGAAAAGCCCAGATGGGGAATAAGGGACAAGAAAAACCTGGTCTCTCTGCTCACATAGCACCAAGTCAGTGAGCGGATGGATTAGCTGCCACTCGAGGAACCAAGTCCGCACGGCCCTGTCACCTGCTCTGCCCCAGCAACTGCTCTTATTTCTGCCCAGTCTCTGGATATGAGGCCTCGGCCACTGGTGTCTTCCGCATCTTGTCTCTCTCTACCACTCCTGTCTAGCTCAGCTTGTTCTCGTTAGTGTACAGTAATAGAGTTCACGTTCACATTAGCCCTCACATACCCAATTCATCTGCTCACAAGAATTCACCCATCTGTGTATAACCTGAATCCAGGTAAGATGAGTACTCAGCTCTTAGCATGGAAGTGCTGGGATTCATTTCCCCTCCTATTTATGCCATTCCATTCAAAATGTCCTCTCTAGCTACTTGCAGTTAATTCTTCTGAGGCCCAGCGCAGACGCCTTTCCCAGATGGCCTGTGTTTAGCAGTCTCCACATACCTGGTACTGTAATGAAAGAGTGCTCACTTCCCTCTTACAATAATAGTAACTCAAGGGAAGGAAACCATTTGGATTGCTGCTGTTGTTGTTACGTGTAATCACAAAGCGAGTTGTGTAAGGGTGGGGGAGCACAGGGGAACTACAAACTTCCAATCATGAACACAAAGTTCAGAAGTACAGGCTGAGAGCACACCCTGAACAAAAGCAGCTGCATGAGCCCTCTGTAAGCAGAGGATGAATGGTAAGTAACCACCCACAGGGAACATGGCATGCTTATTTCCAGTGATAAGTGTCACCCTACCATCTCCATCTATCACAACAATCAACAAGAATTTGCTAAGCAGCTGCTATGTGGAGGGTGCTGCATTTGTCGTAGTTTACACAGACATAGAAAGGTCAAGAATGCAGCTTTACTTTAGGTCTGGGGGCAGGTAAGCTATGCCCTATAGCATGTGAGTCTCACAGGGTTCCCTTATGCTCTGCAAAGCAGGAGTCTACTTACCCACACAGCACTTCTGACACCACTTGGTTTCGGGGATTTTTGCTGATACAGCAAATTTCCTAAATTTGGATGGAGAAGACGTATGTGATTCAGGCAGGCAAACTGTACATTACAAAGACAGATCAGTGAGTAAAGCATGAGCTAAACATTAGTTCTGGTGATTCTATATTAAAGTAAGGCTGCAAAACAGGTCAGTTTCATCTCTGGACCCCTAATAGTGGTGGTTGTCATCTAATCTTCTTATGCATGCTTTGGTATTCAAACACACACACACACACACACACACAAAGTAAACAAATGTAAAAGGTTAAAATACAATGGATCTCTTTCTTAAGCCTTCCCATTAATTCCAAATGGATTAAACTTTTAAGTTAAAACAAAACAAAACCACGGAATATTTTGAATACATAAGAATACGACCTTAGAGCTTTTTAACAATTTAAACCAATAGACTATGTACAATATACACATAAGTGTTGCAGTTTTCACTGGGGCATCACTAGTCCCTCAAATTACAGCTGGCATTCAATGGGCTGCATTAGGAGTTCTGGTTTACCAGAAAGTACCAGTGATAAAAATGATGAGAAGCCAAAAAATAGTAAAAGGTATTTTCAGCACATACAATGAATTAAGTTATGTAAAAGCTGTGTCATTGGCTGATGGATCAGCAATTAAGAGCATACAATGTTCTTCCAGAGGATCTGAGTTCCAATCCCAACACCCAAAGCAGGTGGGTCACAACTGCCTGCAACTCCGGCTCCAGGGGATCTGATACCCTCTTCTAGCCTATGCAGGTTCCTGCATTTAGGTGCATGCACACACACACACACACACACACACACACACACACACACACACACACACACACACACACCTTAAAAAAGTTTTTAAAGTTGTCTTGCTACTGCAGCCATTGGTAGGCCCTTCTCTTGCCTCATGATTCTAACCTCTAACAGTACTGGTGTATTCCATTTTTGACAAATGTGTTCTCAGGGGTTCTGCAAACAACCGATTCAAATGCAATGGGCAAAATCAATTTCCAACTATACATATTGGTTTTTCAAGATAGGGTTTCTCTGTATATCAGTTCTGGCTAGCCTGGAACTCGATCTGTAGACCAGGCTGACCTTGAAATCACAGAAATCCACCTGGCTCTGCCTTTCAAGTGCTGGGATTAAAGACATGTTCTACCATTGTCTGGATTGTGGATATATCTAATACTGTAAATTTATTATAACAAAGTTCCTAAAGTAGTAAATTAGAGGTAAAAATACACAAAGAGGGGTTAAACCCTTAAAGGAAGAGGCAATTTTATTCATATACAATGTCTCATCTGTACATGGAGATACTTCATTATAGTCAGTTAAAAACTGGAAAAACTAAACACAACTAAAAACAAATACCCAAGCTAAAAGTCCTTTACAACACAGCCTGTGTACATTTATATAGCAAAAACTATGCCTTTAAAATATTATTTACGTGTGAGTGTTTTGCTGCATGTATATCTGTGTACCACCATGTGCCTGGTGCTCACAGAAGCCAGAAGAGAGTGTGGCATCTGGTATTGGTGATCCTCTGAGTCCACACATATGGTTATGAACTTCGTTGTGGTGCTGGGAAGTGAACTTGGGTTCTCTGGAAGAGCAGTCAATGCTCTTCACCACTGAACATCTGTCTAGCTCCCAGTGTTTATTTTTCCCTCTCAACAAAACATCTCTTTACAGACTATGTGCTTTATACTCCACAGGAGCAGGTTACGTGGATATTTTAAATATCTTCAAATTTGGTAGTTGATCTTTATGCCCACAGCATTTTGGATTATTAGGTTACAAAGTTGGATAGAAAAGCACTATAATAGGTATATAGATAAACAGCAGCAGCACAAAGTGGTTGTTAAAAGAAAAATTACAAATATAGCTGCTACTATACTAACTAAAGCTCCAGATCACAATTCTGAATAATTGTGAAAATACCTAACTAAATTTGACATATCTACTTTAACACAGAAAAGCATAAGTTTTCAAGAAGCTTTCATCAGAAGGCTGTTAAAAAATAAGTTTGCCAGGACTGGAGAAACAGCTCAGCTGTTAATAGAACTTCCTCCTCTTCCAAGACCCAAGTTCAGTTTCTGGAACCCATGTTAGGCAACTCAAAAACTGCTTGAACCCAGCTCTAGGGCATCTAATGCCTCTATGGGTACATACACTCTCTCTCTCTCTCTAAATAAATAAATAAACAAACAAACAAAAACAAAAAAACAGAAGCCTTTAAGAGACACTTGTCCACACTGTAAACTCAGAAGTTAACAGCATTATCTTCAAGGTCCCTGAAGGATAAGGGCTCTCAGAATTGGCTTTATAATGAATCTTGCAAATGAGGACTGGCTATATTACAATCGACTTAAAGGACCGTTCAAGTGAACAAATGAGGACCACTATTATAATAAAACCAGAGCTCCGCATGATTAAAAATGTAGAAAGTACAAAAGCAAACACCTCACCTCCAATTATCTCCAAATGCAAAAAACACTAGTTCAATAAATCATTTGGATATTTCAGGCTTAGAAAATGTACTTTGAAAAAAATTCATGTTATGTAAGTAACATAAACAGGTTAAGAGCAAAGGTCGTGTACGCCATGTATGATTACATGAAAAATTAGTTTTATTTTTGCAGAAAAGACAGAAACAAAAATTCTGGAAGAAAATGTTTGTGTAACTAGAAAGCACAAATTACAACAATTTTAGAATACAAATATGATAAGTAAGTCCTTGTGAAAATACATTACAACATGATTTTTTAAATAAAAATTTCTATTAATCCAAACCTTCGCCTTCTACAAAATAAGTGTGTGAGCATGTGATCTCTAAGGATAGAAACACAACTCAATAGTTACCTTGGCAGTATTCTATCGGGGAGCTTGTGTGCTGGAATCGCTACAGGTAACTTCTGCATCTGTCTTGCATAATCAAAAAGCCCTGGTAAATTATGGGAATAAAGCTGAGAGGCTTTACCTGGGAAGAAATAAGCACCATGTAAGAGTGAGCCAATAACAAGCAACAAGGATTGCTAAGATACATAACGGTCAGACTTACCAGATATAGATAGTAAGCAATTGTTCATCACGTATAACCATGTACACCTGCGGGGGAACAGCTGACAAACAACATAAAGTTTACAGGGGTTAACACACAATAGCCATGCATATATGTACATAACTATGCAAGCTGAATGTCAAGAGACCAGTTCTTTAGTATTTAAAATGCACACTCGCAACTACATCAAAGGAGTTTACTGGCCATACTGAGAATAAGAGGAAAGAAAGAAAGGGCCATGACTTATTCTAGACCACACTGCAGTGAACTTGCCTTGGCAGCAGGAAGCTGACTTTAATCTAACCAGTGCTGACCTATGACAATTTTCACACAAATGCATACTTAGAAGTCCTTCCTAAGTGCCAAACATAGGACAATGTTTCCTAACTATTAATACAGTCATGTAGAAAATGCCAGGACAAAACACAAATGTCTTTCGAATTTTCAACATATGGTAATCGACTGGCATTTTTACCTAGTGTTGGATTTCACTATCTAAAAACAAACAAAAAACAAAAAAACAAACTAAAGGTTTCCCAGATAATCAGTGCTCCCTTCAGTCAGTGAGATAGGTTCTAGGTAAAAACAATCAGTTTCATGAGAGAACACAGCAATTAATAAGGGCAAGTTGGTGGCACATGCCTTTAATCCCAGCACTCGGGAGGCAGAGGCAGGCGGATCTCTGTGAGTTCGAGGCCGGGCTCTAAAACAATGCAGAGAAACCTTGTCTTGTAAAACAAAACAAAACAAACAAACAAACAAACAAAAAAAAGGCAAGTTCAATATTTTCCTAGATCCATACTTTCTTGATGACTACGTGACTTCAGTAAACTTATTATAGTAGTCTTTGTATTCTTATGTGGAAGATGGAGCATGTGGGGCTGGAAAGATGGCTCAGTGGTTAGGAGCACAGCCTGCTCTTGTGGAGGACCTAGGCTTGATCCTTAGCTTCACACATGGAAGCTCACAACCATCTACAACTCCAGTTCTAGGGCATTCAACATCCTCTTTTGGCTTCTGTGGGCCCTAGGCACAGGCATGGTGCACGGATATACATGCAGGTCAAGACAGCATACTCACAAAATTAAAAAAAACAATTTTAAAGGTTGAGGGGGGCTAGCACAGTGGTGGAGCCCTTGCCTAGGATGTGCAAGCCCTTGGGGATTTGGTCCCAGCACTCAAAAGGAAATGTGAGAAAAGATGGCAATGTTCAGTTTTGAATAGCCTGCTATTATTTACAGATTTTTCTCCATTTTATTTGTAGTGAATTCATACTGCTAAAGAATCAATTATCCACCCTATGAGTACTTAACACCCAAATGTGTGAGGCTGATGTCCTCGTCCCTCTCACGCTCCCTCTCTGAAAACTGCATTTCATGTGCGGTTCTGACAGGAACCTCTCCTGAGCCTCCATATGGAACCTGCCATTTGATGTGGCCAATTCTAATTCTGTCTTTACAGTTCCATATCTGTTTGTCACTTAGGGGCCACCCAAACACATCTTTTCTGCCTCTCTCAGGAGGAGCTGACGACATTCACCTTTGTGGCCTCTACCCTGTGCTCATTCCTAGAGTGACATCAAAGTGTGAGTGCTGGGATCTGTCTTTTCATTCACGGTTTTGCTTCCCAAGAGCAGGAACCAAGCCTATGGCTTTGTCTTCAGTATGCAGCAAACAAATGCTCTTTGAATATTATGAATAAAAGTAGTGAAAATTATACGTACTTCTAATGTCTTCTTAACTAACAAGAAAAATGCGAAGATAGCCTACCTGTTCCATTGATGTTTCATGAAGTTCATTGAGATTAAGGGTATAAATGCCCTCTTCAGCACCAAATATCAAGTACTGATCTGAAATAACAGAGACACTTTATAGCTGATTTCAATAAACAAAATACTTTAAAAAGGTTTATATCATCTCAAATTTAGTAAATGTGTTACCTCTGAGAAATACTATAATTTTTAAAGTTTTAAAACAAAGAAGAAATTAGATACTCACAAACTAAGTTATATATAAATGTTAGTCTCAGAACAGTGAGGAAAACTCTGCATGAGGGAGACATGAAGAGTGGCCTGTTAGATTTGTCACTCACCAGAGGGTGTGACTGACTGGCAGAGTCTGCAGCTACTTTTTCTAAAGTTCCCTAAAGAGAGGATCATGTGCAAATAACAGAGTGAAAACCAAGAACTAACTCAGACTAAAAATTATTTTTACATATGTGGTGGTTTGAGTAAGAATGGCCCCATAGGCTCATATATTTGAAGGCTCAGTCACCAGGGAGTGGAACTGTTTGAAAGGATTATAAGGATTAGGAGGTGTGGCCTTGGAGGGAGCATGTCACAGGGGATGCAGACTCTGAGGTTTCAAACCCCATTCAAGGCCCTGGCTCTCTCTCTCTCGGACAGTGAATCAGGATGTAGCTCTCAGCTCCTGCTCAGTGCCATGTACGCTGCCATGCTCCCTGCCATGACGATAATGAACTAAACTAAGCCTCTGGAACCATAATCGTGTCCCTAACTAAGAGCTGTTGTCTCTTTACAGCAATAGGATGGTGACTAAAACAATAGACTATTATTTTTTGGCTATTACTGTATGTCATAACGTAAAAAACACAGGATCTGGGACTGGGAAGGCAAAGGAAACAAAACAAAATAAGATAGACGCTGAGGACACAGCTCCGTGGGTAGAGTACTTGTTTAGCAGGGTCAAGGCCTTGGGTTTGATTCAGCACCACACAAACTAGACACGGTGGTACAGGCATGTAATCACAGACTTGTGAGGTAGAGGCATGTGGATTAGAAGTCCATGGTTTCAGGTTAGGCTGAGCTAATGACTTGGTTTAAAAACAGACCACAGCCACCCAACCCAACCTAACTGCTAATCATTGCCTGTTGAAATTTTAACTAAGACCTGGGTAGAACAGTGGTTTTCAATCTTCCAATGCTGTGACCTTTTAAAGTAGTTCCTCATGTTGTGGTGATCCCCCACCATAAAATTAGTTTGTTACTACTTCGTAACTGTAATTTTGCTACTGCTATAAATTGAGTGTAAATATCTGATATGTAACCTCCAAGGGGGTCATGACCAACACACAGATTGAAAACTGCTGTTTTAAAAGATAAAAGAAACTTAGTAAAGGTCCCATTCAACTGCTTTTAAGATAGTAAGATCTTCTCTAGGCTGAGCAGAGGTATTCTAAGAATAACCTAGAATATATGAGAACCCCCGACACTGTGCAGCCTTTAGGATTTGTGCTGGCATGGCACCTGTGGTCAGACAGCAGTGGGTTTAAATCAAAGTGCTTGTGAAGCAACAAATCGGAGTGTCAAATGAAAATACTGATCTTGGGTTTATGGAAGAATACATACATATTTGTTTTCTTATGCATATTCATGTAAGAGTGTTCACTGGTGACTCTATGGGTATTCTACATAGCTAACAAGAGGGCTTCAGGATGCCGGTATGCAGAAAGAACACAACGCCATCCTAATCACTATGGCTATGACACCTTTACAATTTAGAGCTCCTTTGAAACAGTCACTTGACTCTGGGTATTTAGGATCTAAGTCAATAGTTGTAGCTCTGTGAAAATAACACACTGGGCAGGAGGAAGAAACATCTCTGCAGGAAGTAAGGGAGGTCTCATATGCTGTGCCTGCCAGACAACTCCAGTGAAAGTCACCTGCTACCTCAGACCACAGCAACAGCACAGACGAACATATTTACCTTAAATCTATAAAGAACGGCAAAACTCTTAGAGAGAGACAACCAGAAAATGAGTCAAGTGAAACTCTTTCAGAGATCTGCTGAAGGGCACTTAGAAATGGAAGAAACTGGTACTACCTCTCGTGTCTGGGTTTATCCAGGATGTGGCACAGTGGATTTTCAAGGGACAGCCATTAAAAACCTTTGAAAAGCATGCTCCCATCTGAAAAATAAGTACTCATCAATAATAATAAATAGTAATAAGCATATGAGACACAACTATTTTGTTTTAATATGGGAGATTACAGAGGACACACTAAAATTAATATCACCTTCAAATTTACAGAAATAAATGTGTCAAGTCAATCATCCATCCAACTTTTGAAAGAGTGGATCATTTTTTCTGGACATTCACAACAAACTTTATGATAGTATTATACAAAGTTTCCTGGCACAACAACAATTTTGCTAGAGAAAAAAAATCTCATTTTTTTATCATTTCGCAATAAACAAATCAGCACCAATAACCAATCTTGTGTAATAAATAATTTGCCAGTAAGACTCAGAATCTCCTATGAAAACAACATAATATTCTTAGGTAAGAAGAAAATAATAATCTCTACAAAGAAAATGTTCTTGTTTGGTTTCTTGACAAAAATGCCATCACTGAGGTAGTGCACATCTATAATCCCAGCACTCAGGAGGCAGAGGCAGGAGGATCTCTGTGAATTAAGGCCAACCTGATCTACATAGTGAGATCCAGGACAGCCAGGACTACACAGAGAAATCTTGTTTCAAATAAATAAATAGCAAATACATAAATAAATAAGATAATTGAATTTCCTATTGTAAACTAAGATGCAGGGCTGATTTAAATCCACATATGTGCTCCAAACTCAAAATATACAGACTCATTAAAAGGATCAATCTGAAGTTGGCTAATGACTTCTATACCTGTACTATGACAGAAGTACATATGTACATATATGAAACACACACACACAAACACACACACACACACACACACACAAATGTAAAATTTTCTTTTTAAATGAAGAAAAAGCTGAGTTCAATTGTGATGGTTCCTGCTTGTAAAGTCAGTGTTGGGGGTGGGGGGAGCAGGCAGACATAAAGATATATACTGAAACAATTCCCACTGTAGTTTGAAAACTCAATTATTTGATACTGAATACTTACATGCACTTTAGGTGTTGGGGGAAGACCATTACTAATTGGCTTCTAGAAAAAGGAACACATGTTATTGTTATTACTATTATTATTATTTTGCTGCCCCTTTGACAAGGAAATACTGCATTTCAAGCTCATTCCTTTGAAAAAAATACACAAGTTCAGTATCCCAAAATAAAACACCTATCTGTGGTTTTCCTATTTTCTTCCCAAAGTTACTTACTGCTCCCCATACCATTTGGTGCACATCCTTTCTCTAGGTAATTGGATATACTTAAACACAGAATAGCTTTCTGGGCAGTATTTGTTTTCTGAAGTGCTGGCCATCAAACTCGGGACCTCTCACATGCCAGGCACTCTATCAACAAACACTAGCGTTTATAGAGTCAGTTCTCATCAGGGAGGATAACCAACTCTTGGTGAACAATCATAGCGTGAAGGGTTAGACCAGCAGTTCTCAAACTGTGGGTTGTGACCCCTTTCACTGGGATCACCTAGAAGACCATCAGAAAATGCAGCTATTTTCATTATGATTCACAACAGAAGCAAAATTACAGTTACGAAGTGGCAAAGAAAATCATTTTATGATTGGGGTCACCACAACATAAGGAACTGTACTAAGGGTCACAGTGTTAGGAAGGTTGAGAATCACTGACTGGGTTAGACTTACATAAAGATCATGATTTATAATGTGCTAAGTAAAAAATAGATTTAAATTTAAACAAGGAGGTTATGTCACTGTGCCTTTATATAATTACCTCTATGATTTAAATAAAATACTATTGCTATAATCGATAGGCTAAAATATCAATATAGTAGCCATAGAATACACAATTGCTATGGCTTTAGTTCTCGTCAGTGTGGCATTTGTTACACAGTGAGAAAGGACACAAGTGTGAGTGCACAATCATCAACACTTACTGGTACATCCTTCTTCTCTTTTCTGGAGAGGTTTGTGCCTCTATGCTCACTCTGTTGCTGATGTAATGATCCGTCTCGCTCACCATTTAGCTGGAAGGAGCTCACTCCGTTTCCTTCAATAAGATATATTTACATATATTGTGAAAGGACTATTTTTTAAGTGAAAGATTATTAAATAGGAGAGATTCATTCTGTGCTTACAATCTCCAATTCAGAACACCCATGCTTGGGGTGTTATACATGTTCTTCTAGTTCAACTTACTTCTGACATATCAGGTAAAATTAAATTTAGCTCATTTATTTTCATTTACTTTCATTTAAAAGAGAAAAATTTATTAAAAGAGAAAAATAGTAAATCCACAATTACTTGTAAAAAACGGACAATTCATATTAAATGTAGTTACCAAGAAATAGTAACAGTTTTTAAAAGGTTCCTCTGGACAACAAAGGAAACTTCAGTGATAAAACAGTACATTCTAGTGCTAAGTTATAGACAATACCTATAAATATCAATTGTTTTTCTAAAGTGATTCAAAGTAAAGAATCAAAGAAAAACAACTTTATCTTTCCTAAGATGGAAGTAGCCTACAACCAGACATGTTTCCTTATTTCTTCAAAGCTTCACTGTGACTTAGATGCCATCGCTAATGATGAAACAGACAGCAGTCTCCACAGGTGGGAATGCGAATGGGATGGAAAAGCAGAGATGTCTCAGTGGCTAAGAGCATCTGCTGGTGCTGCAGGAGACCCAGGTTCACATCTCAGCACCTGCATAACTCCAGTCCCCCGGATCTGACACCTCTTCTGGCCTCTACTGGCACCAGGCACGCACACACGCACCTGCAGGAAACACACACACACACACACACACACACACACACACACACGCACGCACGCACGCACGCACGCACGCACGCACGCACACACGCACAACAGAAAATAGAGGCAAATGTCCCAGGCTGGTTCACAAGGGTCCTGTCATTGAAAGTACTTTGTACCCAGAAGCAAAAGGCAGAAAACATGTCCAAAAGCCAAGGAATTTCAATCAAGTGGCCAGTCCCTTCGCTTCTTTGGAGTCTGTTCTCAACCCTCACCTAAGGCAGCAGGCTTCTGTGGGGGTAGTCTGGGGGGAGGTGGTCTAGGTGGAACGTGGGATGGCTTTGCTGGGCTCCCTGATGAGGGACATCTCTTGATTGTCCCTTGATTACCATCCTCAGCAGAATGTGTATCCTGGGGTATGAAGATGGATTTAGGCTGAAATAACACAGAAAAGGAAACCAGTGATTAAGTAAAAGATTACTTTCCTGAAGTAAGTAAAAAGTATTACATATCAGAGACTTTCAAACTGTGTTCACTAGAGGAGTGTCAAGAGTGTTTAAGATTCAGGCTATCTTATTACTTAAAAATTATTCTTAAACTGTGCTGAGGCTTTGCAGCTGTAGGAGGAGCCATATGAATTGGTTTCTACTCCCTTCCGTTCCAGATTTCCTAGTTCCCATTGTCTGATTTTTTTTTGTTGTTGTTAGACATTTTTTTTAGTGTACATACCTACTTTGGCTAGGTAAAATGTTAATAATTTGCCCACCCTTCATTTTCTGATGAATTGGTGTCTCACAAGCATTCCAAAGTAAAAATATTCATATCTTTCTGATTATACTCCAACTTAACTGTATCTCTTGTAGGATTAATCTAAACTGTCTATGTTAAAGTACAATCTTACAGATTAGGGACAACAGTAGACAGCAATTAAAATACTCATACTGGAGAACACCAGCACAGTAATACAGGAAGCCCTAGAAACTTCTTATGAAGAGAGTAGCTTGCAGAATTAACCAATTCTTCCACATGTGCCCTTATGATGCCTGCCAAAGTAATCTTCACAAACAAGCACAGTACCTTTCATCCACGAGAATTGACATATTTTTTCAAAACGCAGTTAGAAGCCAATACTGGTAAGGCTCCAACTCAAACTACAACACAACTTACTTTTTTAGCTGAAACTTGTCACCCACATAAACATAGAATAAGTGTACCATACTGCTATTTGTATCCACGCATCTTATCCTTTAAAAAGCATGTAGATATGCTGTATACATGTATGAAATTAAAGAAAACCCTGTAAATTGAGATTACTTTATCATCCAAGTGACTTTGTTAGGCAAAGGATTAGCTCAGCACAGAGTGCTTGCATAATATGTATGAGGGCCCCAGGTTCAATTCCCAGCAGAGCCACAGAAAAGGGGGGTTTTATCATTATATTTTTTTCTAAAGCTGCTGTCCTATTTTTGTATTTTAATTTACAATTATTTTCTGAAAATTAAATGTCTGTGATGGTAGTTTATCCTTTTTCCATGCTCAGCAATCAATTAATGGTAGCTTACAGATAGGAAAAAAAAATCTTATGAAAATATAAGATTTCTAGCTAGAAATTATTTCAAAGTATAAATATTTAAAATGTATTACTTAAGTAACTACTGAATCGTCATTTTTTAAAAGACAACAGTAAAATTATGTTCTTAGATAATAGTCAACTAGTTTTTCTTTGTGGGCGGGAAACAAAAGCAAGCTATAGCAATGAAGACAGCAAGCACTACAGTGGAGACAGCGCAGGGTGTGGACAGCGGGTGTGATTATAGAGACAGTAAGCACTGAGGTGGACGGTGGTGCCAGGGTGTGGACAGCGGGCGATGACAACAAGACAGCAAAAGCTACAGCGGAGAGCAGCGCAGGGTGTGGACAGCGGGTGTGGTAACGGAGACAGCAACACTGCAGTCAAGAGCAATGAGGAGAGTTTGGACATCAGCGCAGGGTGCCGACAGCGAGTCTGTCTACCTTTGGTGGCAGAGGAGGCGGGACTTTTGCTTTCATGGTTGAACTAAAAACACAGAAAATACAGTCATAATTATTTAGAGTCATAATTATAATTATTAAACACAATTATTTTTCAAAGATACAGAAGGAAAAGTCTTTAGAAACAAATACTATTTTCTGGGTTCATGAAATTTTTTCTAAACTATGTTGTAAAATGTCCAAATTCTATTGAACTAAACATTCAAAAGTAAGTGGGCAGATGTGCACCTTGGTTTCAAACGCTACAAGTGATTCAAAGTGGAAAGAAGAGCGCGATCCTATTGTATTCACTCAAAAGGAAATAAGGACATAATCGGGAGTGGTAAGAGCATAAAATACAGCACACAACATGTCTTGCTTTCTTTCCTGCTGTGGTGATAAAAGTCTGGCGAGGGGCTTATTCCAGCTACAGTTCAAGCATGTGGTTCATCATGGCAGAGTCCCACCAGAATTCAGTCAGTGCTCAGCTTGCTTTCTCCATGTTACACAGTTAAGGGTCCTCTTACCGGGAAACGGCCCCACCCACAGTTAAGAGGGGTCTTCTCATATCAACTAATTCAATCAAGATAATCCACCACACACATACCCAGAGGCCTGTCTGACAGGCAATTCTGGGTTTTTCTCAATTCTATGTTTTTAATTACCGTTATAGACTGACTTTTTTCTCCCTAAATTCACTTATTGATGAGAGAATTCTTCATGTGATACACATAAAGATATGGCTTTAAAGAGGTCATTAAGGTCAAATGAAGTTATAGGCTTGATGGGCATGAGAACAGGAAGAATGACTGACCTTTGCCCCACCACATACACATATCAAAGAATGGCCATGTGAAGACACACATGGAGGCAGGAACTTGGCAAGGAGTTAAAGGTCATTCACATGCATACAGCATTCTCTTAGCCAACATGAACCACAAGAGATGCTGTCTCAAAGACCAAGGTCGGTGTTGGCAGCTACACAACTAGATGGAGGAAATCATCAATCACCAAATAGATCAGCACCTAGACCCTGAATTTCCTAGTCTCTAGAGCTGAAGAATTAAGTTTCTGTCTAACCCCACCCAGTATAAGGCATTTTTGTAATCCCAATCTGAAGCTGAATAATTCAAGCAGACTAAAAAAACAATAGCACAAGGACTGTGTTACAACTAAGACAGTATGATACTTTTATTAAAATTATCACTAATATTAAGCCCCTAGAACTATGACATGGGTCAAATGAGATCCTTTCTTTTTACCACAAAAAGCAACAGAACTTACCGTTTAGAGTCATCATCATCACCTTCATCGTCTTCTAAGTGAGCCACGTGTCCTCTAAAGAGAGCAGATAGCAGATAATTAGGCGGTGAGCCTTCCCAGAGCAGCTAGAGATGCAGGAGGGTCGACTGCAGGACAGGACTTCATGTATGCATCTTTGTAGGACAGACTGACAGCTAAAACTAACAAATTACGTATCACAAAGAAGAGGAAAACAATTTGGATCATCTATGACACAAAGGAAGTACTTCAAGCTTAATTTAAAAGTTGTAATTACCGCTGATGTAATTCTTCTTCAACAGACTTTAGAAGACTCCTTAAAAGATACAAACAAGGAGCGTAAGTAAAATGGTACCAAGTGTGTTGCTGCTTCTATTACTTTGTTTTCTCATAAGTGTCCTGAATACATTTGCCACACTGATCATTTCTGTGCCACAAAGCTTATGCTTTAATGAGATATATCTATTTTTTGTTGCTAATAACTTAAAAATGTATCCTAAATGAAAATAAATAAATTCTAATGCTGACTGAAAATTACTAATTCAAACAGGAGACAACTCAGCATGAAATGCCACAACAAAACTGACATAACAATTGCAGGGTCAGAGCCAGGGATTTCCAGGACTCCAGATTCTACCTAGAAAATTACACCTGACACCAGGAATTGTATTTTCTTTCTTAAAATAAGGAGTATGACACACTTTGGCAGACTCATGCTCTCAGGCAATCCTGCAATATGGAACTCAGCATGTTGGCTTTCTGCAGAAGCATGCATGCATGTGCTGCGAACACATGAATGTAGCAGCAGTCTGCTTTCACGGAGGACACTCACCCACCTGCGAACTGCTCTCCACGGGTGCACAGGCAAACACTTTACGCTTTTGCAAGACTAAGGCTGTGTCAGACCAGTTCTGTGGGTTTTAGCATTAGGAGTGATGTTTAAAAAATGGACTTGACTTTTCAAGAATGAGAGAGAATTGGGGTGATCCTGAACACAGGCAATTCAGATGCACAGCCTTCTCCAGGCTGCTGCAATTACCAGAAGAGACATATTCTCTCTAAACCTTGTAAGTAGTACCTCAGTGTTCTTGGAATCATCGCACCACGAAAGCCAGAATGCATGGTAGACAATGAGCAGAACTGTCCTACTCATCAAGTGCTCTAAGCAGGCTAGCCTGGCAAGTTTTTAAATGACCAGTTAGGAATTTGGAAAGGCAAGTGACACAGAAAAAGAATAAACCAATTCCAAGTACTAGCATCCCTCAAAAGAGAAACTGAGGTGTGGTGGCTCAGTAGCATCCTACTAACTTTGACACTCTTCCAGAGGGTAAAACTGGCTTTAAGTGGCACCTCTGGCACCTCTGCGAGCCCTGTGGCCTCGGCTAAGTCACTGTCATTTGAATGCTGTGCTTCAGCTCCTTGCATGTAAAATGGGAATTACACTAGTACAGGACATGTGTAAGGCAGCAGCATCTGGGTGAGGGAAAGCACCTTAGTGGCTCAAGACCCAGCAAGCACTCCACTCCGTGTTCTAAAGCACACATTCAGACACCCTCCCCGGATTAGATCCTAGACAAACCTGTCTCCTACAGGAGGGTCTCCAAGGTCGCACTGTCTGCCGAAGACATAACTTTTTCTACTCTTGTTTCTGCTGCTATTTTCTAGAAACTATTCAATATGTGATTTAACAGATTAAATGAAGTAGAAGACATGAAGGAAATGTAAAAGGAGAAAACAAGGCCATTTCCTAACTATTATTACTTTGTCAGAGAAAAAATAGCTCTTTTCATACGCCGACTGCCTCTTGCAGACCCAGCAGTTTGCTGGACTGCAAAGGTGTGGCCAGTCACGTGAGAATCATGGAAGTGCTGTCAGGAAGGAGCTGACGGGGAGGCATTTGAGCTGGTCCTTTAGGGGGAGGACTTAAAACTGTATAAACATGTATTTTATTAAAGATGAATATACATTTTTATTTTAAACATTTTGGGGGAAATTCTTTGTTTATATCTAATACTAGTGTAGTACTAAGATGCTACACTAGTAACAGAAGTTCTCGGTATGCGCTGCTGCAAAGGGACCCTAGACTAACCATTTGAGAAGTGCAGTCTTACCCAGTTAATAAGCCCAGTCTCTCTGGGTGATAGTGGACTTTCACACTGTTCCAGAAGACAGGAAGCCAGTATGGCAGCAAATGTCTGCAATTCTATCACTAGCCTGAGCTATATAGTGCACAGGCAGTCATAAACAAGTGAAAGATGCTTTTTCGGAGCATGCGGCAGCATTATTTTTTTTAAGGCATTACGATTTGAAAATAGTTAGGAAGACAGTTTACATATAGTTTTATGGCATTCTGGCTTTGATGGGGGGGGCAGGGGCGGGGCATGCTTTCTGCAGCCCAGGCTGGCCTCAAACTTGCTATGAAGTTGAAGATAGCCATGCATTTCTGATCCTCCTGCCTCCACTTCTTGAGTGCTGGGCTAACAGGTGTGGCCCAGCACATCCATTTTTGAGGTGTGTGTGTGTGTGTGTGTGTGTGTGTGTGTGTGCCCGCGCGCGCACGCAGTATTGAGGATGCACAGGGGGGTCTGTGCAGGCCAGCAGATACCCTACTGACTACGGTGTACCCCAGCTCTGATACTCTGCTTCTGAAGTGAGACTCTTACAGGAAGTTCTCTATCAAAAGTACTTCTACTCATTTATTTTAAGTCTCTTACCATGGAATAAAGTAGTTTGCTGACAAGTTACATAGTTCATAAAGTCATATAAAGGACATATGGCTGACTTTTGCGTCTTTACAACAGAGAAAATGAGACACAGCTCAGTTTTCCAAGTGATCCAGTACAGCACCTACAGCTGATAGCTCTGGAGAACACGTGACTCTGAGCTACTCACCAGGACCTGTGCTGCACAAGAATAAAGCCATTTGAACTTAGCTATTAAGGGGTATTTGCTAATAGAAACGAATTGCTATCAAAATGATGGAAATTTTAATAAAAAAATCTAAACTGGGCAATGTATGAACGCAGAAAAACTGAGACGGGAGAAGTCTGAAACTGCCTTCAAGCGTCCAGCACATCTGAGTTAGGAAAGGGTCATGTGGCACGTTACCGTCTTACACAGTTGCCAGGCTGACTCAAAACAACCTGTACATGCGCTTCCCTGACTGCATGTAAAGGCAAAACACTGGTATTTCTCTGAAACTGAGGAGCAGCTTTATCTACTTCCTAACATAACTGACATTACTAACTAGCTATTTATACATGAAAACAATTAGCAATTGCCTACTAAGCCCTGTGGATACTCAACATTTCATCATGGTTATCTATTTCTCCCTTAGCGAAGATGAAGGGCATCTGCTCCACTATGTTCATAGCAGCATTGTTTGTAATAGCCAGAACCTGGAAGCAACCTAGATGCCCCTCAACTGAAGAGTGGATAGAGAAAATGTGGTACATTTACACAATGGAGTATTACTCAGCAGAAAAAAACAATGGAATCTTGAAATTCGCAGGGAAATGGATAGCACTGGAAGAAACCATCCTGAGTGAGGTAACCCAGTCGCAAAAAGACAAACATGGTATGTACTCACTCATATATGGATTCTAGATATGGATCAGGATAGTGCCAGTCTGCACTTCCACGGATAGAGAGTCTGGGAAACAGGAAAGAACCTAAAAGATATGCATATATGCATAGTACCCAAGAGAAGAGGATGGAGACAAGATCCTCTGAATGGATGGGGAACACGGCGAGGGGTGGGGGGGAGTGGGACCTGGGAAGAATAGAGGGGGTAAAGAGGAAGGGAGTTGGTCATGGGGGAACAGGAAGTTGAGGGGGTGGGGGTAGAATAGGGGGAAGAGGGAATCATAGGATCGAAGACAGATCAGGCACCAGAGTGACCTCGAGTGATCTAAAGGTATAACATCAATTGGCAAGCTAAGCAATAGTGGAGGGACCACCTCGAATGCCCATTCCTGATAATGAACTTGATGTCTATAACCATCCGGGAGCCTTCATCCTATGACTGATGGAAGCAGAGTCAAACACACAACTAAGCACTGAACTGAACCCAAGGAACCCAGTGACAGAGAGAGAGGAGTGATGAGCAAATTGGCAAAGAATGGGCTGGCAAAACCAGCAGAGACAGCTGATCTGAACAGGGGAGTGCTCTTGGACCCCAGACCGACAGTGGGGAGGCCAGCATGGGACTGATCTGGACCCCCCAAATGTGAGTGTCAGTGAGAAGGCCTGGGCGACCTATGGGGCCCTGAGCTGTGGATCAGTGTCTATCCCTGGTATACAAACTGTCTTCAGGTGCCTATAGCACAAAGAGAGATGCTCTCTCAGCCTGGACTCTTAGGGGAGTGCCTTGACCCTACCAAGAGTAAAATGACAGACTCTAGATATCCCCTATGTGGAAGGATTTGGCAATAGGGTGGGAGGGAGGGGGGGGAAGGAGAGTGTGGGAGGAGGGGAGGGAGAGGGAACTCGGATTGACATGTAAAACAAGCTATTTAAAATTAAAATAAAAAATGATAAAAAAAAGAACACAATCAACCAGTAAAAGGCAACACATAGAATGGGAAGAGATATTCACTAACCCCACATGGGACAGAGAGCTGATCTCCAAAATTTACAAAGAACTCAATAAGCATAAGAAAAAAAAAAAAAAAGAATCCTCATTCTACCAGAGACAAGTAGTCAAGTGCTCACAGAAAGAGCCGATACAGGCTGGACACTGCACTGGCTGCGAGGGTAGTTATCTTTATAGCTCTGCTCTGTGCTACAGCACAACCAGACATAGTTTGTTTTTCTTTAAAAATAACTGCTCTGATTTTAAAAAAAGCTCAAGAGAACTCACCCCAGCTACACCAGAATTCAAAAGCAAAGGTGTTAGCAGGGTTGCGGTTATAGCATATGCCTTTTGTTGTGGAAAGTCCATGTAACAAACCTAACTCAACAGTACCTGAGGGATCAGGAGTAGGCAGGGACCCATCGAGCATTCTGTCTACCTGACCACTTCCGAGAAAGCGGGAAGTCCTGACTTTGAAAGCAAGGCCTAGCAGCAGGACAACAGCAGACATGTCAATACAGTAAGAGAAGCGCTACAACCATGCTCATGTCACGTGTACGTATACGCCTACACACAAAACACATCCAGAACTAAGACTTTGGCCAACCTACCTTGCCAATGACTCGTTATATAGAATACAGTTCCTTAGCAGGGATCCAATTCATCAGAAAATGAAGGGTGGGCAAATTATTAACATTTTACCTAGTCAAAGTAGCTATACACACTAAGAAAATGTCTAACAATAAAAAAAATCAGATAATTGGAAATAGGAAATCTGGAAAGGCATTTTTAGCTGTATTATTTTGCATTTTGTGAGCACGTTTATTTTAAAGGAAAGATGAAAGGGTAAGTGATACATAGCCAGCAAATTATTCAGCCTCTTTAAGTACATGAATGTGGTTGTACCAGGTTCTTAAAATCAATGACATCATTAGAAAAAAATTTTAATTAATTTTTAAAAATTCACTATGTCACAATGACAATCTGTTCTTTGTTATCCACTAAAACCAGGACAACTTATAAATAGCAATTGCAGTTTAGGTAAAACTACTTTTTTTTTTTTAACCAAGGGAATTTATACTTATCTTCCACTTTAAGAAAGACAAGAGGCTACTGAATGGTGTATAACTTTAATACCAGTACTCAGTAGGCAGAAGTAAAGCAGAGGCAGGAGGATATCTAAAAGTTTGAGGCCAGCCAGGACTACATAGTGAGACCTTACCTCAAAATATACATATGAATAAACAAACAACCAAAAGATAAAAGAAGACAAAGGCTATTAAATAATGACAAATTCTTAATATTTTATATTTAATTGAAATTCACATTAACAAAAAGTGTATTTCTTTAGCTTTTCATTCAAAGCCTGTTCTCTGTACTGCAAAGTATACCAAGATAGGGAAAAAAAATGAAGTGTTCAGATTATAAGAAAAAGGAGAAAGACATGATTTTTAGTACTATCCATCAAACTAAGGTATCTGTCATTAATTACTATTTTTCAACTGCTTAAATTGTGGGAACATGTCTCAGCTCTCTAGTGTAAGACTGAAATTTTAAGTTCTAATTTAATATGTATATTCATTCACAGAATATTTTGGTAATTTAAATATTCCCTTTCAAATATATAAAATCAAGAAATAAGAAGGCAGACCTTAGGTTTTAAACTCTGGCTTATGATGAACTTGCAAAAGTTTATAAACTGTCTAATCGAACAGTGCTTTCGGCACCCAGACAGTGCCTGGTACAGAGTAGGCATTACTTCTCACGTGATGTTTTAGGAGTTCATATCTACTTTTATTGTTAGTGTTCTTTAAAAGACTATCAGAGCTAAACTGAAGATGAGGATTTCTAAGCAGTATGAGTAACCCAGCTGTTTTCAGTGACCAGCACATCTGGGAGATGCACCAAGCAAGTTTTGCTGAGGGTAAACGGGTCAACTTTAGAAAGCATTCAGCGGCTGAAATGCAGATTCGTTGTAGCTGGAGTATACTGTAACCAGGAAGACCTGCAGATTAGGTTAGCAGAAAATATTTGAGCTGATCCTCCCAGAGGATGCTGACTATATATAGATGGACAGTAGAGAGATTGTGGAAAAGACAGGGGCACACTGCACAGCATCTGCTAGCTCAATACAATGTTCTACCTTAAATATGAAATACAATATATAATATTAGAGACAATTACTTTAAATTTTAAAAGAATTCACTTACTTGTTTCCACCTAAAAAGTAACTACTTTGGTGTCCTTGTCCATATTCTAATTGTAGATCCTGAAGGCATAAAACAGAACTATTTAGCACAGCAGAAGAGCAGCCACTATAAACTAATACATACTATTTTAAAAACACAAGCCCCAAACCCCAAATAAATCTGTATTGCTATATACTGTTAAAAAGAAGGCATGGTGACACTTTAAAAAATACAAGATAGAAGTCTGTCGTGCTGATTTTAATTATCTAAGTATTTTTCTGGGAATTTTTCCAAATGACAGCTACAAGTTTCATTTGTGACTACTGTTATTGTAATTAGTATTTGTAGAACTCAGCTTGTAGAAAGATAAAAGCTCAAATAAAGTTTTATCAAGCTACAATGAAGCAAAAAAAGAACAGAATGAGCAACACAAGACACCTGGGTTTGACTCTGTATGCGGCAAGTGGAAGGACTGTGCATATACACACATTCACATGTTTCTGTGGCTGTTCATGCAGGTGATTAATGTACACACATAAAGCTGTGCACTACTGCAGACGTGAGTATGCATGTGGTCTTGTACAAGCCTGGAAACTGCACTGAAGGAGCTTTAGAAGATTTTAAAGTTAAAACAGCTAAGTTTAAAATGAATATGGAAAGCTCCTTGCCAATGCCGCAGGTTAAAGAGAACAAGGAATTAAAATCCAGAAGAATGAGCAATATATGGTCTCCACTAAAACACCACCTTGAGAAAAATGTTCTGTCCAACAACCATAGCAAGAACCACGCTGCCTTCCCCTCTTTTAAAGAAGCCACTGTGCTCCAATCAGAGTTACAAGGAATCTCCTTTCAAAGTAACATTAGATGTGTGACTGGGGCTCTAAGGAGGTCATCTTGGGACAACTTCCCAAGGTCAGAGATGGCACCAATTAATGTCTCCACAGAGTTTACCACACAAATCACCTCAGCACTTATACTGAATGTTAATGTCTCCAAGTCTCTTACAGCAATCTGGGCCATGAGCTCTCAAACACAGAGAAAAAGGCCAAGTCTGTCTGCTTTCCTTCCAGTTGTAGTCTAACACAGCAACTGACACACAGACTGTGCTCTGAGTAATAAACACTTGTTCAAATGCCACCTCTTTTGTTTCCCCAGGGTACAGATACTCAAAAATACAAACATCCCAAGTCTAGAAGTCTAAGATTAGAACACAATGCCATGCAACACACTGTACTTTAAAATTAACTTCAAGGTCTGTCCAAAAAATATTGTTGAAAATCAAAGTACTGATTTGGATAAGTTTCAAATTTTGTCCTCTTTAATATTTGCGTTTAATTGTGCATATAATAACTATCCTTACCAATAACAGCAAAGATAACACATCATAAACAAAAGAGATTAGTCGCCTGTTACACTGGTGTCAAATGAAATTCTAATGAAAAAGGATGCATATTCTCCCTAACTTAGAACATATCTTAATGACCAAATCACCAAGTCACAAGGCTGCAAATATTATTTCACTTTCCAGTTTTAGTGATCATGACTTTATACTTTATGCACAAGAATTCAGCTAATAAAGTACCCATCTCTATGGATGCTTCTAACCTATGGTTATCAGGTACAGAAGAATAAACCCTCTAACCAGAGCAGCAAAAAACAGCTTTAGCCAATAAAATCTCATAGACTTTTATTTAAACAACAACTTCACAAGCATAGATAACTACAAAGTGGATGTATTCCCAAGCATAGATAAGTGCATAGTGGATGATGCCTTCACAAGCATATATATATATATATATATATATATATATATATATATGCATAGTGGATGTCTTCCAAAGCATACACATGTGCAAAATGAATGATATCTTCCCAAGAATACACATGTGCAAAGTGGATGATATATTCACAACCATACATATATATGGAGTGGATGTCTTCAAAACAATTCTTAGGGGCAGAGTGTCAAAAGCATAAAAACAGGCAGAGTGGATGATGTTTTCAAAAGCATACACATGTGCTGTGTAAACCCACAAAAATGAATGCTTCAGAGTGACTAAAAGCCAGAGAGTTCAGAGCTATTTTTGCTCATTCACAGTTATAAGACAGGATGTTTGATGTAAGATGTGGTTACAAGATATTTTGCCTAGACAAAACAATATTTCAATCTAGGGTATGGTTACTTGATATTTTGAGATGTGAGGAGATAATAACATTTGTTTGTTCTGCGTATCATAGTAAAGAAGTCTTTTGCCTTCCCTCCTTTTGAATTGGGCTATTTAAGGGCTATGAGAAATAAATTTGGACCGATCACAGTATTCACTGGATGCCCTCCTGATTCTATTTCTTTCTCAATCCTCTCTCCAAGTATGGACAAATAAGCCAGGTGGGACCCCAAGAATGTATAGAGTGGATAATGTCTTCAAAAGTATATAAATGTGCAGAGTGGATTATGTCTTCTGCTAATGTGTAGGGATGTCCATTTAGCTGAGAGATTACAATCAACAGCAGGTTGACAATAACAACCAGGAAATGAAAGTCAATCAATGTCAGGAGTATATTTAGGATAAAGAGAATTATTTTTAAAAAAAGAGAGAGATTTTAATAGAAAATTAAGCAGAGACTCAGATACACTCAGGCCAGCAGAGTATGCAAGGTATAGATACACCCAAGTCCAATGATTAAGCCAAGTCTCTAGTCCACAAGTAAAGCTAAAACTAAAAGGGACTATTCTTCATTCATTATTTTTCTCCTGAAATCAAATTACACTGTAATAACCATATGGACTATCAAGATGGCTCAGTGAGTTAAGATTCCTGGCACCAAGTCTGACTACCTGAGTTTAAACCCCAGAACCAACGTGGCTGTAGAGGAGAAATAATGCCTAAAGGTTGTCCTCTGACCTCTATCCTCAACATGGTGTGTCCCACACATGCACACATCAAGCACTACACAGTAATAATAAAATTTTAAGAAAAAATATTTGAAAGCTAGAAAAATGTTAGCAAAATTATGTTTAGAAAGCGCTCAAAATAACCAAGATGATGGCATCATTTGGCTATCTTTGTTAATCCAAATCAGAATGTACTTGAGCATGCAAGCATCAGAAAAATAGCAACATTAAAAAATTAATGAATGACATTACACAGTCTTATCAAAGCAGTAACAACATGTTAATGTCAAAACACTGAAAACATGCAATAACTTAGGAGAGGTTCAACTTGAGGACTCAAACAACAGTCGAGACAGTTACTCTAGCACATACTAAAGGACTTTATGGGAGAGAAAGTCCTAATTTCAGGGGTTCCTTTCACTGAGGGCAGGGAAGGCTATTTTTAAATCTAGGGAGGAAAATCTAAGAAAACAGAAAAGAGCTAAGAAAGGCCAAAGACCTCACCATGAGATGTTGGAAAAGGAGGACATACATACTCAGTCTTACTACAATTTTTCTGTTATGTCACCTTGGGAAAGTACAGTCTATATCATATGGGAAAACAGTAGGAAGTCAACAGAACTGAGACCACTGGACACGGACACACCAAGAAAAAGAGCAGGAGAGAATATTTTTCTTCATTACAGAGAGAGAGAGAGAGAGAGAGAGAGAGAGAGAGAGAGAGAGAGAGAGAGAGAGAGAGAGAGAGAGAGAGAGAGAGAGAGAGAGAGAGAGAGAGAGAATGAATTATGGCAGGAGTAAGAATAGTTAGTAAAATCCTCCTTAATATGAAGATGATGTGAAGAAATAAGCTGGAAATGAAGCCAAGATAATACAAAACAAGTTCCTTTTAAAGTCAGAGAAGCATACCAAGTCAGAACACAGTCTAACGGCAGATCCCCACTAGCTGACGAAGACTGAGGGGTCATATCTGAAGAACATAACTTCCATACTGAATCTCAGAAAGGTGCTGAGTTACATTATTATTCTTTATGCCATCTCCTAACAGTTAGCATGGGGTTTTAGCTAGCCACAGTGGTACACACCTACAATATGAGCACTTGGGAGGTGGAGGCAGGTGTATTTTGAGTTCAAGACCAGCTTAACTCTATATAGGAGGACCTATCTCCAAACAAGATAAAACAGAACAAAGTAATAAGCAAACAGATAACCTCAAAAACTAAAAATAACATTTTATTATTAATTCTCAATGAATTATCAAAAATTAGTGAGTAAAATTATGCATGTTATTAAAATAAACAGCATTAGCTGTGACAGATATGAAATAGCCTTTTAATCTTAAGATATTATTTTGTAGATTAAACAGTCCCATTTTATGACTACAGACAAAACTCTTACTATTCAATTATTGCTTCTATGACTTTCAGAAATGTCAGCAGTTTTCAAAATTCAAGCTTGAACTGTAAAGACCCAAACCTGAAATTCCATTTTTCTGTTATATAAAATCTTTGGTTCTTTAGAAATTACTCTTGGGTAGCAACAAAAATTGAGGGTATAATACTTGCAATTCATTTACAAAATCCTAAAGTGGATACTCTCAGAAACCTAGAAACAGCTGGTCTATTTAGGCAGCAAGGTAAAGGTACCACCTCTTTCAGGGTTCCCCAAACCCCATGCCATCATCTTGGTGTCAGCTGACCACTAAGAGGAGAGCCAGACACTGGGTGTTTGGTGGCTAGCAACACGTTTTCCATCTTTTGAGACAAAGTCTCATACAGCCCAGGCTGGCTCTGAAAGCTTTGTACAGCCGAGAAGAACATGGAACTCCTGATGGTTCTCCTGCCTCCACCTTCCACTGCTATGAATATAGGTATGTACCAACACTCCTAAAATAAGCATTTGTGAGAGCTGACATGCATGGATTCCTCACACTCACTTGGACAACTATTACCACAACTAGAAAAAAAAGAAAAGGAAAGGGAAATGAAGTAAGGGATGGCAGTGTGGGAAAACGAGAACCCTTGTCCACAAGTGTGTGTGCACATGCGCACATGGGGTAGCTGCTGTGGAAAACATACAGCAGCTTCTAAAACATTTAAAGACCGACTCACCATTCATTCCAGCAATTCCACTTCTGTGTACATAACAGAAGGGATTCAACCTGTATTTTTAGTTCTATGGTCTGGGGTCCTATCTGTATTATCCACAGTTGCCAAAAGGTAACTGCAAAAGTACCCATCAATAAATCAATAAATAAGTAAAATGTGCCATCTAATAAATATACTATTGTAGCTCAGGTTGGCCTTAAACTAAAGTCTCTTCTTGCCTTAGCCTCCTAACTGCTGGAATTACAGGCATGAGCAACCACACCCAGTTGCATTACCCCTCCCCCTTTCTTCAGATGCCAACAACTGTAGGCAACACATAACTTCACAGCTTCACCATTTCCTCTTTGGTGACTCAGCTCCATCTCGAGTTAACTCCCACTTCTAAAAGTAGTGTAACAGTGTCTTCATTTCAGAATTTACCAAATACCTCTTAAATCTGTGGCCTGTGCCAGTGACCCTACACTGATTCCCATGAAACACTGGAGCACCTATCTGCTTCCTACCCTGACAGGCCACAATAGATCGGCAGCCTTAATTCCTCTCAGAAGCACAAAAGACACATTGGCTAAAAACAGTTTTGGTTTTCTGACCCCCATTGTACCCACTGTGTTTGCTCTACTGGTCAGCAGTTGACAGGTAGACACATTTTGATAATCAAGAATATACTTTTGTACATGGCTAACAATCTATATCTGTCCTTGTGGTGGTGGAGGTGGTGGATGTAGTGGTGGTAGAGGTGGTGGAGGTGGAGGTGGTGGTGGTAGAGGTGGTAGAGGTGGAGGTGGTGGTGGTAGAGGTGGTAGAGGTGGAGGTGGTGGTGGTAGAGGTAGTGGAGGTGGAGGTGGTGGTGGTGGTAGAGGTGGAGGTGGTGGTGGTAGAGGTAGTGGAGGTGGAGGTGGTGGTGGTGGTGGTAGAGGTGGAGGTGGAGGTGGTGGTGGTAGAGTTGGTGGAGGTGGAGGTGGAGGTGGTGGTGGTGGTAGAGGTGGTGGAGGTGGTGGTGGTGGTGGTGGTAGAGGTGGAGGTGGTGGTGGTAGAGGTGGTGGAGGTGGAGGTGGTGGTGGTGGTGGTAGAGGTGGTGGAGGTGGAGGTAGTGGTGATAGAGGTGGTGGAGGTGGTGACGGTGACGCACACCTTTAATCAGCACTCAAGAGGCAGAGGCAGGCAAATTACTATGAGGTCAAGGCCAGCTTGGTCTACAGAGTGAGTTTCAAGACAGCCAAGCCTACAGAGAAACTCTGTTTCAAAAAAACAAAACAAACAAACAACAAAAGTATCTGTAAGTATTGCTTTATCTAACAAGATGACCACTTCTCTCTCCAAAAGAAGTATGTCTACATTTTTTGGTTTTATAAATATTATAAGGCATGGATCTCAACACTTAAATAAATATTTAGACTAACCAGGACTCAAAGAAGTATACAATCAAGTGAGAGAAGAAGAGAAAGAAAATCACATTTCAGAGGCAGGAAAACAGAATCTGGGAACAGACGTTGGGGTAACTTGGGGTTCTGGTCAGCTGTATGAGTAGAAGGAATTACTTGGTAATGTTCTAGAAAACACTAGCTATTTAATAGGTACTTGGTGAAGTTTCCCTATGCAATGGGAGGATAGTCCTAATAAATATAACTTCAGGGATGCTGAAGCTATCCAGATCTTTTTCATGTGAAAAGTAGACATGGCTTAATGCTAACAAATTTAGAATTTCATCTGACTCTACTGTTGACTTAGGGATAAATTACTTGTTCAAAATATACAGGATGCATGCAATATGTAGAATGTTTACAGTATATTAATATATATTATATAACATATAATGCCATTTATATGTAGTATCAAGTTATATATATGAATGTACATATATAAATGGTTTATTATTCATTGAAACAAGAGGTAGCACTAAAATCGGACATTTTTACAAGGAAATGTCATTTAAAAAATACCCTTCACATTTGTATGAGAAATTTATGTTTTTTTCATAAAAGAAAAACATTTACTACTGCAATTTTATGCTTGAGTAGATCTGACTTGCCATGGGAAAAAGTTACTGTATTTTTTTTTATATATGGAAGCTCAATAAATGACAAGCCTTAGTTTAAGAAAACAATAAAACTGGACCAAATGTCTGAGCTTAGGAGAGTTAAGACTAAAACAATGCTGACAAAGAAAATCAGAAGATGAGAAATACCAGATTAGATCTTGCAGTGTAGTATATTTCTTCTGAACTGTCGAAAAAACCATCACTGTCGGGCTGTTTAGCAGAGACCAAGAAACCCAGGTTATTGACACTTAGACTGACAAGCCACAAACTCACAAGGGACACTTTCACAAGGGAGGTGTGTCCTGCTAACATAATTCTATTAAGGCAAATGCAAAATCAAATGATAATAAGTAGCTTCCACACAAGCAAAATGACAAAACCACTTTATAACACAGTTACTAAGTTAGTGCAGCTCTGCTCAGACTGCCTTAACAAAACACAATTAGCATTCATAAACATTACCGCTGTTTTAATTCTTACCCTTCCCCACCTTCCACATGAATCGCAGGCTTTAGCGTTAAACTATGATCATTTTAGGATTTTAGTATTCTCTTTCTTCAGGCTAGTAGAATGAAATCATAAGACAGAGGCTACTGTCTTCCTTTGTGCAGTCAAGAGGTGAGAATGCGCATTCAACTTCAGAAAAAGTCTCCTACTGTAGTAACCTTCAGTATTTATTAAACATTATTTTCTTCCAGTTTATTAAATGGGAAAGGAAAAACCCACCATACTAATGATCTTGCAGCCTTGGCAAAGCAATTTTATTAAGATTACTTTTTAAGCTAATTTTCATCCTTCTATAAAGCATTAAGTATTCAAATATTTCTAGAGCACTCTGCCTCCAAGACTAGATCAGAGCATTGCATCTGGACAGTAGGACATAAAATCACCACGGAAGCCTCATGAGCCTTTACACGCTGGCAAGCTGCATTTATTTAGAGGCAAACGATCTAGCCTCCACACCTGCTCTGATCGTTAGCACTCTAAACACACCAGTCACTGCTGTGAAGTTCAGAGACCCTGGCTCTTTTCCTAATGGATACAAAAAAAAAAAAAAAAAACCTCAAAACCAAACACAAATTAAAAAAATAAATAAATAAGTAAAAGACCAATATTTAAAACACTCAGAAAATGGCAAAACTTATCAAATAATTTTGAATGTACTCAGCAACACAGATTTATTTAGTATTTCAAAGTACCATTTTTCCTCCAAATACTTTAGAAAATATTAATGACTAGCTAGCCAGTACCAATGCATCACAAAGGGAAATTTAAGATTTATGTTCAGAGGCTAACATTCTAAGACCAGGGTACTTACAAGTTCATGATGTGGCTCTGTTTCCTTCCGTAAGGGAGGATCAAATTTTACCTGGCCAACTGAGAAGAAAAAGAACTTATGTCAGGATATGGGATGTTTTCTTCCCTGTTTTTGTTTGCTTTGTTTTGTTTTGAGCCAGGGTCTTATTATTTTAGCTCATGCTAGCCTTGAACAAAGGAATACCCTGTAAACATTAAGTGATGTGACATTTTAATTAATTAATTCATGCACACAAAGGTGGAGTTTGAAACAGGGCCTTGTTCACAACAGGCCATTACTCTATGCTGAGTTTTATCCTTGGCCCACTAGGCATTTTCTACAGTAAAAAAAAGTAACAGGCAAAATGACATGCTGAAATCAGGGTCAAACTTGCTCATGTGCGATGGATGGTCTAGCATAAGAGATCTAGAAGGCATGAGTTTTTCACGTGCTGAGAAACAGTTCTTTATAGCCTAGCTATGTGTGAGAGTCTAAGTGAGTGTGTGCGCACTAGTTGTTAACGGCTCAGATGTCAAAGGATGGCCTGGAGTAGACTGCTCAAGAAGGAGCCCACAATCTCACATCAAAGGTTACAAAAAACTTTCAGCAAGGTGTTAAAAATAGCATTTATCACACCTCCCTGTTCCTGTACTCTGGATGGGGAAGTGTTCCCAGGAGGACAAAAGTATCCACAGGGACTCATTCTTCACATCTTGCTTCACATCATGCTTCTGTTCTGACGCTGTGTTCCCCAAATTCCCAACACTGTGACATGCCTCTGTCACACTCTCTTCTAGATATTGTTTAAATGAGTGCTGACCATCCCAGTGTGCAACACTGTGTGTGCTCTTAATATTGCCAGACCTTTGCAATAACCATCTATCAGATTGCATCCGTTTTGCCTACCACTTCCTTGTACATTCACAGGGAATAGTTGCAAGGCAGAGGGGCTTCCTAAAAACAAAAGGGCAACAAACAGTCTTTCTGCAAACACAAAAGTTTTTACACCTGCTGCTTGAACACCATTTAGTTTCGAACTGGTCACACCAGGAAATGCCAGTAGGTGGAAACAAAACATCATCAAGAATATACCTAATCATTGTTCCAAAGCTTATCTTTATAGGTAACATCATGGAACAGTCTTCTATATATCCAAGTTTACATGTAATCATAAAACATCTTGTAGTAGCTGTTTTGTTTTTTCCCCCAACTTGACACAAGCTACATTCATCTGAGAGGAGGGAATTTTAATTAAGAAAATGCCCCCACCAGACTGGCCTGTGGAGATTTTCTTGACTAATGATTGATGGGGGTGGGGGACATCCTGCTGACTGGGATGGTGCCACTGTGGGCTGGTGGTCCTGGGTGCTTTAAGAAACCAGGCTGGGCAGGCCACAGGAGCAAGCTAAGCAAGCAGTGTTCCTCCATGGCCTCTGCATCAGCTCCTGCCCTACCTGGAGTTCCTGTCAAGTACCTTCCCTAGATGATGAAATAAACCCTTTCCTCCCCAAGTTGCTTTTTGTCATGTTTTATCATCACAACAGAAGCTCTAAAGAAGATATACCCCCAAACAGTCATTATTAAAGAGTAAGACCTGAAAGCCTCAGATACCAAATCCATAACTAAGCAAAATTGGAGCTTCAACCCTGTTGCTCCCTCAGCATATGAAGAATATGACACCTACTAAAGGCAAAAAGGTAAGAAAGAGCCTGTCTGTTTTCTGTCCCTGCCCATAGGGGGGCATGTACACAGAGTACACAGGAGCTTCAGAAAAGTCAGGCTGCGGGTGTCTAGTTTCCTGCAGCATGCATAGCATGCACGCGCACACACGCACACACGCACACACACACACACACACACACACACACACACACACACACACACAGACACACACACACACACAAGCTGGTGGTTGTTGATGCAAATTAGCCAAGAGCGATCAAGAGATCAATGGGTGAACTCCTTGGCCTATCTGAGACCAGCCCTTAAGCAGGCTCTGGATAGGGGAAGCACAAGCAAGGAGCTACCTTTAAGTCCCAGGTAACACGCAGTAAGATTGCAGACATCTCTATAGTTCACACATAGTATGCCTTCAGCACAGGCACATGAACACACTGGGAGCTTGTCAAAAGACCCAGTCCATCCCTCTCTACTGAACCACAGACTGCATTTAACAAGCTTTCCAGGTGCCTCACAGGCACTCAGGTGCACACCCTTGATGATGACTATCTTCTTTAGTTCCCCTGTTTTACTTTTCCTTCCAAAATGGAACACTCTTGTCATCAAAAGTTCCAAAGGAATAAAGAAAATAAAATTCGTATAGCGTTCATCAACAACAGTGTTTACAAAGAAAAAAGGTAACTTATAGAAAAAAATCTAAGTCACAGCTTAAAAATCTCATTTTGGGGGCAGGAGAGATGGCTCAGAGGTTAAAAGCATCTTCCAAAGATGCTGAGTTCAATTCCCAGAAACCACATGGTGGGTCACAATCATTTGTGATAAGATCTGGTGCCCTCTTCTGGCCTGCAGGCATACATGCAGACAGAATACTGTATACATAATAAATACATAAATCTTTTTAAAAATCTCATTTCTGGTTACTGGATTAGGATAGTAGAGGGTCTGTACTCACAGTTTATCTCTGAGCGTGTTTTTTCTTCTCTCACATTTCTACTAGTTGAAGGAATTCTATGTGGTACAGCAACAAGAGGCTTAAAAAAAACAAAATTATTGATGTATAACACTTGATAATGAAGTCGGTTCTATCCATAAAATTATGCAAAGATAAATAAAATGTTTCATTTTACAAAATGAAAACTAAAGCAAATTTTCATATCTTAAAAAGGCAATTACAGTATTAATTCAAACTATGAAGGTAAAAATAAAAATATTTTAAGATGTCCACTCAAAGCAAATTGTTTTACTCTGGTAGAACATGCTTCTAGACTAGATAAAATATACAAATAATTAAATCATGCATCTGTTTATTTGTACACATAACATTAAGGGTGCACAGATCCATTTCATGAGAATGAATTGGTTATACTCAGGCAGAGAAGCCAGAACAGTACCTTTCAACCTGTGGGTCACGACCCCTGGGGGGGGAGGGATTGTCAAATGAGCCTTTCACAGGGTTTGTATATCAGATATCCTATATATCAGATGTTTACATTATGATTCATAACAGTACAGAATTAGCTATGAAGTAGCAACAAAAATAATTTTATGGCTGGGGATCAACACAACATGAGAAACTGTATTAAATGTTCACGGCGTTAGGAGAGGGTTAAGAGCCACTGAGCCAGAAGCAGTGGGCCACACCTATTGTCCCAGCCACTCCAGGGAGGGGGTTTAGGGAGAAGAATTTACCCCAAAGGATGAATGCCAGCCTGGATAGTATAATGAGACTGCTTCCATATGAAAGAATGAAAAGAAAACTAAAAGTATTATGAAGAAAAGGAAAGACAGCACTATGAAGATCTGTAGATAGCATTTTGTAATAACGGAGCCCAGCCATCTTTTACTCATTTTTAATTTGTACTATATTTTAAATTTTTATGTGTGCCCATTCAAGTATGTGTGTGGAGCTCAGAGGACAACCTAGGAGAGCTGATTCTGTCCTTCCACCACGTAGGTCCCAGGGATGGAATTTGATTGTCAAGTTGGGTAGCAAACACCTTTACCCACTGAGCCATCTGTCCCTAAGATATCTATTAAAGCTTATTAGTTGGCTTACAGATTTTTGAAATAACATGAAATACAAACTCACTTGCAGAGAGTAGGAGATAACAGCATGTTTCATTTTTTGCCACAATATGAACTAGACTGGCTGAAGCAAGGCTGTTCAAAACTGTGTAGTTATGTTTCTGTCAACTTCGACATTTGTTTCTCAGAAGACCCCACCTCCCTTTACTAAAAGCATGTTCTTTGTTCCATCTTAGTCTCTCTGGCTTTTAGATACACCATTATAACTTCTGCTAGCAAAAGATAAGTCCATAAGCAATCATCTAATTTGGAAAGGAGTTGTTCATAGAAGCTGGCTTTTGGTACAATTATTCTGCCTGTTGTCAATGTGAGAGCTGTCAAGGACTCAAAGTAGCAAAAGAATGAATGGAAACTTATGGTTTAAGGTGAATGAAATAAACCATTTTTGATTTGTTGAAAAAGTCACATTTACTTATTTTACTATGTGGACACACATGCCATGACATGTATGTGGAGGTCCAAAAACAACTTGAGCGAGTCAGTTTTCTCCTTCCAACATGCATGTTCCAGGGATTGAACTCAGGTCCTTAGGCTTGGCAGCAAAAGCTCTTATCCTTAACCATTGTGCTATCTCACTAACTGCCCAACTTTTAACTCACAGCATCCAGTGTAGCCCAGGCTGGCCTGCTTTTACTCATTTTGCCTCTACCTCAGTTCTATTATTACAGATATACAATACCATCCCCAACTATTTCTTTTTAATTTAAGATTATATGTTGCTCAGAATAGCCTCAAACTTTCTATGTAGCTGAGGATAGCCTTGAGCTTTTAATCTTGCCTCTATCTCCCAAGTGCTGAGAGTAAAGGTCTGCACAGCTAGGCTTGGCTCTGGCTTTTTAAAAAATTATTTCTTGCAAAATTATAAAATCTTATCCTTTATAAGCCATTTCATGTGGGTTCAAGTTATGATTACTCATAATTCTATGACTGTTACAAATGCAAATATAGGCCCTTTAAAATATAAACTAATAATAATATAAAGTTTATAATGAATGAAGGAAAGATGGAAACAATATGATAGCACTAGCTAGTTAACATAAACCAGTTTATTAATTCATATACACATAATAGGATGTAGGAAACCCTGGCTTTCAACTTGTGATCCTGTTGATGACGATGATCAAAGTATCACCATGCTTGGCAAGCTAGTGCTTTATGATCAGAGGGAAATTTTGTACATAAAGAGACATATGGCATTATTGGGGACATTTCTGGTTTCACAACTGGGGATCAAAGGGTGCTACCAGCAACTAAAAGGAAGAGGCCAGGGATACCATTAAATTTCCTGCCTTCACACTGCAGCTGCTCACAACCAACACTTGTCTGACCCTAAATACACACAGTGCTCAGTCTGACACAACCTACTATAAAGGCAGTAGTTAGTGGTGGCCTCTGTCTTTCTTCCAGGTGAAGGATTAGCCACTATGGCTCATGGTCAATTCCCACTGCAGTCTGTTTCTATAGAAAGGTCTCACTAGGGCAACACCAAGCCCCTTCCTGGATTATCCACATCTGCTTCTGCTTACTAGCAAAGTCTGGAATGACAGGCCATGTGGCTCACATTCAAATCTACTTCAGTCGGAAGTTTAAGGGACAATGAATGTCAACCATCTTAGGTCAAATCTAAGACAAGTGAATTCTGATGCTTTGACACCATTAAGTTCACTTTTAGGTCCTCATCTTTAAAAACATAACCAGACACACACATTTTAACACAAAAGAAATTGTACCCACAAGATCAATAATCTCCCTCTAATTTTTTATGAATTTTGCAAAATATTAAAAGCACAATCTTTTGTTAAGAGAAGTAAGTGGTATGTGGGTTGGCTTTTGTCAGCTTGATAAAAACTGGGGTCAGTGCCTCCACCAGACTGCCAGCAGTCAAGACAACGGAGCATTCTTTTTTAATGGGTGATTAATATGGGAGGTCCAGCCCACTGTGCAGGTGACCCTGGGCCGTACAAGAAAGCAGTCTAAGCCATGAAGCAAGACAGTAAGTAGTGTTCCTCCATGGTGTCTATTTCAGCTCTTGCCTTCGGCTTCCTGCCTCAGTGATCAACCATGATTGTGACTGTAAGCCATATAAACCTTTCGTCCCTCAGTTGGTTTTTGCCAGTGTTTTAGCACAGCAATGGCAGGCAAACTAGAACACAGGCAATAATAATAAATATGCAAATAGAGTACATTAAACTTCCTTTACAAGTTCATTCTAAATACACTTGTATCATGTACTGTATGCTGTTACTTAATGTAAAGAAATCTATTATTCAAATATTTAGTCATAGGAATCCAGCAAAATAAACATTTACAGTTATGTGTTCTTTTACTTTTAAAATTATAAGTATTATATTATATATAATTACATAATATATTATAATATAAAATTAAAATAAGTATTAATAATACTTCTTATTAATAATATTTATTTTGGGTGTGTGTGTATGTGTGCATGTGCGTCTGTGTGTATGTGTGTGTTTATGATGTGTGTCAATGCACATGAACCATGGTGCACAGAGAGGGCAGAGGACAATTTTTGGGAGTCAGATCTCTCTGTCCAAGGTAGACTCTGGGGATAGAACTCAGGTTGTCAGGCTCGAGTGGCCAAGTGCTTTTTACTCACAGAACCATCATGCTACTTCACACATCTTTGTCACATATAAGCTTGCCTAGGTTGCAGTAATTGTTTGTGAATACTATTCAAGGATACAGAGTATTTACACACTGAATTCAAGCATTTAAATGCCTTGATGGGTGGGGCTGGAGAGATGGCTCAGTGGTTAAAAGCACATACTGCTCTTCCAGAGACCTGTGGATTCCACTCCCAGCACCTGTATCAGGTGGCTAACAACTACCTGTAACTCCACTTCCATGGAGAGGTATGCACCTGCACTCATATTCACATACTTACACAGACATATACACAATCAAAAATAATATTAATAAGACATAAAAGTCTTGATGTTTTTAACCTTTGGCCCTTTCTTGCACTTCCTTCAGGCCACAATGCACCCAACTGTATAAAATTCTTTACAGCAGTGTCTGTGAGTTCTCTCACAGGAAGTGCCTCTGAGTTCTCTCATAAAAAGTGACTGTGAGTTCTCTCACAAGAAGCATTTCTGACTTCTCTACAAAACATGGCTATTCTTTTTTCTTAGTCTGAAACAGAGCTTTTGAAGATTAGGTGATATATTTCATCCACAGTAGCTTCCCAATAATGTTCATTGGGCCCAATATAAAATTAACATTCAAAACTGAATACTTTCATAATCTAATAGTTGTTCAAAGGCTGTAACCAGCTTTTGCAAAGAAACCATAGAGAAATGTGGCAGTGGGGAAAGCTTAATTAAAGAAAATCTGTTGTAGCCTTTTTCACTAAGTAAACGAGAGAAACTCAAGAAGTAATGCTAAAAGCATTAGAGACAATTTTCCTTCAGTGAACAAACTTTCTTCCTTATATTCATTTTTCTTGAAGAGTACTCCCCTCTTCTCTTTCCTTTCATTAGAACTATCCTAAGCAATCGCCCCTAAGAAAGGGCATAGTGGGGATAGCGATCTACTTACTGTTACTTCATGGGTGTTCGTACAACTCTGGGGAGTCATGAAGTCATGTTTGAAACCCTCAGCATCTCCATCCTACACCTGAAGTTGATGTAGCATCCACCTGAGATGATGGCAATGCCTAACAAGTTTCTCCTATGGGAAAGGCTCACACATACCCATTGCTGCTGCATGGAGCCTTTAGAATCCTCCTTCCACACTGTGTCTACATTTAGTGTATTATTTGTCTTCTTTGGACACGCTCAAAAAGAACATGTCGAGCTACAAGACTTCACAACCTCAAGTGACTACTACTTTGAAGTAACTACAGTAATTTCAACAAATGGATTAAATGATTTTGTCATCTTCCACAACTGTCATCAAATAGCCAGTAAGAAAAACCTAGCAAGTGACTTCCCAGGACAAAAAACTACTCTCCCCAACCAATACTTTGTTTAAACTAGATAAAAAAAAAGTTCAAACACTGATACACACATGCACAAACGCACTTAGTTAAAACAATTCCTACCTCAGGGTCATCGTCATCAAAATCGTGGTATGTGGAATGATCTGGATTATTCACTTTATCCAGCAATTCTATTGCCAAAGACCTTGTCAGTGGCTGGGTGACAAAGGGGTGCTACAAAACACATAAAATACTTCAGAGATTTGATTAAACATCATGTCTTATTAATATGTGAATGATTCAGGGTAAAATAATACCTGTAGTAGCTTTTCTGCAGTGGGTCTTTTTTTTGGATTTTTGGTAAGCGCCATCTTCACAAAATGATGGAAACTATGTGACCTAAGAAAGGTTGAAAATTAAGCTTCTGTATTCTAATTACTTTTTTGCTTATCTTGCTATAAAAGTCAATAAACAAAGATACTTACCACTTTAACTTATCTTTTAGTTTAGGAGGCTGAAAATTGCTTTTCGTCATTAAAAACAATGCCCTAAAAAAACAAAACAGTGCACATTTCAACATTCCACATTCTAATAACAGGAATACAGTCCTATCCAGTCCTAACAAGGCTAAAGTAAACTCATGACATAGTCTGTAAGCATCAGTCTGCACTGGGCTCAGCATGGGCACACTGACCTCATGGGGTGAAGGTCAAACATGGGTGGCTGGAGCTCAGCCAGCTCGATGGCAGTGATGCCCACTGCCCAGAGGTCACACAGCTGATTATACCCTCCTTTCCTCTCAACGGCTGCAACTTCTGGGGCCATCCTGCAGGAAATAATCCAGAAAACAGAAACTGTGTGGTTAGTGTGCTTCCCTTTACTCTTAGGAGAGGCACTCAGACTTGTCAATGGCGAAATCAAGTTCTGTTAGTCCTTGATGTCTGAAAATAGATGTCCTATTTGAAAGATCCACTTTCCCCAAGTTCTTGATGATGTCTCATGGGAAGCATCTCAACCTCCCCAGTGCTTCCTTCATCACTTACCTACACTACAGACTCTATCAAGATTTACCAGTGTGACATTAACCTGACCTATTTGTTCACATCCTGATCTCTGTTCCCCAAAGTTCTATAAAGAAATGGCATTTACAGTATATGGTCATAACTGTTTTACATGACAGACCACTCTACTGTAACTTGGTCATTGCTTTTATTTTACCAAGTCTCTGGGTACCAAGAATGTTCAAATTTAATATTTAATTTATATTTACCATAAACTTTTGAATGTTTTTTAAAGTTTTATTGCAATAAAGAAAAAGTTATCAAAATGAGTGCCTCCTTTTCAAAATGTTTTATTCAGAGGGAAGTTGGTAACTTCTTAATTGCTTTTAGCTTTGCTACTGTTTTAGTTTAATTATACTTTGACTTGTTTAAATGGTTAATTTTCAAATACACAATCTTTAAAACCCCAAACCACAGTTTTAGAAACAACTGAGAAAAATACACAATTTTTCCAGTTCAAAAGAGCGAGTTGAGTGGGGGCTTCACAGATACTGTTTTCCAGTGCGGCTGCAGGAGAGTCAGGGAGCTTACAATAAAATAACAAGTGTTTTTAAGACACTTGGTCTTAAGGACGATTTCAATCATCTTGAAATATGTCTCCTGGAAATCTAAATTATGATAAGGAAAGTAAAGGTTAAAGTGTGCTGGGTCTCAGTTACTGACAGAATGCAGTCACAGAAGACGGAAGGCCCTGTAGGCGCGGGCACTCAGATGCTGAGCTCGGAAAGCAGTATTTGCCCTTCCCAAGCCCGGCACACCAGAGAGCTTCACAGCGCCATGCAGATGGTTGGTGCATCTACTCCTGCCATGTACAGTCATGTGCCCACTCATCTGTGAACCAGTGCTTCAGGTGTGCGTGCTGCTGCAAACCCACAATGTAATGAAGTTATGGCACCTCCTTCCCCAGACAGCGTTTCCCTGTATTACAGCCCTGGCTGTCCTGGAACTCACTCTGTAGACCAGGATGGCTTCCTCATAGAGATCTGCCTGCCTCCCTAGGGCTGGAATTAAAGGTATGTGCCACTATACCTGGCTGAACACTCTGATTATAAAGGTAAAAAGACTAAGCTAGGAACAAAATTAAAGTGAATGCTTTAGAAAAACTTGTTAAAGACAAGTTTATAAAGACAACGAAAAAACCTAGTAAACAAGGCAAGAGCACAACAATCACACAAAGTACTATAATGGCACCCAATGTTGTGACTCCATGTGCAGGACATTTGAAGACAGGGCAGAAGAGCTATAGAGACACAGGTCACAGGAGTCGCCAGAGAAAAGGGATGGGTACAGGAAACGTGTCTGGATGGTGGAAGTTGGCTTTATCTTCATTGTTGTCCTTCACCGAAAGCCGTTGAGTAAGTTCAAGCTCCGTCATCACAAATGAAACGTCAAGAGTTCATTCACTACTGGTCTTACCACTTCAGCAGGCTTTCCTGAAGAGTTGCTAGTCTGACCACTTAGCAAGAACGATTCTTTATTATGAAATAAAGGTGGGGAAAGGCACAGCACAAGGCAGACACAGAGAGCAGGAGTGCTAACCAACCGCACCTAACTCAGCTTCACAAGCTGCCCAGGTATTTCCCACTCTACAGGGTTTAAGCTCTGGAGCTGGAGGTCAAGATCAGTCCCCATCAACAAACATGAACTGGACACGTGTACGGAATCAGGAGAGTCAGGAGACGTGTGTGTTCCCCCAGATGCTTAAAGACAAACTGGGGAGAGAGGACTTGGGAAGAGCAGTGGATTCTCCTCAAATCCTTGACCCTGTCTGAAAGCAAACCAGAACCAGGAAGAGCAGAATAAGGAGAAACAAATACACACCTTCTGAAGCCTGAGAATTATCTTACCTAGAACCACACAGACACTAACAGGAAACATGTAATAACTCTCTGAGAAGACAAGGCAACCCAAGGGTGCTGAGGATGGGAACACACAGCTGATTAGCCTCAAAGACTATCCTACATGCTGTAGAGTTATGAGCTAATAGAAGTCAGGTTGAGACTGGCTGAGGACAGAATAGCACTTAAATGTCAACAGTTAATTCCCAGATTCCTACTCTCAGCCACTGAGCCCAGAGATTACTCCTTCCTCATTCCTACAGGACAAGGACCAATAGAAATATGATAGGCTTCGCTCAGGAATTAAGTAGATCTGTGTACACAATACTGAGTTCCCCGGTGTCGTTTGCTTGCCCATGTCGGGAACACTAACCACCAGGCCCACATCTTGCCTTTACTGCACACTGAGATATGAGTCAGCTTTGCTTTCGTATTCTGAGCCAGGCCCTGTTTGTTTCACGCTGTCTTCAAGCTCTTGGGCTCCAATGAGTCCCTGGTCTCGGCCTCCCCAAAGTAGGGACTACAGGCATACCCACCACACTCAGTTCTAGAGCCAGCTGTGACCATCTCACTCTTTGGGTGTGAACTAACACACAGTCATTTTTAAACTTTTGAGGGAAGCCTCCTTTGTGAAAGTCTGAATGTAAAAAGCTGAGGAATTCTTGCAGAAACCTGAAGATTTCTTGATCCTCTCAACTCTGAAACCCTGGCAGACCTGCAACTTGCTCTGTAGACCATCAGGCTAACCTTGAATTCAGAGATTCACCTGGATTTTGAACATAAGTTTTTTTTTTTTTTAAAGTGGGAGAAACAGAACAGTGGCGCATGCCTTTAATCCCTGCATGTAGGAAGCAGAGGCAGTCAGATTTTATGAGTTTAAGGACAGCTTGATCTACATAGTAAGTTCCAAGATAGCCAGAGATAAATAGTGAAAACCTGTCTAGAAAATAAACAAGCTAATAAATTGGGAGAAAGTGAGAAAACTAGTGGGTTGATTCCAGTGGCCCAAGAAATAACTAATGAAACCTAGAGAAGACAGGAAGAAATATAGCAGAGAAATAACCAAGTCAACACTTCAGGAGTACTTCCCAGGAGTACTACTAGAATGTGCAAGTAGTTCATCTCTTGGGTAAAAACCAAATGACAAATGTGAATGAATAAAATTAAAAACAAGCAAAATGCTAGGATATAAAAATGCCAGGAAGCATCATGGACTATCAAAATATAAGGCATCACTATGAGGAAGGTATGGTTACAGTCAGAGAAACATGCATCATGGTGGCTGTCCACGGCATCACAGAAAAGCCACATATACAACAACACAAAAATTCCCACTAGTGTTCTACACCCAATGAAAGGTGAGGCTAGAGATGCACAGTCCTAAAGCTTTTCCACCCGCACACCTCTTACCATAAAGACACTAACATGTATTTCAAAACAGGTAACAAGAGGAAGACCTAGAATCCAAGAAAGGAGCTCTAAGGTTAAGAAATCTCTATTAAAGGCTACACTTGAGCATGAACAGACCAGAGTGAAAATGACAGAAAACTCCAGGAAGAAAAGCGGAGAGATGTAGCTCAATTGTAGAGTATTGACCCAGTCTGTGGTAAGTTCCTATACATGCATGCACTTGAGCACGACGCATGCACACATGCACACATACACACAGATAGACACATACACAGAGACACACACACACACACACACCTACACCTGAAGCTTTACAGGCTTTATGGATATAGATAATCATAAAGACACATCTTATAGAACTGGGCAATGTGAGAATGTGTGGGATGCTTTATAGGAAATCAAGTTCTAAGTAAGTTAAAATGAGAAGATTCAGAAAAAGAGTGAAGACTATTAACTGATTCAGCAAGAACACTGGAAGGACAAGACAAATAAAAGATGAAGGAGCTGTAATCTTCATCTATTCCAACAAATTCTACAAATAATGGCAAGTGCTAGACACAGCCAAAGACAGCCATAGGATTTCCTTTTTATTAAAGCCATTTTAATTCTAGTTGACTTTTAAAAACTTGCATTTGATAGAGACCAACCAATGTAAGATGTATCTGTCATGCTCCAAACTTAAAAACACAAACAAAAAAACAGTAGAACAGCTGTGTACTGAGGGCCAGACTAGAGTAGTCTGTGGAGTGGGAGCAATGACATTGAAGACATGGCAAGACTATGCAGTGGTGAAAATCAGAGCAGTTACAGTACTGCGGTCAGTGTTCAGCTAAGCCACCCAACACACAGATACATGACCAAAACGATGGAGTAAATAATGAATGACAGGATGATTTTCCTAAGATAGTAGATATCTAGAGGACAAGGAAAGGAAGGTCTGTGGATGAAACTACTAGAAAAATGCTGAAGGACTGAACTGGGGCCTGGCATGGAAGATTCCAGATGCCCAGAAGCCTGTCTTTGATCACAGTCAAGCAAGACTGCAAAAAGGACTGTTTGGGGAGACAGCTCAGTGGTAGGCTGTTACTTGGCATGTTTGAGGCCCTACACTCAATTCGCAGCAATACCAAAACAGCAAGATTCTTGGAAACTGTGAATAATGTAATCATCACAACACTTAGAAAGAAAAAGACAGATACAAAAACATTCAAATATGTGTCAAGCATCAGGAACCTAACAACTATATCAAAGTTTAAAGGTTTTCCTGCATTATGAAAATCAGTATGTGGGATATTTTTGGTCAAGTAATCCATTCATAAGAATACATTGTTAAATTACTAAACTCACTGATTACTTTCATGTACTCTGTCTTAGGCCCAGGAATTCTAACCAGTCTTCTTCTTCTTCTTCCTCTTTTTTTTTTTTTTTTTTTTTAAGAAATGCTGCATACAATGACAGGACAATAAAAATTTTAAGTAAATTAAAATTACCAATATGGGGTACCAATGAAGGACTTCCGTTTGGCAATTGTAGCTGTTATCTGTGCAGAAACTCCAAAATCAGCTATTAAAAACAAAAATGAGAAAACAAAATCATTTACAGTAACACCAAAAGTAATTTTCAATAACAATTTTCATGAATTTCACAGAAATGGAACAGTCTCCCACATACTATGTTTTTTAACCTTAATGGACTATTAAAACATCACAGTCTGCAGCACAGCCAAGAGGATTCCCATGTAACTTACATGAATCAAACAACAACATGATTAAGATAAATAATTTTTGTAGGAAAGAAAGGGCTTGGGAAAATTGAAACTATAATTTCTAGTTTCTAGGGATTTCTACTTAAAGGAATATTACTAGGAAGGACCTTTAGGCAGCTGTAAATTCTATTCACTCTCTGAAAGACCCAGAATGACATCTGCAGATTGTGATACCTGCTGGTAAACCCACCTAGTCTGAAAAGACCCCAAATACAGCATTCTCCTCTGCAGCACCATGCTGGTCACTAGTGGGGATCTGTTACTACTCCTTTACTATGCTCAGTTCTAATACCTTCTAGTGTGATCAATGAATCCAAATCCATCCTGAGAGAAAGTGAGGCATGGAAACTGCCACAAATTCAGCTGTTCATAATAACTGCTCAATGAGCAAGACACCAGGGAACAGGACTGGACAGAATCGGACAGATGCTCTTTGCTTATCTCATACTGACAGGCTTCTTAGGAAAACTATCTTGTATGTTAAGTACTAGATAAATACTGTCAATCTCATTTATCCTATAGTAGGCTGTACTTCAAAGCAGTTTTATTTATTTGTTTATGTTGTGCAGCTGGGGACAAACCTAGTGCCGTGTACTTTCTGGGCAAGGGCTCCCACTGAGCTAACATTCGAGCCCTACTGACATTTTTAAGAAACGTACATATTTTGAAATATGGTTCATCCTAAATAGTTTCAAGTTAATTTTTCAATATTTGTTATTACATGCTTGTTATAAGTTAATAAAGTTACCATATTGAACACATTTCCTGTTTTAAACTCATACTGAGTCATTTCTGGTTCTGAACTTCATTTTAATCATATCTTCTAAGTTACTATTTAAAACACTTAGCATCTAAATTATATTTTCATATAAATAATAGTGTTTGCTTTTTAAAATTGGATAAATGATGAAGGATTTTTGGAGTTGCTGGATATTTATTTGCTTATTTGTTTGTTTTTGTCCTCATTTCTGGTTACAATTTTATAGATTTCCTACTGGAAGCCCCACACCTGGGTTTAGAGGTGGAAGAGTCCCAATGCATATGATTTCATGATATCTTTGCAACAATCTGTTTCTTGTGAAGGACAAAAGCATGCTTGTTTAGGAGAAAGGAAATGAGACAGAGAGGTGACTGGCCTCAATGAGATCTCCATTGAAAAATAAATATGGTAGGCCAAGGGATAAACAAGGACGGATGGATGGAGACTTGTAGTTCTGAAAAAAAAAATACTCTATCCACCCCTGAAAAACAAAACAAACAAAGCACCAAACCAAACCCCACTACATTTCAGACAGATATATACGTGCAATGGAATTCTGATTTACTTACCTAATTTCACATGACCGTTATCCGTTAATAGAATGTTAGCGCCCTTCAAAGGGAGAACATTTTAGTTGAGTGGGAAGCAGACATTGTATTAGGCAAAACATATATTAGGGTAACTATTCATATTAAATAACCACAGCCTTAGACCTAGAAATCCTTAAATTTAAAATGTGTTCAATTAAAATAATACATTACAGGAAACATTGCTGTCCACTTTTTAGTTAATTTCATGATGTTTACATAATGTGCTCTCTTAAAAAAGGACTCCTTGCTAACACAGTAAGAATGCTAACACAGAAGTGATACGTTTAATATCACACACACACCAGTGCTAGCACATAACTGTCCTGTGGCTTCCACAGCCACCCCCGTGCAACTTTTAAGTGAGCACACTAAAGCAGGCAGCTCTTTAATCCATTGTGCTGGTATGATTATAGCTTAGGGAAAATGCTCTCAGATCCCCTGCCTCTAACCCACAAGAGAAAGAAATAGCAGAAGAATAGAAGAGAGGAAGGAAGGGAGGGGGAGGGGAGGGGGAGGGGTGAGGGAGGGAATGTGGGAGATGGTGGCACACCATTAATCCTAGAACTCCTGAGGCAGAGGCAGGCAGATCTCTGTGATTTGAAGTCAGCCTGGTCTACAGAGTGAGTTTCAGGAAGGCTAATGTTACACTGAGAAACCCTTTTTCAAAAAAACAAGAAAAGAAAATGGAGACTTCTCGGCCCCTAGAACATCATCCATGAAGTAGAGCTACATCCACTCATAATACCACTGATCCAGGACAAAGGGGAAAGGTAGGAGATGCTAAAAGGCCCATACCGGGGCTTTTGATCAATCTCCCTCTGTGTAGTTAGACTTCTGCCAAAGTCCTTCCTATGGTCTCTCATCGCTGTCATGTTAAGTTTCCTAAGTTATGACTTCTATCATTCCACACCACAGCTTCCGACCCATCTGTTCTTCTCTCTATCCATCCCCTTCTCTCTCTCAGAGACAGCTGACAGCCATCAAGGGACTTAAGTTCTAGTGTATAGTAATAAGCAAGTTCCAGGGTTTGTGTGTGTAGGTGAGAAAGAAGATAAAAATGATTATTTCTGGCCCAATAAAAGATTCAATGTCAGGTAGAAGCAAAGTCTCTGAAAACAAAGCATGGAAAGAAATCCTCTGAAAGTCAATGATATTTGAGCTGAGGTCTCAACGAAGTAAATAGACAGCCACACCCAAATCTGGAACAGAACATTCAAGGAAGAAGGGATAGCAAACACAAAAACCTAGAACCAGAATGAGATTGAAATATTTCAAGAACAGCACATTTAGTATGGCTGTGTTGTGGGATATTTGTACGCTGGGGGAAGATGTATTGCTGTGATTGGTTTAATAAAAAGCTGAACAGTCAATAGCTAGGCAGGAGGTACAGGAGGGACTTCTGAGCAGAGAGGAAGTAGCAGTTAACGGAGGCTCAAGAGATATGCAGAGTCACACACACAAGGGGATACAGGTAAAGGCCACATGGTAGAACATAGATTAATCAAAACAGGTTAATTCAAGTCATAAGAGTTACTTAAATACAAGCCTAAGCTAAAGGCCAAGCTTTCATAATTAGTAAGACATCTCCATGCCATCATTTGGGAGCTGGCAAGACAGAGAAAGAAAGACTCAATACACAGCTGAGACTGAGTAAAAGAGAGAGGAATGGAATGTGAGGCCAGCACAGAGAAACACATGCAGGGCCTGGATCGCACTTAACCTTGCTGGCCACAGTTCAAGCACCTGCATTTCTCAGTGAGTACTATGGGAAATCAATGGTGCTGGTAAGCAGGGGACTTCAAAAGGTCACTCTGTTTGTTAAATATAGTGGTAACTATAGAACCACTCAAGAACGGCAGAGTGAGAGCAGAAGGAAGGTTACTGCAGAAATACAGGTGAGACAGAATATGATGGAAGCTTGAACAAGGACAGAGGCTTTGCCAATGGTCAGAATTTATCCAGACCCTCAAAGTCTAAAATGAGTCCTTGCACAAAAGGGCACAAAACTACCCAGGAACCTCATCACCTATGAAACCCACACATTCCCTGCTTAATAACATAATACAGACATTACAGTCTCCAAAAAGGGCCTCATGCTTCACTTTGCATTTCTGTTCAGGTTGTTCTTTCAACATGGAGGAGAGCACGCCAATCTTTACTTCTGACAAAAAGCCACCAATCCTTCCCAATTATCTAATTCAATGACTGGACCCTTCCTTAGCACCCTGACATCTACAGAACTACTTTATCTTCAGAGTACAAGGCCCCCTGCTCTCGTCTTGTAAGGGGCTTATGGGAAATACCTAAAGCATGAGTCCACTTACATTCCAGAGAACACTGGAATGTGTGGGATGTGGGAGTTTTCTGAGAACAGAGTCCAGGGCTTTCTCGGGGACTAGGAAAGCAGCAGGAGTCACTTCTCCCACGAAAGGATAAAAGACAGAGAGAATGGTAAGAGGGAGTAAACAAAGAAGAAGAAAATAAAATAAACAGAAGGAAGAACCATTTCCAACGAAGAGCACAGTAGAGACACTCAGGAGCTGCCAGACTTTCTTTGATGCAGACACTTTGCTAATGGTATCTTACATTACCTTAAGAGTGTCAAACTTAGTAGACAAGACAGTAAGCTTACAATTTACTATCATTTTATGGAAGCCATGGAGTTAATTTGTGTCTTATAAACAAATAGTTGCAAATGAGATTTTAAAAAAACCAACACAACAACAGCTATGAAAACACTAACAACAACAGCAGCAGCTATATAAACACTAATCCAGTGAGGTACCGTGGTGCTTGCCTATGATTCCAGCACTTGGGAGACAGAGGCAGTAAGAACACAAGTTCAAATACATTCTCAGCTTCATAGTACATCTGAAGAGACCCCAACCTACGACATCTGAAGAGACCCCAACCTACGTGGACAAATACCTCCAAACCAGATCCAACCAAGCAAAACTCCAAAGGAATCCACTCAGCCCCATACTTCAGAGGGCAGACTTTACGTATGTGACCCTGCCTCAACAAAGCTCCTCTAAGAATGTAATGGGACTTACCATACTGTACTCATGTTCATCACTGTAATCTATTTCAGGCAGCAAACTTATCAAAGAGAATAATCAAAAGAGATAAGCTCACAGATTGAATCAGAATATTTAAAAGTGAAAACCAGGCCACAAATATAATTTATACCTTTATATCTCTGTGCATTTTTCCTTTACTGTGAAGATAATACAATCCCTAGAGTTTAAAAAAATAGAAAAATAAGCAAGATTTATCACATGGTACAACTGAGTAGTACTCATTACTGTTTTATTTACTCTTTATAGAAAAACAAGTATCAACCCATGATAATGAAATATTACAGAAGACAACAGAATCAAGATGAGAAAGATAAAGATCAGACAGAAGGACTAAATTTTCTAAAATACCATTTAGTAAACTGTGCAAACACTTTGAATTTTTAAAGTGTATGTCCCACTAGAATCAGAATAAATTTCAATCCCTCTGATACTGCTGAATTATCAAGCCTTTCTTTGTTGTTAAGAGAAATGCATACCCATAGTGCTTGAAGTCTAAGCTATATTGTAATCTTTAGGCTTTATAGTGTTAATTATAAATATAGATTGCATTTCTGACAATTTATAAATGTATTAAGGGCCAGATATATAACTTGGTGTAGAATACTTGTCTAGCACATGAGAGGCCCTGGGATCAACCCCTAGCACCACAAAAACAGAACAATACAAATAAGTAAAAGTTTTCAGGGCTGGAGAGATAGCAAAGAGGTTAAGAGCACTAACTGCTCTTTCAGGGGTCCTGAGTTCAATTTCTAGCAACCACATGGTGGCTCACAACCATCTGTAATGAGATCTGGTGCCCTCTTCTGGCCTGAAGGCATACATGCAGACAGAATACTGTATACATAATAAATAAATCTTTTTTTAAAAAAAGTTTTAAATAGTTTACCAAATTAATTATCTTGTACCCCTAACAGTAATGCATAGTACATAAACATTTATTAAAGAATAGACTTTAAATATAACTTGCCTGTAGTGTTTCTCTGCTAACATATGCAATCTGCAGTTCTGAGAGGGGTCCAGTTACTGTATGAGAAGAAAATTAGTATTAGCAAGATTAAACAACACAGGTTTTCCACTAAGTGACCAAGTTTATAAATCCCATTAAAAACAGACTCAACAGGGCAGGAGAGATGGCTCCAAGGCTAAGAGCACTGGCTGTTCTTCCAGAGGTCCTGAGTTCAATTCCCAGCAACCACATGGTGGTTCATAACAATCTATAATAGATCTGGTGCTCTCTTCTGACCTGCAAACATACATGCAGGCAGAACACTGTATACATAATAAATAAATAAATCTTAAAAAAAACAGACTCAACATACTTAAACAATTTTACTAAAGCCAGCGCCAAAAAGGCAGCTTTCATTTTTATTCTTTTTCAGGCTGACATGCTCACTGTCATATTTATAGTGTTTAGAACAATGCCTGGCACAGAAAAGCCACATTGTGTTGATAAGCAAATCAATGACTGAAATTGACTATATTTTATTTTATACCTTGCTGATCCAATATTCACAGATGTTAAAAAGAATGCCCAAGTGGCTAAGCTTTCGTTAAGGTTTATTTATTGATGAGTAAACATGTATCACAGCTGGCTTTAAGCCAATATCTTCTTTAAAAGGTATTACTACTGTTATAGTTATAAAATTAATACATGTTCACTATGAAAATTCTAGTGAATACAGAAGCTTAAAAAGCAAAGGTCTCTCTTATCCAGAGTATTACTCAATAATATAAAATTTTCATCTACAGTCTACAAGTTGATTTTACACAGGCATTTTATATAATATGATCTTCAACTCCTAATGTGTTATGTTCTGGATATACCCATTTTAAGTTAACAATATTCTAAGGCAAAAATGAATTTTATATGGCAACACATGACATCTCAGTTAAATAGTTGCTACCTGAAGGTCATGTTGCTCAGTGGGATCTGTGGCTTGCTACCACTATCTAGTAACATAACCAAGAGTACACGAATTCTTACTACACTTGGGTACAGAACAGATCAAATTAAAATTTGGCACATGGTTTATACTGAATGCATATGCCTTTCATGCCATTGCTAAGTCAGAAGCCTGCAAGTTGAGCCAATGTAGGTTTACATGTACTGCATATACAAATGAGCAAACACTAACTCAGCACTGATTTGAAACCTGCTTTTTCACTATCATAGACATTTTCTCAGTGATATAGAGTAAATTACACTCATAGACTGTTACATGTTGCTTTAAGATTGTAGAAGGAAGAGGAGGCCCTCCCTTGGCTCTTCAAAAGCTCCTGCCCTGGGTCAGGCTGGCCCCAACTCTGTAATGTGGAAAGAAAAAGCCAGCAAGCAGCAAAGGGTGTTAAAAACACCACACCCAAGAGAAGAGCTAGAAGGTGAAGTCTCTCCAACAGAGGTTGCTGCTGTTGATCTCCCACACAGAAAATGCCAGTAGAAGGAGAGTTGCAGACCCATCCACGTTGAGAAAGTTCAACTGGTAGTTCCGGCTGATGGCGACTTCTCAGGTCAGTTTCTGCTGGGTGTTTGACGGTGTTGCCTTTGTTTCCTTTGTCATAAGGCTACCCCAGGCATTTCTGAGGATGCTATAAAGTGGTAGTTTCATGTGTTGCGATCTGAAGCTTCTATTTATCTGCCACTTGATACCTTCTTTTACTTTTGCTTGCTATATACTTAATTACTTCATTCAGTGAACACTGAAAATACGGTAGTCATAGTTCTGGTACGCACATTTCCTGTGGTGTGCATTTGCTATGGTCTGAGTATATATATTCCTCTAAAATTCACGTAGAATCTTTTTCATGGTGTATGTGTTCCTCTGTGATTGCACATGCATGTGTGGGTATGTGTACATGTGTGCAGGCCACGGGATGATGTCCAATAATTTCCTCAATTGCTTTCCATCTTATATATAGAGACAAGGTCTCTTACACCCAGAGTTCACCCTCTCAGCTAGTCTAACTAGCCATCTTGCTGTGGGGAGTCCCTGTCTCCATCTTGCAAGTGCTGGGATCACCAGTGGAACACACTACTTGACTTTAGATGGGTTCTGGGATTCCAAACCACTGTCCCAACATGTGCTTAGCAAACACTTCACCCTCTAACCTCTCATGTTGAATCTTCAGTGTGACAGTTGTAGTAGGTAATACCCTAGGAGATGAACCCTATGAGATCTTAAGGCTACTTTCTTAAGAATGAGGTTAAAAGCAACATGGGAGTCTTTGGTGCCTCTCCTTTTCTTTTACCATATGACACTGAATGCTCTCACCTATCTTCCTAGACACTGAGCTTGCTGGCACCTGGAATTTAGACTTCTCAGTCTCCAAAACTATAAGAAATTAGTTTCTTCTGCTTACTGATTACCCAGTTTCAAGCATTGTCTTAAAAAGCACAAATGACTATAGCATTTAATAGTGTCATGGTTAACCTTCATTTTCAATGGGGAAATTAGTGAAGCACAATGAAGTGTCTGTGATGGTCTTTCTTTAGGCAATTAGATCGTGAGGGTTTTGACTTAATAAATATATTGCTTTTTTGGTGATTTATAACATCATGGGATTATGGAGAGTAGTGAAAAATAGGTGGTGTTGGGGGACAGTTGGAAGAAATGAGCCACTTGGCGGCATATCATTAGTGCTGTATCTTGCCTTGGACCTTTCTAGTATTGGCGTTTTCTTTGCTTCTTGTCTGGCATGATGTGAACAGCCTCCTCTACATGCTCCCACTGCCATGATGTTCACTCTTTCAGCTGTACCTAGATTTCCATGAAGTAATTAGTGTCCTGTCAGTATGTAATACTCTTTGACCAGTCTGAAATGCTGTATGCCTGTGTGGACATGTCAAACAAGCTTACTTTTCTTCTTGGATATTCTTCCCAGCTCCCCTGGCTCTATGTTGCCATTATGTGGGGGAACAGTATAACATCCTATGCTTTTTTTTAATCTAATGAAAGAGAAGTTCTTCTCACCCAAGAACCCTAGAGTTTATGAAGTTTTTTATTTATCTTTAGAGGTTGTAGTTTGGCCAGGAGATGGTGGCACATGATTTTAATCTCAGCACTCCAAGAAGAGGCAGGCAGATCTCTATGAGTTCAAGGGCTGCCTGGACTAGAGAGCTAGTTCTAGGATAGCCTGGGCTACATAGAAAAACAATGTATTTTAAAAAAAGGTGTAATTTGATATAATTTGAGTGAAGGATATGGTTTGGTGGTAGAGCACTGCTTACCACACATATGGCCCACGATTCAATGTCAAGTATCACAGGCTCTTTCGTCTGGCTTTCAAGGCTCTCACATCTGACTCCAGCCCCTAAATACACTGTCCTAAGCTAACTGGAGTGACCTCCTGTGTGCTACTCTTTGACATATCTATTAGAACATGCTTCCTCCCGTTTCTACCAAAGAGTTGCCTATCTTCTCAAGATGAACAAGATCCACTCTCACCTCTGAGCTTTTGAAGATAATTTAAGAAAACCTACCATTTCCTTTCTCCTCCTCTGATTGTGGTGGTTAGAATACACCAGAACACTAACTAGTATATAAAATAAAAACACAGCAACAATCCCACTGTTCCATCATTCTTATGCTAAATAAAACCTATACCAGGAAGATAGTAATAAGAAAAGAACTCTAAATAGTAAACTTCCCACAATGGCCTTTTGTAGCTCCAAATGACGCTGTAACAATAAACGACACTTACTGAAAGTAAAACTAAGTATTTATTGTAGAAATTACTCACAAGATACCAAACAAGTAACCCAGATGAGCCAAGTAGTTTTCCCGGTGCCGAACCGGAAGCCGAACTCCAGGAAAAGAGACCGAGACTTCCTGTGTGCTGTCTTTTATGCCTTCCCCCGTAATGCCCCCTAGCCATGCCCAAAAGTGGGCCTGGCTAGTGACGTAGTTCACCGCCTATGTACGTATACGTCTTTACGTCCGGCCATATACGTCTTTAGTCATGCCTAAAGTGGGTGTGGTTAGCAGTGTGGTAAACCGCCCTTTTATTACCTCATCTGTATGCGCCTCTAGTAAGTCACATGTTTAATGGCGGCATACAGACTTCCTCCTACAGCCTTTCACCATCTTCTTTAGTACCATCAACCCTCACCTACTAAGAGGCTCCATACCTGAGAACAGGAGCTCAAGAGAAAATACATACTTTCTCAAAAAATTGACTTCATGAATTACAAAGATACTGTGTTTTACATTAATCAAAAAGTAAACCTGCAGAGAAAGAATAAGCCTACAGGAGTCAGAACCAGGATAGAAATGGCAGACAGGAAAACAATATTCCACAGAAAATACCAAACATAGGTTACCTTATGAGTCTCCTGTATGATACCACTGACTCAATAAAAATAGTTTTGATCATTTTCTAATTCCCTAGATTTTTATACTGAGAGAACAAACTAACATTTACGTCGTGCTGCCCCATGAACACCTGAGAGCAAAGTCAATGACTTAAGTATCACCATCACTCAGAGTCTTGGTTACTGTTCTCTGGCTGAGAGGAGACACCACTATATAAGAGGAACTTATAGAGAAAGCAATTAATCAGGGCTTGCTCACAGTTCTGAGGGTGAGTCCACTATCATGATGGCGGGAAGCATGGTGGCAGGCAGGGAGGTGCAGTGCTGGAGCAGTAGCTGAGAGCTCACATCTAATGCACCAATTTCAGGCAGGGAGAAACGGCAGAGCTGGTGCCCAGGGACACACCTCCTCCAACAGGGGCCATGCCTCCTAATTCTTCCTAGACATGTCTACTAACTGGGGACCAAGAATTCAAACATGAGCTTATGGGGGACACTCTCTTTTAAACCATCATGCTAAGGTATCATGGCATTCTGTCACTAAGAACGTTGTAGTTCTTCAAGGGCAGAGTTAATTTCTGAACTAACTATGATGTCCTTTCAGAGTTAGCAAGCAATTCCAGTGCATACAGCTTTTCTTTTGTATAAAGCAAATGTCCCTTTCACTCGTATATATCACACAAGCCAAAAATAAAGCATAGCTTTCTTTTCTTAAACAGCATTAATGTTTGGATTTAGCAGGTAACAGACTAAGAAGCACTGCCTAGGGTCTATAAAGCAACTCTGCTCTCACCATGATATATGTCCTGTAAGGACCCACCGCCACAGAACTCCATGCAGATCCAAAGTTTATCTCGCCTGTGAAGAGAAATAGTAGTCCATTATGTCTTCATATTGTGTATGCTATAACACTGAAAAACTACACAAATGCAACATGCTGTCTTTTTAATATGTCAACTAATCCCCAAGTAAATGACTTACTGCTTTGCTGTAATCTAACCCTAGGTTTTACCACTTAAGATACACAATTTGGAGAATACAAAGCTGTCATTAGGTATATTCAAATGGAACTTCCCTTTAGTTAAAAACTTTCTAACCTACACTTTATCCATTTACCCAGATTAGCACAGAAAATGTCAATACATCCCAAACACTTTGATAGCACTCTTAACCAACAAACAGATATAAATTTTAGTGTCATAAATACAGTTTCATTAGAACACAGTCATATTATATACTGTCTAAGCTGTCCTCATACCAAGAAGCAGATATGAGTAGCTATGAGTGTGTATTTACAAAGACTCCAATTTTACTACATGGGTGTTGATAGATAAGTATCACATGTGTTCTTCCATGTATAAACTAAGCACCTCAGCAAATAATAGGGACTACTAGGGACTGGGAGAGAACCCAGAGAACGAGGGAGAGGGCAGAGTAGATAGGGTGGACAGGATCTAAGCAAGCTATATGCATGTATCATGGAATATCACAGTTGACTTAATTGGCGTTGTCACTGCTGTGATAAGACACCATGACCAAAGCAGCTTGGGGAGGAAAGGGTTTATTTGGCTCGCCTTTCACATCACTGTTTATCATTGAAGGGAGTTGGGACATGAACTCAAACAGGGCAGGAACCTGGAGGCAGCAGCTGGAGTGGAGGTCACAGACCCTGCCACATAAATCATTAATTAATTAAGTGCCTACAGGCTTGAGTACAGCCTGATCTTAAGGAAGCCTTTCCACAATTGAGGCTCCCTCCTCTCAGATGACTTCAGCCTTTGTCAAGTTGACAAAATTAGCCAGCACAACAGTGAAACAGTAATTTGTATGCACATTTATACATTTTTAACATTACAGCCATCATATAAAGAAGTAGTTTATGGAATCTTGGATTAATATGCCATGAGAGTTCAGAGATAAAAATATCTTGGCAAATCAAGGGAAGGTTTTGTAAGGAGACAAACTGGGTTCTAAAGTTCAAGTAGGAATTCCCCAGGGAGAGACAGAGAAGGGGTCTGTGCAAAAGAACCAGAACTTGAAAAAAGACACCACATTTGAGGGGCTGGGTAACAGAACAGAACAAATGCAACCCCAAGAGACAATGGCCAGAGATGAAGTATAAACATGCTGGGGTTGCCTTGTAAAGCAGTTCTAGGTTGTGAACTCCTCAGTACTGATACCTTCACCTGGATAATGTTTAGCCTGTCAACACCTCTCCTGAAATGTGGCATTTAAAACCAAGCACTACTCTGAGTACCACATGAAAGTGTATTAAAAAGCAGAGTTGCTGGTATAATAGGGGTCAAATATAGTGGTGGCTGGATTAGTTACACCTACCTGTTGGCTTGGCTGTGTAGAGCAGGCCATGTGTATACAGCAACCACATGAGCAACCAGGGTGGAAAGGTCAGCTAACCTGACAGTGTGAAATAGCGAGGTACCATGGTTCCAGAAGGCAAAGCTCAAGAGAGTAAAGCCCAAAAGGGATCAGAAACCACCTGAGATTGATAGCTTACACGTGTGACACACGAATGGACTGGGTACACTAGCACCATGGCTAATGTGCACACTTCTGTAGTTTCTGACACGATATATAGCAACAAATACAGCCCACAGAAATATCAGCTGGCTGTGTACTGGCCCAGTTTCAAGAACTCACAGAATGGTTGGCTGTGACCGTATTCAAAATGAGGAAAGTAAGGCTAGAAAGTTGTTTCAGTGGTTAAGACTTGTTCTTGCAGAGGACCAGGGTTCAATTCCCAGTATCCACTTATTAGATCATAAACATCTGTAACTCCAATTCCAGGGGATCCAGAAACACATGTGGTGCACATACGTACACATAGGTAAAACACTCATACTTATATGATTAAATAATAATTAAATAATTAATAAAATAATTTTTTACTTTAAAAAAATAAGGAAGGTACCTCATTTTTTTTGGTTTGGTTTTTCAAGACAGGGTTTCTCTGTATTGTTTTGGAGGCTGTCCTGGAACTTGCTCTGTAGACCAGGTTGGCCTCGAACTCACAGAGATCATCTGCCTCCCAAGTACTGGGATTAAAGGCACGTGCCACCAACCCCTGGCTTGGAAGGTACCTTTTAAGAGATGTTGTTTTTCTGACATGTTTAAATTCTTCAAAGAACCCAACTGCTATCTTCTTTAGTGAAACACCATATTTCATTCTTTTATTGATGTATTAATGAGTATGTGGAGGCCAGAGGAAAAACTTGGGTGTAAGCCTCAGGGATGATGTCTACCTCTTTTGAGACAGGGTCTCTCACTGGCCTTGAGCTCACCAATAGAAGCCCCATCCTCCTGTGTCTGTGTCCCCATCACTGGGGTTACAAGATGAACTAGCAGGTCTGGTATTTTTAGGTGAGTCTCAAGGGCTGACCTCAGGACCTCAAGACAACTTAGCCATTCTGCCAGCCCTGGAGTTCTAGATATATTCCAATTATCAATTTTTTGTTGGATCAATAGCTAACAAAGATTTCTCTATTGGAAGGCTATTTCTTTACTTGTATTATAATTTAACCTAAACTATATAACCTTAAATTGTTCCAGGAACTCAAAGAAGACATAAAAGTTTTTGTTTTTGTTCTTTTTTTTTTTTTAAAGAATAAAAGCATTAAGATGAAATGGGATTGATTTGGTATCGCTTTCCACAAAGGCCAGGCTGGTTGCTACTTGTAAGTGCTCAATGATGACATGATTAATAATTTATTCACGTTGTTTGCTGGGGAATGGCTGACATTTGATTTGATTGTATTTTTTAGAAGTCATATTTCTCCCTTTTGCAAATTAGTCATTGATTATCTCTAATCTTCAATGTCTCTTCTATTTGTGAAAATGGCATCTACTGATAGTGGATGCCAATCACATCTGCTAACTGTTCAGTGTGAGACAGAGCTGACATAAATTTAAAGTTTAAATTCATTTGAAGTGTCTAGCTGCCTTGTAATTTCCTCCTCACCTGCCACCGGCTTCAGCTCCATCTCAATAATACTTTGCCTGCCCTTTTTAGTTTTGAAAACAGTTCTCCATAGAAAAGAAAACAAACAAGGGATGAACTCTATCCTGTCTTTCAGATTCACCACCATTACCTTCCACTAAAAACAGCTCCATTCCCTGTCTCTTCTTACTTACATACTGTGTGTATTTAGTCTATGAAGTGACTTTCTAGTTTATGCAGGCAAAGAAAATATGGACTATATATGCTAACACTATTTAAATACACTAAAAATGCTTAACATTTATAACATTCCATTTGATTAAAATCTCTTATTATAAAAAATGAAAAGCTTGAGTAGTCTTTAGTGCCTTTGCAACTCTTCTGTATCTAATATGTTCCAAAATCTGAAGTTTCCTTCACAGAGTAACTGTACACTAACAGTGACAACTATAGTCTTTTTCTCTGTCTAAACAAAAGTTAGAAGGAGGCTTAAAAATTGTCCTTGGCTCTAATGGAGTTAGGGGATAAGTTTTTGGTGGTTTAATTCTTTTTTTCTTTCAAGAAAAACAAACACAAACATTCAGACAATGTGCATTAAATATGTAGTATGCTGTTATTTAATCCACCAGAGGAGGAAAGCTTAGTCTGTGTAGTTCTTGTTACACTTCATGCTGATGATGCTGAATTAAGGATGTCAAGTACTCAGCTCTACAAGAGCTCAGACCAGATCTCTCCATGAAGTGAGAGCAGACAGCCTGCTAGAAAGTGGGCTTCTGGAACTTAACTATTCACTGGGCATCTACTAAGAAAATCCACAGGCTGATTCTGATCCCTAAGGGCAGGTTTGTCAGAAGTCAAATCACACTTGTACTTCCTTCATCTTTTTGTCTAAATCTGTTATAATACGCTGTAGCAGCAGCAACAGAAGAAAGTCATGATCGAGTGTTCTGGGGTGGTGTACCAAACTCAAAACCCTTGCCTTTGTAAAATAAACTGGCTCTGCAAAGACACATCAGTAAGGGAATGGACAGAGCCAGTTTTAAATTCTGCCGGTAACAAGCAACTGAGCCTCAAGGAGAAAGGTTCTATTACGTCCTGTTTTCTCGTCTGTGAAAGAGTCGGCTGGATGACAAGATCTCTCCGTCCTCTCCAGCGTGAACACAATACAGACCTAATTCTTAGGATTCCACGCTCCTCTTTGGTCCAAGTCTGTGCTTAATCAGGAATAAAGAAGACTGTAGAAGAGAGCTAGAGAAAGGAAGGAGGGACTGTGTTCTTTTGCTCTTCCATTTCCTTTAAAGCCATTTTCACTAGTGTTGCCAGTAGCAGGATACAGCCACCAGTCCAAAGCAGTCTCCTCATGCTACATTCCCATAACACTAGAAGAACTCAGTTTCGTTTCTAAAAAGGACCCCAACTTTGTTTTAATTTTGGTTTGAGGGAAAACATTAATCTTTACATTTGGACAAAAATAAAATAAAAAGTAAACTTGATGCTAAACCCTTTCAAGCATCTCTTTTGTAAGCTGGAAATAACTGTACTAAGAAGCACAGTGCTGGTGGTGTGGAAGGGACCAAAGGAGGCCTGAGGTGCAGCTGGTGGCGGTGGCAGTCAGCATTCAGCAAGCACCATATGGAGCATTGCTATGGTCTAAGTGTCTCCATTTCACATGTACTTACATGTAGTTCTGCAGGTTCTCCATCACACAGGTGTTACCACCGTGTCACAGCAGAGGAGATGGAGACACTTAATGACTAAATAACTTATTAGTCACTGATGAAAGCCAGGACATTTTCACTCAAGTCCCTATTACATCCCTGTCTTCCTGCAAGAAGACCATGGTTATTTTTACGACATGAAGGGTGCCATTTAAGTAGGTTTGCTTTGCATGCCCCACAGTGCTTGAGAAACAATTAGACCCATGTCCCCAGGGAAGCACAGCAGCTCTGCTTCAAAGACCAGGCTGTCCTAGGCTTTCTGAGTGGAGTCCAGGATGGCCACTTTGTCAGTCCTTTTGCAGTGGTGATTTTTACGGTGATGGAACTCAATTACTAGCACCATAAACTTAGGGGATCTTAACTGATACAGTAACTGCCCCACTGGGCCTGCTTCCTACCACACAGACAGGTACTGAAGATGTACCTGTTGGGCTGCTATTCGAACCACTCCCCACTGAAGCAGTATCAAATTGGCAGGTGAGAATCCACCCAGAACTGTGCAACAACACTGGCCTACCCCAGTGTGAGAGTGATCACTTTCCTGCCTCCATCTAACCTACCCCATTTAACAGACTCTAACAGGCTTGGCTGGAGTGAGGAGAGCCGATTAGGTCTGACTTTAACAAATGGAGGAGACGAGGTACAGAACTCCCCCCTACCTGCTGTGCTCAGCACGCTCTGTATGTGGGTCACGTGAGACTAGGAGCCTGTAAGAGGCACAGTGGCCCTGCTAATAACAGAGGAAGACATTCTTCAACCTCCCTGTTAGAGGGACCTTAAAAGTAACTAGGTCACGGTGTCAGACTCACTGTGTGGACAGTGAGAGGAGCCAGGTTTGTCTGAGGGACTCCTCTATGCATGTGACCTGCTGAAACAACACAAGTGCTAAGCTCACAGTCAAAAGTTCGGTTGCAGTGCCGGAAAAGCATGTTGTGCAAATAACTATAGTTCTTAGTCTTTTGAAGAAAATGAGGCCCAAGAATGAGACCAGAAGTATAGGACATACAAAAAAAAAAAAAAAAAAAACCAATCCCTTCAACCACCCAACCAAACATCCACCCACCCACTTTGAGGAGGAGATGCTCCTGACTGCACTCTTAAGCACAGAAGAAAGGAGCAGCAGCTGGTGCATTTACAGCCAGCTTCCTGGCTAAAACCATACCCAGAATTCTCAAGTCATAAGACAGTGACACTGTTACAGAATTAGCATAATAGGTCATAAAAATTCCATTCATGTGACTCATGGATCACAGCATTGGAGTAGATTTCATTCTGTTAGATGAATCAGGTGACAGAATCATTCCTGGTTTTCAAAAGGAAAGTAAACAATGTACCTGAGATAGCTTCCAAAATAAGCAACAATGTTTGAGTGTTTGCAGTCTTTCATCATAATGATTTCTTGCTGTACAACCGCAAAGTCTTCTCCTAGGACACAAAGCAAGCATGTACGTAAGACATTCCGTCGGTAAGAGTCTGGATGCTCATTTATTTTAAAACGAAGTTAATTATACTTCCGATTAACTATAACATGGTTAATAAATGTTATATCGAATGTAACCAGTTCCTTAGTGGCATTACTTTTAATTACAATTTCAGCCCTTGAGATGAATACGGCACTGCAATGAAAAGTACCAGTGCCCATCCCAGACTTCTGGGTTCGGATTCTGTTCTCACTAAGGCAGATACGCTTGGACAAATCACTAATTTCCTGCTTAGTAAAAGAACAACTGACCTCACAGGACTGCACACCTGGAAAAAGCCTAGCAGGGTAATTTCCATACAAACATTTACTGCCAGTACTACCACACCTTGGGCACTGTCAAGTTACAAACACGATCTTCAATAGGAAGTACCTATTAATTCCCTTGTTACCAAACAACATCTGGCTGGCTGTGGTAGCCACACACCTGTAGACAGGCCAACCGAAGGGGGAGAGGAAGGAGAATCATTAACATTCAGCATGAAGAGGCACTCTTTTTGCAAAGCCAGAGAAAAGACTCTGGGTCCATGAAGGTGTGAGCTCTGCTGTACTGGAAGGTGTAGCAGTGTGGCTACAGGTGACCGCCATACACAGGCCTTACTCCTTTCTCAACAGTGGAAGGCTGGGAGAGGCCGAACTATCATCTGCCCTGCTCCCTGCTTGTCCAAATTCTTCAAAGTAAGAGCAGGCAACCTTACAGCACCATCACATCATGACTGCCGAGGAGCCCTGGTCATGGAGAGGATTGCAAGTGCAGAGAGGGCAGTGTAGAGCAGAGGCAGGAGAGAGGGGAAGCAAAGGGAATGCTCACACCTAAACCAAAGCAACTCAATGTCTAGATCATAGTCCACGGACCATCAAATAAATGGATATTAATGGCAAAGTAAAAAAAGACAGTTTTACCCATAACTGCTCACATCCAAAGCATGAGGCTGTCAGAGTAAGAAACCCTGGCATTTCTGGCCACGGCATCTTCCTATTGTAAATGCAGCTGAGACCTGAAGTAGCGTAGTCAGGTACCATCTAAACCCGACTCAACCCATCCATCCCCCTGTAAGTCCTAACTACAAGGGAAGAAATAGTGGAGAGGAGATGGTATGTCAGGACCTTAATTACTTTGGTTTGTGTGTACAAAATCACAAGTCCCTGAAGGAGGACAGGGAATCCTCAAAAGTTCGTATCATCCAGACCCCTGAGTGTTCATTTCACACCCTAAGAATTCCTGTTCTTCGGTTTATTCAGAAGAAACTCAAGTTAGAAGTACTATGGGACTGATACTAAGCTTCATGGACATGTTGCAATACTTTAGACATTTGCTTTGCCACCTGTCCTGGAATATTATTGTCTGCAGTCAAATGGAAAAGCTGTATGTGGTCAGAGTTTGATCTAGTCAGCACAGCATGTGGTATGTGACGGCTGACCTCTCTCTCTGGGGGAGGCCTAAGAGTCATTAGTGGTCACTACAGGAAAAAAAAAACACACTGATCTCTGGACAGCACTGAGGAGGAATAGAAGGTGGGGGAAGGGCCCTTAAAGAGACAACTGAATGACAAGTGAGTCTTACTTCCTCTGATAAGATGCAGATACACTTGTGTAAGACTGTGTATCACACAGCCACCTTAGCAGGGGCTTCTCTATTAACTATATTAACCTATTAACTGTACAGTCATCTCTATACACATCAAGTCTATGTCCTCATTAGAACACACTCCTCAAGGACAGGATCAGGCCTAACTTGTTTCCATACCTTAGCACGTGACATACATTGAATGAATCCACATGCATGAGTATGCAGTTCCTCCAAGAGCACATCAATTGAGACAACAATAATGTTAAGCAACAACTGTCATACCTTGTGCTTTGGACCATTTACTCCTTCCTTTTCATATTAGTGGATTAAACTTTCAACACTGTTTCCTATGAAATGTTATTGATCCATGTATATATCATTCCCCCTGCAAGAAGTCAACCTTATGATTGTGAAAACGGACAAGTATATCATCCCTCTGCAAGAAGTCAACCCTATGATTGTGAATATAGACAAGTTAAACCTAAGACTTCAAACCAAAGAAAGCTTCCACACATTCAATTTTTAAAGGTAACTGAGATATGTAAATTTAGGTGGGAAAAAGAAAAAGAAAACACAGCTGATACACTAGTAACCCAAAGGAGTTGTTGACTAGCTGACTCAGACAGCTTCCTTCACAGCTTGCAGGAAATTCTAAAGGTAAATAAACAAGGAAAGAATTCCTAACACATTTAGCAATGACACCAAAGTTTTTGAATAAAATTTTTTAGATAATACGAGTTTGCATTTCAGAAGATATACCTGTAAAGCCCTCCGGGCATGAGTAACCACACTGCTCTAGCAGAGAGGCCCAGCCCCTCGAGAGACACATCCTACACTATTCTAATGGCTATAATGGCTGTTTCTGGCCTCTCAAGACACAGGTGGTCAAGCTCTGACTTGGGGGCAGGGGATGATATGATACCTTTTCCCCCAGAGCTGTAACACAACATCCCTCCCCCACACTTCCACACCATCCCCCCCCCAAAAAAACAACCGGGATAAACATGAATAGGAGCATGTAATGAATTAATCATGAAATGAAGCAGAAAAATATAAAGTCATGTGAAGTTCTTAGAACAAACACATTACACATGAAGTATTCAATAAATGTTAACTATAGTAAACAGGTGACATTTGAGTGATGATCCCTAGGGGTCTCTGTCCCAGAAACAGATGGGGATTCGGGTACAATAAAAGTGGTGATCAGAGACAACATGATAACTGGAGCAGGAGTTTAGGAAGGCTGCCCCAGAAGGTGGAAAGGGCGAGAAAGACCTAGGGAGACCAGGTCTGCCATACAAATAAATGGAAAAGCTAGGCTGTCCAGCCGTCACTTATGCACATCCCATCAAAAACCCTTTCACAGGGTGCCAACTTTATACAACTGGCAAACAGCAGTCTTTACAACAAATGATGCTGAGAGAACTGGATAGACATGTGCCAAAAAAATGAACCAGCACTTTCCACATACATGCAAGACCTGAAATTATAAAGTTCCTATGAAAAACATTTGTAGGACTGGTCTTAGCAAATGGTATCAGAAACAAGACAAAAAAAAAAAAAAGGGAAACAAAAACAAAACAAAATAAGAACAATGCAGTGAGACTTATGTCCAACTAAGCCACCTTTGCATTGGAAAGGAAACAACAGATGGAAAAGGCAGCCTAGCCAATGGAGGAAAACACCTGCAAACCACCCACCTGGTAAAAGGAAAACACCTACAGACAGCCCATCTGGTAAGAGGTTACTGTCTAAAATATAGGAAGCAAGCAGTCAAACAATACCATTAAAAATTCAATGAAGAGTAACTGATTCACAAAGATCAAACAACTTGTGTACAACTACAAATATATACAATTTTTATTTGTCAAACTTTAAAATTTGAAATTAGAAATAGTGTTTCTGAGGATGTCAAGAAATTGGACCCCTTGGCCATTGTTGGTAAGCATATGAAATTGCTTACCTATTGTTACGGAGCAGTCTCACTAAAGACCACCATCCAAGCATCTATTATCTTGAGAAGGGACCTGCATGCTGGGGCCACGCATCCAACACAAAGACAAAACTATCGAATGGCAACCCCCAAGAAAAACGTGTAGGCTCTTTAATACACAACTAAAGAAATTCTAAAAGCAGTGGGATCATTCTATCTAGGATTGGTTTATGTAAGTGACAATTACATTAGTATATTTCTAATTGGTTAGGGCTAACAGGGGTGGGCTAAGGCTATAGCTTTTCCATTCTTGGGCAAGTCTGTACAAGTCCCAGGCTTTGCCCTTATTTGGTTATTGCCTTTAGGCACCTGGTTGGGGGGAGGGTTGTTCTTGTCCTAGTACTTGCAATTTTCCTGTCTTTACTGGAGGGGGAGGAGGGTTCAGTGATTGATTGCCCTTTGTTTGTGTCTTCTTCCAAAACCGACTTATTCAGTTTTAGGAGGCTGGAACTGAGGCCTAATTCCTAAATGAATTATTAGGGGCCTGTCATGATACTTGCCTGGCACAAGAGAGGACCACTCTGTCAGTTTATAGCCAAATCAAAGTCTTTATTCCAGCTGGCTGGGACTACATTCAGGTATTTTATATTGGTCTCCGTTTACCTGGTCCACACAGCTAACCACCTTACTGGCAGCATTAGCCTGACAGTTGTTTTTTATTCTGACCAGGCTAACAATAGGACCCTGCATCCTCAACTGCATAGCCAGGTGCATTAAACAAAGAATAAAGTCACTTACCAAGTATGGCCCCCAAGACTGGACAAAGTCAACGATTTGACTCATGTCCACAGATTCAGTGGAGAATGTGACAGTGAAAAACAGCACAGAGGTTCCTTCATTTTGTATTCTTGCTGAGGACATTTCAGGCTTATCAATAATTTTATCTCCTTGATGAGGATCCCGTGAAAAATTACCAAACTCTACCCTAGGACCCCTGAAATCAAGATGCCACAGCTAGCTTCTGTTAAACTTCTTGCTTCTGCAAAGCTCCCCTGCAGCTGCCAAGAGAGCTGCCGGGATGTGATTTCTGCCTTCAAAACTCCTGTGCTTTGGACAGCTGGGCTACTCTTAAGACCGAAATACCTGAGTGTAATTCCAGCAGCCAGGAATGAAGACTTTCAATTGCTATAAACCGTATCTGACTGGTCATCTCTATGGGCTCCCTGTAACACCATAGAAAACAATTCTGAGGTTTCCCCAAATTAGAACCACATAATCCAGCAATACTGCTTTTGAGTAGGTACTTAACAGAAATGGAAACAGGATCTAAGAGTATCTGCAACTTCCTGTTCATTGCAGTAATTGTTCACAATAACTGAAGTAATAACAACATATATACCCACTGACAAATAAATAGCTAAAGAAAATGGGATACTTATACA